AACATCTGGTCAAATGTGGGCGTGAATGAGATACAACTTCCATCGCCGACGCCTTCCTTCAGCCAGCCTTACTCCACAGCGGCATTCAACACGACTCAATACTATAGCGCACCCGCTTACAGCGCTCCGACAACAACAACATCGTTCGCGCCGCTTCCTCTCCCAAGTATGCTCACCCCGCAGCCCTGCAGTACCTCTGCGGGTTTGAGCACGTTCGGGTGGGATCGGTACCAAGAATACACGATGCCATATGCCACTGCCATGTGATCGATCTCGGAACCAGAACCTTCACTCCGTTCCGCCTGCACAACATCCTGCAACGCTGATGGCCGTTCACCAGCTATGCTCGTCGAAAACATCAACGGTTGGCTGACAAGGAGCGGCATGAGTCCGCGGGAACAAAGATCTTGAGCATTTGAGTTAAGGAGTTTTTTGATCGAACTTTTAGCGACACAAGGATACCACTCTGCATTTGACACTGGACTACACGGGACACGGAATAATATCGGGATAGGGTTGATCTTACAGCAAGCGTTGTGATTTTGTTTTTCCTACTAATCTCCTATGTCGAGTATTAGTTTGTGGGTTTAGGACTATACATCAGCGGCAGGCCTGGCTGGATGGAAGATAAGAGAGATATCCCTGGGTCGGATACAGTCCCGCATTTTCGCAAGATCGGAATGCCTCGCGGCAGGTATGCAAGGTTTGGGATACACGCTGGCATCTCTTTTGGCAATGCCGTGGTGGCACTCGAGGTGCTGCAATGACTGAAGCGAGTCTTCTACACTGCATACCTTCGAACACCCGTTCCTACTACATTCATGATGCACTGGTTGGCACTGAAAGGAGTAGGAACAGCGGCAGGGTGGTTAGGCGTCGTGTCTGGCATGTGACGACCGCTGCCTTACTGCGCGATATCTATCTGGAAGGTTCCGAGGATCTGGTTGCGGTTGTGTTTCGGTTCCACGTCTGTGGCGTGTGCCAACTTACCCATTACAAGTCTGTGATTTGAATGGGCGACCACAGCACGGTGTTTGGGGCCTCAGATACGATGGCGTGTGGTTTATAGGGTCATCTCCTATATCCTCGACCTGGTGTCGGGGAAGCTTTACTCCACTGGATGGAGAAGAATCGGATGCTGGAGCTTGAGGCTTGTGTCTCAATACATAAAGATAATCTAAAAATATGAACATCTTCTCTGCCTCTTCACCTGCGCATACCCTGATCCCCTCCTCTTGTGGGCCACTCTTGTCACAGTATCATGGCCTGACAATTACCCAGGTGCCAGTACAGATCTCAGCTTGCGTGCCCTATCGTGGTTGTGAGGAGATTGGATTTCGACGCGATCAGTACCGGCGAGCCGGTGTCAACAATAAGTGGCACAGTCTGACAAGAAATAGCAGCGAGGAGAGATTTACTATTGACTTAAAAGGCAACTACTATTAGGCATCATGGCACCCCTATCCTCATTAATCATATTAGCCATATTTTGATCTGGCGCCCGCCTCAATCGCTGATAAGAGGGCGTATACTTTCTGTCAGACTGTGCCATTTTTTTCTACCAAAGGCTCGCCGGTTTAGGATGTACATGTGCCTGTGACTTGAGTGACCAACGGTGGTGACGGGCCAGACTACCGGGCACTTGGGCTAGTGAGCCAAGCAGCCGCGCCCCGGGCTCGCCTAAAAGCGCCTCTGACGATTAACCAGCTGGGCCTCAAGGCCTAGAAGACCCTCATCTGCCGGATCCAGCCCAATTGAAGGCCGATCGTCTGCCCCTCCACTAGCACTGTTCCAGGTAATCCCTTGTCAAAAGTGTGCATCGTCATCGTGACCTTTAGCCCTCAGTGACGGGTGGCTACTACCATGAACCAGGGGGAACTCGACCGCACGTTGCTCAGTCATCATCAACACCTTCTGATATCAGCTGTGTCCCCATTTCCTTCAAACTGCTGTCCTCGGCTTGTGCCTCTGTGCATTGACTTCTCAAATGTCGAATCAGAGGTTGGATCCTTCAGCTTGCCGTCCTCTTCGGTAAGGACTGGCTCCTAGTGTCCTCCCTCTCTCAATCGCAGTGACGGCATATCGAGGGTGCCCCTCACCAACTGCGATGTCCACCACATAAACCGTGCCTTGTCTATACAGCTCCTTTACTCGCCAGCAGATCGAGCTCCCTGGACGCACGACCACTTCGAGAGATCTTCTTCACGATGGCGAGCCTCCACGATTCCCTCAAGGCTCTCGCTCCCTGCAAGTTCGCGGATATCCCGCAAACGCATGAAGAGCTGGATCCCTTCCTATCCGACCTCTTCTCCCGAACCCAGACGATAGTCGAGTCCATACCTATCCCTGAACCTGACCCCACTCACCGACATCGTTCACATACCACGGGTTCGATCACCGCCAACAATGCCTCTGAAATGTTCACCTCGTCTGCGCGGAGCCCGCCTCCGGCCCCAGAATATGCAGCCTTACAACATGAGTGGGGGAAGCCGATAAAGCTTGCGGCAAAAGAAAACCCATTGGGCATAGCTGTTTACAAATTGGCCAGCAAGGACGGGAAAGGCTCGTGGTTTGCTCGAAGGAGTGTGCATGAAGGTCTGGGCTTCAATCGCTTCAAGCGCGGGTTCGAGCGGGAGTTTCCTACTTCGCTCGCTGTCCAAGGAAAACCCGGCGAAGGGAATGTCAGAGGGATTGGCGCAGAAACCAAGGTCGAGGAGATCACGGTGCCCAATCGTGGAAAGATCGAGGTCTATCGCCTCAGTGCTCAATTCCCAGGACCTACCACTCCCCGTGATTTTGTCACTCTTCTGGTTACATCATCGAAGGCTATCAAACACCATGGGGACTCTCATAAAGCGCCAGATCTAGCCCCGCGGCACTACATGATCATTTCCAAACCATGCGACCACCCCGAAACGCAGCCTCTAAGTGGCTTCATCCGTGGCCAGTATGAATCGGTAGAGTTCATTCGCGAAGTCCCTAGGAAGCTCAAATCTACCATGTCATCAACAGATTTGGGTCACCTGAGCCACCATCGGGCACCTTCCCCGTCACTTGAGAAAGATGTTCTCAAAAACAACGCCGAGAAGCGCGCAATGGATGCTGACCAGCATCACCACGATGACAATAGGCATTTGAGAGTCGACACTCACGGCTCAGGGCTTAGGGAGATGTCTCCCGGAAGCAGGAAACGAAGTGTGACAGTTGATGCCCCTAGCAGCCCTATAAAGACCCCTGATCCTGCTGAACCTTTTGACCCCGAAGAGAACCCTGTCGAATGGATCATGGTTACTCGAAGCGATCCCGGGGGCAGTGTTCCACGATTCATGGTCGAGAGGGGCACACCTGCAAGTATCTGCGCAGACGCCCTGAAATTCCTGGATTGGGCGTGTCAAAGAGAGGACGATGAGGACGATAATGATAGGCCCGCGCAAAGACCTCCTGGCCAGCGGCGTGAAAGTTTTGCCAGCTGGGAAGCGAATGGGACTCTTGCCGGGATCAAGGAACACGAAGAGAGTCTTCAAACCATTGGACAATCACCGCCCGGTACACCCAAAGCCTCCGCTGTCAATGTCCCCGTGATCAATGACCGCGGTGCAATTGAATCTCCGCCGGATACCCCGGCGTCGCCTTCCAGTCTGCTGGATACCGTGGCGGGAACGATCAGTTCGTACACTCCGCAGGCAGTTCGCGAACATTTTCCTCAAATTGGCAACGGGGTCGATGGCCATCAAGAGATAACCAAGCAAGATATACAGCAAGGGGACGATCTCGATGGCGACGATGATGACGCTTCCACCATCTCAACCACCTCATTCGCCTCTGCCGACTCGCACCTGACGTACGAGGAGACTCCCTCGGTTTCTTCCAAATCCCTCTCCGAGCAAACCGAAAGCCAACTTCTGCAACAGCATGACAAGGAAATGGCCAAACTCTCGGAACGCAAGGCTGCGGTGGATGCCAAGTTCACAAAGCAACGTGAAAAGCTCTCGAGCCAAGCCTACAAGGACACCGAAAAAGAACAGCATGCTTTGAAGAAGGTGGAGGAGAGACATCAGCGTGAACTCAAGAAACATGAAGAAAAGTACCAGAAAGAAGTCGCCAAGCTGGAACAGAAGAGAAAGCGAGAGGCGAAGAAACTGGAGGAGAAGAAGCGCAAGCAGGCTGACAAGGACGAAAAGTCACGTTTAACAAGAGAGCGAGACGAGGCGAGAGCAGAGCTAGAACTCCTGAAGAAGGAGCAAGACATGCTCACCCGCCAGATTGGCGAACTGCAAAGAGAGAACACCACCCTGACAGCCCGAATAGGGAAACTCGAAGGAAGTGGAGTGTCACTTGACAGTCCGATGAGTGGCACTAATAGATTCAGAGCCATGACGCTGGGACACGAGTCTCGAGGTCGGAGTTCGAGCCTGATGAAGGGAAAGAAGGACAAGAGCGACACGAGTAGCCAACAATCATGATTGAGCATGGCGCATTCTTACCTTGAAGCCAAAGTTCACCAACTGTCAATGCGAGGGAGGCACAAAGGAATAATGGCCCTGGCTGACTCGACTCATTGGTCATTGTTTCTCTCGGGCGTCTGTCTCAGACGGTGGCGATGGGCTGTTAAGCATGTACTCTGTATATATGCAGCATGTTTTGCGTATGATATATCCCATACACTGGGTCTGATTTCCCTGCGCCCAGGTCTCTTAGATGCAGCCACGTGATACCTCTCGTTTCATGTTGTAAACTGGGGCCATTTCGCCCTCGAATTTACATGTTCACAAGGCGAAACCCATCGCTCATTTCTGGTGGCACAAAAGGACGTTGATCTTGCCCGCCACGATCTTGACCTTATCAGCTCGTCTGATGGCTTTCTCTAGGCACGGACATTCCCGCCGCTTGTGGCATCGCTTCCATACCACTTCTTCGACATTGTCAATAACGAAACTTCATTGAAGCTGAACAAACATATGGTTTGCTCGACGCAATCTGTGTTTGGGAATTCCAGCAACATGCATCTACCCCAGTCAAACCCTATGACACCGTATTGGCTCTCGAGCCCGTCCAATCTGTCAAAACACCGCACAACTGAGAACCTCCCGCAAGAGGCGGATGTCGTGGTGATTGGTTCAGGGTACGTCGGAGCTGCATGTGCCTACCACATTCTCGAAAAGGACGACGGCAAGAGACCCTCGGTCCTGATACTTGAGGCTCGAGACGTGTGCTCGGGAGCTACAGGACGCAATGGCGGACATCTCAAACCGGACGTCTATTTCAATGCGGCCCTCTACGAAAGGATGTACGGGCCGCAAGTTGCGCAGGAGCTGACGAGATTTGAGACGCAGCAAGTCATGGATGTCAAGAGATTGGTCGAGAAAGAGCAGATTGACTGTGATTTTCAACTCACGCGTGCCATCGACGTGTTTGTCGATCGTCGAGTTGCCGAACCCACGATCGCGGCGTATAAGGACATGAAAGCCAGAGGATACCGTTTCTCAGATGACCTCCACTTCATCGAGGATCCTGAGAAGGCGGAACAGGTTTCGGGAGTCAAGGGGGCGCTGGCTGCCTTTACTTTTACAGCGGGATCGGTCTGGCCTTATAAACTCGTCTGTCATCTCCTCCGTCGGTGCTTAGGGTGGGGAGCAAATATTCAAGCAAATACTCCCGTTACCGCGATCTCCGACTCACCCGACAGCGATGGACGGTGGGTGCTGACCACTCCTCGAGGAGAGATCAGAGCGCGCAAAGTCATTCTGGCCACGAATGCGTATCTGTCGGCCTTGCTGCCGGACTTTGACGATAAAATCACCCCTGCTAGAGGAGTCGCTTGCAGAATTGCCGTGCCGGAGCACGGAAAGATGGCTCCTCACCTGAACAACACGTATAGCATCAGATACGGACCCCAGGAGTACGATTATCTGATCAGCAGGACAGACGGTAGCATAGTCGTTGGAGGTGCCAAACAGGCCGTCCTCCTGAACGACTCGTATTGGCGCAACAACATCGATGATACGCAGTTGATACCCGGTGCTGAGCAATACTTTACTGGCTACATGCAGCGAATGTTTCATGGCTGGGAAGACTCCCAAGCACGTATCACGGATATCTGGACAGGCGTCATGGGCTACTCCTCCGACCTCATGCCCTGGGTCGGAGAAATACCTGGAAAACGCGGCATCTTTGCGAGCGCAGGCTTCACCGGCCATGGCATGCCGCGCATTCTCGGTTGTTCTGCAGCGGTTGCGTCTCTGGTGAGAGGAGACGTGAACCATGTGAGTCAGACAGGGTTGCCGGCTCCGTATTGGATCACCAAAGACAGATTGATGTCCAAAAAGAATATTGCTCGTGAGTATATGGCGGGCTCTCGACCCTCACTATAAGCGGGGGTTATATGGAGCTATACCTGAAATGGTTAGCGAAGTGGCCAGATGCTTTGGAAAGAGCAGTTTCAGCTAGGATCAGGCAATATCAGGCAGGCAGCAGACCATGCTTTGTGTCTATAAAAACGTCCAGCTCCTCCCATCTGAGATAGATCTGATTCTCCCCAGCCATAAACCTCTCTCCAATCTTTTTCAGCCATGGCAACCCCTCCAACACTGATCCATATTCAAGGCCACGCCACTATCACGACAACCGCCCAGCGAGCGGTGCTCAACCTAGCCGCTGCCGACTCCGGTTCAGAAAAGGATGAAGTCTCAAAAAACGTGGTGTCGGCTGTGAACGACATCCAAACTGATCTCGACCTGCTGTGCCCGCGACTCGAGACGGGAGAGATAAGGCCAGATGCCCCTGTGAGCTTCTACTCGATCGCCTCGCTCGCCATCTCTGCCGCGGACGAATTCAACAACAACGGTGCCCGCCTCAAGAGGAAACTCTACAGCGCCCACTCCGAAATCGCCATCCACTTCCGCGACCTTCCCAGCCTGGGACAGATGGTCGCCCGCCTCGCCGCCATGCCGCACGTCGAGCTCCGAGGCATCGACTGGCAACTGCTGGACGAGAGGAAAGCCGAACTCGACGAGCAAGCTCGCCTGATGGCCCTGCAGCATGCCATAACCCGGGCGCAGGCGTACGGACGCACCATCGGCAGAGAAAAAGTGGTTTGCGTCAAGATCCAGGACGTGGAGCAGTCGTGGCCCATGAAGCGGGTGATGCAGACTGCGAGGAGGGCCACGAGCTCGGCGACTTTTGAGGTCGGCGTGGGCATCGATTTTGAGCCCCAGCTCGTCGAGGTCACTGCGACGCTGTCGACCGAGTTTAATGCTGAATAGTCATTTTTTGGAGAGATAGTACTGGGTTGATTGGGATTGCATTCTGGTTAAGGACTGATATTGTGCCTTGAAAGCTGAAGGTCGCGACATCTTCAGAGAATGATCGCTGTAACGAGTACTGGTACTTGGAACTCACTCGTTCAGGAGTAGTGACAGGCCTGACATCCATAAAAATCAACGAATGATGATACATGCGACCCTGTCTCGATAAGACTGATGATGCATTTACAAGTACCAGAGGACAGCACTCTGAAGTCAACCGCGCTGTAGTAGGTCAAATAAACTATTGGTTCTTATTACTGCGACTAACACTGTCACACATTGCCCTGACAGTTAGCAGTTGTTCAGTGATTGGTTGGTTGATTGATTGGTTGCAAAGCGTTCAATTCAAGTCGAAATAAAATCGAGAGGGCGACTCGAAACGCGGCACCGAATTCGCCGAATCGGGTAATCTGCTCAGCATTGTAAAAAAAAAAAAGTACGTACGAGGAAAGTAAGGTGCAACCAATAAACCCAGTGGGTAGCCCCCTTCCTAATTCATAATTCTTCGTTACCACCGATAGATGAGAGAGCGAGCATGTCAGGGATTTGTTGTTCGTACTGGTATTACGAGATCATAGGAGGTCTAGTAGTTGCAAACAAACAAACAACGCCCTTGGTACCGAAAAAGCACTCTGGTCTTGGAGTCGCTTCTCTTGGACCATCAGTTGCGAGTGACTACTAAGTAGTTAATTAAAGCTACCAACTACCGTGGTCCAAATGCACTGCTCTGATGCTCCTGATGCTCCTGATGCTACTGATGCGGTTTTGCGCCTGATGATGCTGATGTGCATCAGACGCAGTATCAGAACACCATTAAACCCGCAACATTAAACAACTAGAGAGAGGTTTTAGAAGAAAGGAGTATCCTCCAAAGGAATCTTCATGTGGCAACACTCACTGAACACCGAGTTCGATGTTTCCCCTCAATCGGCAAACCCGTCAATAACCTCCCGAGTGAAGATACTACTGCGAGCCAGCCGTGACGGCATCCTGCATCAACCATCAGGCACCCTCAGGCAGCAGTTGTGAGCAGGCCGGGCAGACCGAATCGCCAAGCCACCTAGGCCGCTGTTGCCTGGCGCGGCGTCGCATTGCGCGCGTGGCCAAGGCCTCCAAACACGTCTGACTAGACCCAAGCAGGGAAAGAGCGAGTGGGGGGGGGGCGCGAAATCAACGCGGTTACACGTGCGTGAGGGCAAGTTTTCGTTGGTAATCCTTCTGAGAGATATGGTCAACGTCAGCCAGCCAGGCATTGGCAATGATGGCATTGGGGGAAATGCTAGTAGTATTATAATATGCTTTATATTTAGATGGGCTACCATTGCCTTGAAACTTTCTCCCTCAGGCTTGTTCAATACTATTTGTTCACAGTGCAACAACAACGATAACTTGACCTCACCTTCTGCTACATACAACCCTGATAGTATCCATCAATCTCTTTCCAAAGGCTTTCGAAGGCCAGCTTCCAGCTTCAATCCCCCAGGTTACTAGTAGAGCCATCTCTTTCTCCTCGTCAAAATGTCGTGCCACCACCTGTCCTACCCCGTCGCATTCAGCAAGGTCGACGCCGAGGTGGCCTTCCTCGTCGGGGCCTTTGGACACATGGGCCTGAAGGAGTTCATGCGCCCCGTCCCCGGTGTCGTCGGCCTGGGTGACACAAAACCCTGGCTGTGGGTTTCTGGCCTCGAGGACCGTCAGCCCATTCCTGATGATGCGAAGGTCTTGAGAAATCATTTGGCTCTGGAAGCGAAAGGTATGAACAACATCCATGCATCCAACATTTATCCCTGGCAGCCAGGGCTCTTTTAGTTAGCAATACTACCGCACAAGATCTGCTTCGTTCGAGGCTGACAGGGAATGAACGCTATGCGTCTCTCTAGATCGCGCCCAGGTCGACGCATTCCACGCTGCGGCTCTCAAGGCCGGCGGGACGGACAACGGAGCACCAGGTGTACGGCCTGAATACCACCCGCACAACTACTACGCCGCTTTTGTCATCAGTCCCGGCGGCCACAACATTGAATGTGTCATCTACAGCCCTCGCCCGGAGGAGGAGAGTGGTGCGGCGGCGAATTGACGGTCCCTGAGGCCTCCAATCGGGCCTACTAGGACTGGGACTGGGCCAAGGACAATGGGAGAGGATGTTTGGGAGTCGGATTTGCCCGGGCCCGCGCAGGGGTTGAGTCTGGAGTCTATCGGCGGGAGAGGATATGGGAGGGGGAAAGGCAACGCTCCTCGGATATGGGGTATGTACATACGATATTGATAGGTGATAGGGAAAGTGTGGGACAACCACTTAGCGGGAGGGTACTAGTACTCGTAGTCAATGGATGATTCGTACTGATTCCATTCTACCCAGATTGAACTATCTCCTACGTCCAGCCTGTCTGTCTGTACATGAAATACTAGTATGGAGATCTCTGCCCCGTCCAACCAGATTCGCGTTTCAACCAGTACATTCACTAGTGTTTGTTTCTACATCGTGATCAATTACCTCTCCCAAGTACTCAGTATTTACTGGAAAAAACTGCTCGTCGTCGCCCCGCTCTTCTTGCCCTCCTGGTACGTCGCGCTGAGCTGGTCGTACATCTTCTTGACCCGTTCGAGTTCGCCCTGAAGCTTCGTCCGCGCCTCGACGTCCTCGACCGACTCGATCAGCTCGGCGAGCGACTGCGCCGTGAAGAACTTGTTCTTGCGGTTGTAGAGTGGCTTCGCCGCCAGAATCTCCTCGGTGTCGCCGGGCGAGGGGACCTGGTAGACGGATTTGAGGATGTCGATGTCGTCTGACGAACAAAGTCAACTTTGAGTCGTGTGTTCAGCTGGCTGGCTGGCTAGCGAGCCAGACTCTCTCATTCGGGCAACGAACGGACGGGAAACAATAGCAATATTTGCCGCAACTGGCGTGAGGGAACTCACATGGAATGGCAAACAGATCCCGACTGTCCTCGTAGGTGAACATGTAGTAAAACTCGTTGAAGCCCGACCAGGTGATGCCGCTCAGGCACAGCGAGCACGGCTCGTGCGTCGCGAAGAAGACGCAGTCCTTTGTCTCGGGCCGCCCCTCGCGCGGCAGTTTGAAGAATTGCTGGATGCAGTTGATCTCGCCGTGCAGCAGCGGCGACTCGCGCTCGTTGTTGGTCGCCGCGATCACGGGCGCAAGCGTCGCCCGGTCGAGCACTGCCGCTCCGAATAGCTTCGAGCCCTGCGACACCTGCGCCGCCGTCAGTGGGATGATGGACTTTTCCGTCGTAGACAGGAGCGCCGTCGCTAGGTCTTGGGCTCGTGGCATTTCTTTCCTCTTTCTTTTTTTTTGGCACTGCAGGCAACAGTGATGGCTGGTATTGGCTGGTTACTCGGTAGTCTCTGGCAGTGTGTAATATTTGTGGATCTATAGCCAGCAGTGAGTAGTGTTGGGGTGAGAAGTGGGAAGCGGAGACGCGTTGGTTAGTATTTCCTCCCAATGTCCAAGTCGCCCCAGATGGAGATACGTGCTATCGGCGTACATTTATATCCTACCCCTTCAGAGCCAAGCTGCATTGTGTGTGCAAAAGGTTGTCGATCTGATAACAGTCAAAGAAACTTGTGAGCAGATCCAATCGCGCCAAAGTCAAAGAATTTTGCGGGCACGGAGACCGCCGACGCGCGCCATGGAATCGAAATTGGACTGTCAAAGTGGTCATTATTATCATTATTACTGTGTCTTTTTCTTCATTCCTCACTCCTTCTCCCCCCGGTGTGATATCTGCCGCGATGACTGTTGCGCCGTCCTTGGCCAGTCTTTTGGCGATGGCCTCACCAATGCCCAAAGCTGCCCCTGTCACCAGGGCCACCTTACCCTGGAACCGCGACATTATTCCAGATTTTCTTTCAGAATAGTCAGAAGTGTTCTATTGCTGTAAGTGTGCCACTCATTGCACTGACGACGGGACAGGTGCTGTCCCTTGTAGTCGAGGTAAAGACTTTGGAGGGTTGCATGCGAAGACGTCAACCCTCAGCGTCGATAACAAGCGACCGAAGCCCAATCGGGGTGACGACTCGCCAGTGGTCTGATGACACGGTAACTCGGTAACTGGGGAAAGACTCAATCCTGGTTTGTTTACAGGTTCAAAGAGTGGACGGATATATCCAATTCGGGGCTGAGTAGATAGATCAAGCGACTCAGCGGGCGAGTCAGCGGCTTGTCGGAGCCTCGTTGATGGTCCCCCCTCTTTGCAGAGGGGATTTCATCATTAAAAGAAAGGGACGACTACTCCTGGTTGTTTCTCCTGCAACACCCTCTATGGCAGCAGCATTGACCTCCAGGACTTTTGCGGTCACCGGCAGTGCGTCTGGGATCGGGGCCGCGACAGCTCGCCTCCTCGCACGTCGCGGTGCCGCGGCCATATACATTGGCGATGTCAATACCGCCGGCTTCGACCAGATGAAACCCGAATTGGCGGCTATCAACCCAGGCACAAAGGTGCACACCAGAACCGTCGACGTTTCGGTTCCTGAGCAAGTCGATGCCTGGTTTTCCGAGATTAAACAGGGAGGAACCGGCCTCCACGGATTGGCCAATGTTGCTGGGTTGGCTGGTCGCCAAGTATCAAACAAGCCGGGCTCCAAGCTGTTGGAAGAGACAGTCGAGCAGTGGCGCAAGGCTATGGGTGTCAACATCGACGGGGCCTTTTACTGCTCCCGCGCCGCCGTCAAGTTGATGCAGAGCATGCCCAAGGATTCCAACCCGGCCATCGTCAACGTCGCTTCCATGGCCGCGATTTTCCATTCCGGCAGCAACTTTGGATACGGCACCGCCAAAGCCGGCCTCGTCCATTTCACCACGAGTGCGGCCAAGGACCTCTACGACCTGGGCATCCGCGTCAACTGGTGCAGTTCCGGGACGACCAACACGCCGATCCTCGACCGTGCGTTTGAAGGGCAGAACAGAGACGAAACCATCAAGATGCTTCAGTCGCAGGGTCTCAAGGCCATGGAGCCGTCGAGCATTGCCCGGGTGATATTGTGGTTGCTGAGCGAGGACTCTCTCGACGTGAGTGGAGTGAATATTCCAGTGGGCCAGGGGATTCCTTGATCAGCCTTGGTAAGGAGAATCACCTTTAAAAAAAAGGGGGGGAGGACCAAGAAATATGTACACGTACGTCTATACAGAGAGTCCTTGACACAGAATCTTGTCCAGGGTCGTCTCTTCTGCTCCAACCAACCAACCAATCGATGGCGGCACTTTCATCCCGAGGGTTCTCACGCCTGGGAACTGCGAGATCTACTCCGTCCACACTGGGTTGATTGTCCTTTACGACCAAAAGATGCACACTGCAAAAGCAGACATGGAACCCCTGTAATCAATCCCTAGCTATTCGTGCTGGTGCTAAATTTACACAACACTCATGCACAAGTAATATGTAGGTGGTGAAGAAGGACCCCTTTCCCAGTTTGGCAGTGGCGCTACGAGGACATCGTCTACAGTAGGTAATCAATCATGGCAGAATATTTACCCTCCCTCCCTGCCCACCTTGTACTTGATCCAACATTGAGCGCTGGCGCCGCAGCCCAGAAGCTTCTTCTCCCAAGCTGATGATATCTAGGTACTTAGGTATCGCCCAGGTTTGGCGCCGCCATACGCTTACGAGTACTTTACGTAGGCTACCTACCTGCCTATCCACTCGTGGTCCTCATTTTCCCACAAGTGCATACATACATACATAGGTAGGTACAAGTCCAAGACCAAGTGAGTGAGGACACCTCGTACTACTACTACTACTACTACTACTACTACTACTACTACTACTACTACTACTACTACTACTACTACTACTACTACTTGTGCAGCCGACTCGGCGAAGTCGGCTACCACGGCATGGGAATGCGTCAACCCGCCTCGCCCGCCTGCTTGGCTCAAAGCGTCGCGTGCTGATGGTGCCTTGGCGTCCCCCCTGAAGATTGTCCCTCCGAGTGTTGGCAGCCAAGCAGCCAAGCGATGCGCATCTGTGGCGTCTTCTTAGGCTGTCGTGGCTTGTCGTGGCTGTTACCCACCGTCCCCCTTACTTGTATTATAGCGGCGCCTCTCCCGCCCTATAAGCTCTGTCTGGTGCCAACTTGGGGAAGTCTGCCAAGTTTCGTTGTCTTAGGCGGTCGAGGGTCTCCCCCCGACTCCCGAACCACCCGCCATCCGCCATCCTCCACCCGCCAGTTTTGTCTTGATTTCAAGAACTTTCAGAGCCCACACCAACCGGCCACCGGCCACCCGCAGATGAACGGGCCCCAGAGCGGTTCAGTAGTATGTACCTAGCTCGTCGGTTTCTTGGTACCTAGTTGTGCTTGGTGCCATCTTTCTTTGTTCCTTTAGAAAGGGGATTCGCGAGCGGAGAGCCGGCGCGCGCGTCATCGGGATAAAAGATCGTCCCTTATAGGGTTTCAAGTATATGCATGCCTATCCAAGGGGGGGGTTGTTTGTTATCTACCTACCCTCTCCCTCTCTCTCTACATTCCACTCTCACTCACCACTTTTTTGCTGTTTGTTCTTCTGATTTTTTTTGATCAGTGCTTTGTTTTAATGTCCTGTTAACTTACTTGCTCTTTATCTGACTGGAAACTTATCCGCTCGCTCCGTCGCTCATTGTCCCAAGCCTATCGTTCAACACACACACACGCTCTACAACGGTCCACTGGAAGCCAGAGCCAGAGCCCAGATCTCAATAAAAATCACCCACCACCTTTTTTCATTATTTTTTACCCTCTGCAGGATCCTCTCTCTCTCCCTCCTTGTTCCGGGGCTGGGGTGTTTTTTTCATTGGGATAGGATAGGATAGGATAGATCCGGGATCTTTTCCATGTCGCGTGCGCGCGGTGTTCTTTGAATTGTACTGTACATGACATACATCCACATACACATACAACATACACACATACACAGCGAGGAAACGACCGTCTACGAATTCTACAGGGTACCAAAAAAGGGCAAAACAAATAACACGCCAGCCAGCAAGCGTTGGATACGTTTGCAGGACCCAGGATCACCAACAAAAAAACAACATTGTCAGCGGGGAGAGAGTCCGTTGATCATCACAACAAATCACATCACAGTTTGGTTCGACAAATACAAAATACAACAAACCCTCGTTTTATCTTGGACCACTTGGATACTGGGATCCTTGGAGGAGGGTTTCACCAACCTTTTTTGGCTTCGAGAGGGATAAATCAGGGAAGAAAACCCCAAGGTAGAGGTCGCGCAACAGCAGCGCAAGGGAGCGGAGGAGTGGAGAAGGGAGAAAGGCGGAACGTTCATGTACAAGGCAAGGAATAATACGAGGCAGACGACATGATAGTCCGGTTATCATGGCTTGTTGCCATCATCATTGTCATTATCCTCCACGCAACGCCGGGATCGGCACAGGATGAAGTCGCGACATCTGAAATCACGCCTCCCGAGGCCACATCCATTGAAATCCCACCCCCTGAAGCAACACCGGTCGAAGTCCCTCCCGAGCCCATCCCCAACCCCGAGGAAATCACGGACCCAGTTGTCCCCGAAGAAGAAGGAAGTGAGATCGAAGGGACAGGAGAAGAGCAGCACGAGGACGAGGATGTTATCCCCTACACGACCCCACACCTCCCAGAGGATTGCAGTGACATTCGCATCTTCAGTGCCCGGGGGTCCAATGAGCCCTACCCCGGCCGCGGCGGCGAGATGTTGGGCGTCATGTGTTCCAAGTTCGAGCCCCAGGGCGTGTCGTGCGACTACGAGGACATTGTCTACCCGGCCAACATCTCCTACTCGGGGTTCTATTGTGAGTCGGCCAACGCGGGCGCATACGCCGGCCAGGCCCAGCTGAGGGCGTATGCCGAGCGGTGTCCGGATTCCAAATTGGTCCTGCTGGGCTATTCTCAGGGCGCGGCTGTCGTCGGTGATATGTTGGGTGGCGGTGGCGGGCCCATCTTTGGGTGTGATCAGGCTTGGAATCCCTCGCTGCCTCGAGACACGGCGCCTGGATCGAAGAGTACGTCTTCTTGCCACCTTTCTCTTTGTTTGCCTCCTCCCCCAAAATTCTGCTCAGCACCCTCCAAGCCTTGTGAGAAAATATTCTAACACACTTCCTAGTCGCCGCCGTGGTAGCCATGGGGGACCCTCGCTTCACCGCAGACCAGCCGTACAACATCGGCCGCGGCTCGACCTACAATGGCACGGCGCCACGGTCGGGCCAACAACTCGACGACCTCAACGTCTACGAGGACATCACGGCCATGTGGTGCAACGCCGGCGACCCCGTATGTGCGGTCGGCAGCGACCCGGTCAACATCTCCGCCCACTGGAGCTATTACGACGAATATTCCGTCGTCGCGTCCGAATGGGTCGTGGCCACCGTCCTGCACCACCCGGACGTCCGACTCGACTTGGATCTCGACGGACGCAACGAGAGTGTTGTCTTGACGGGGTCGAACAGTTCAGACGATAACGATGACTCTGGAGGCGACGGGGCTGAGAACAAGGCAACGAGCTTGACAGGTCTTGCAGGCGGTGGGATAACAGGTCGACTCGGCGTTGCAGTGTTGGTTACCGCGGGTTTGATCTGGACCATCTAAAAAAGTACATCTGGAGTACATACTTGTATATAGTGATCCTTAACCGCCGCACATTTGGTATGGTTGACTAGCTGTGTATGGCGCCCTTGCATGTATTTTTCATATGCCGCAGGAGACTGGACCGTCGGGCGAGTCTACGGCCACAGTCGGGACAGCTGTACCCAGAGTCGGGATGCACCAACTTGATATGACGTGCCAGGGATTTCGCGTGGTTGAAGCTCTTGGCACAAGCATCACATGTACGCTTAGTCGACACGTGCGGCTTGCGTAGTGGGCGAAGCTGCCGGCTGTTGCGGTCTGTCCGACGCGCCATGGGGCCTCCGGTGGCTACGACAGAGGCCGTAGGAGACCTGCTTCTTGGCTGTCTCAAAGCAGTGGACATGGCCGTTGTAGCTGTTGTGGCAGCTGCGTTTGCCCTTGCGTCTTCGTTCACATGTCGTCCAGGCCTCGCAGCCGATGATGCGCCGACGTTCCTGTCTGTAACTGTTATCACGCCCTCAAGGGACGCCGAGTGTAACAGGCTTTGCTGTGAGAATTCGTCAATCATCGCGGTCATTGCGTTCCTCGTGTCGCGACCCCCGCGCTTGCTGATATAGACCTTGAGAGAGAGCAACGTCTTGGTGCGGACGTCGTCGGCGTCGAGATATGGAGATTTTTCCTGACTGACCTCTGTCGGAAATAGGAAATTGAACATTCGAAACCATTTCTCGTCATCCCTCATGTACCTCCCTGATGTGGGCTTCTTGAATTCCTGGTCTAATTGCACCCGCATCTGACTCGTCAGGCCTTGGAAACTTGGGGCAGGATATATCGCTTCACACGTCCTGCCCCGGATATGCTCGTCACAGCTGGCTCTATTGTCAAAGGGGACGCCACAACAAGGGCAATAATAATCTGGTGCACGATGTTTCCTTGTCAGATGTCGATGGATGCCGTCGATGTCACCGACCTGCTCTTCCTCGTCCCCCAGACATGCTGAGTACAGGTCCGGGTTTCGCACGTAAAATGGACAGGCGTAGGGGTACATCTGGTCCGCTGGTCTCTTCTGGCGCCGGGGAAGCGGTTCCTCCTCGTTGTCACTGGGTATTGGGATAGGAGATCGAGACCGTTTAATGGATCTAGACGGTGTCGATGGAGAATCAGGCACTGTATTTACAACCCTGCGCTTGTCGCTCTTGGGACCAGAACTGGATGCCATGGTTCAACTTATGTCAACAAGAGCTCCACCTCGTGGCGCAGGAAAGGCCCGCCAGAGATTACTGTCGCGCTCTCTCTCTCTGTCGACTTTTGCTGAGAGGAAATTGATTCTTGAGGTCCTGGCCACAGGATCACCTGATCACCTGATCACCTGACGACCTTCCTCACGCCTCTGAGCTTGAAGGGAAATTGTGAGGTTTGGTCAGGAGCAGTGACTGGAGGCAGAGACGGGCGATGGTGAAGGTTTTGAGTAGATATGTACTCGGTAAGAGGTGGCGGGAAATATGTACGAGGTAGTTGGGAGGTGCAGCTGGGGTGGTGGTGGTGGTGGTGGCTGGTGCTGTTGACAGCTTGGCCAGGCAAGGCCAAGGTGAGGCCACCAATCACAACGTAGCATCCTGGCAGAGGCTGTGACCGCCATTGCGGGGTAATGACGACACTGTCGCAAAGTTATTCTATCATTTTACTCGGTACTTTCAGTAAAGGACCCCTATATTTTATTTTCCAGGTATAATCACAAGCTTATAAGCTGTGTAATGATAGTAATATTGTTTGATAATACCTAAAAGAAAAGGGGGCGGGAAAGCACCTCGGGAACCCCATCGAGGTAAAATAGTACCGTCTGACTACGGCAGTTGACACCAGGTGCCTTTGGGACAGATTGTGAACACCACGGGCCATATAGGAAAGATACTGGACCAGGAAGAGTAAAGGACGGTATGTGATTGGATGAGATTGCGAGGCTGACGCTTCAGGAGTTGGAGGTACCTCTGTGTGCAGAGACGTTGACGCCCAACACACCTACTCGGTAAATAGTACAGTGCCATTGTATAGAAGAGTCAACCAGTCTTGCCGTGGCATCCGACTTTCTCGAACCACCTCTCCCCTCCGCCTGTTTTATCCCCAATATGGGGTTTCACGTCGACTGGGCACCATCATTCCCCCTCCTGGTCCCTCCCCGTTTTCTTTTTATCCAGTTGTGGCTGGAGGGATTGGGGTGCGTGCCTCTTGACGCGTCTCACTGGTTTTACGCAGTCTGGGGCACTGAATAGCCAAGAGGACTCATAGCCCTAGGGACCTTTCCCGGAGAACGAGGTACCCGGTCCTGCTTTGCTCGGGTAGGCGTGGGTGTGAGTTCGTACACTGTGGAAACGGAGGAGAAAGAGGGGGAGGGGGGGGCCATTAGCCATCAGCCTCGTGGCTTTAACCTCTGTGGATAAGACTTTGTGATATATCTTCTAATCTCAAAGCAGCCCGGCAGGCCTGATTGGTGGCAACATGACACTCACGCAGGTGGCACGAGGTTGCCGCCCAGCTGCCTTTCCTGGACAAAATCTCTCAGGTCCTTGAGCTTCTCAGCTGCCTCGACCATGAAGACGTCAATGCCGTTCATGAGGTCATGTTCTCCACCTTCTTGCCGGCGATGTTGCCCCCATTCCACCACGTCCGAGTGTACGGGAACAGGGTACCATCTGTCGCCGACGTCACCTTGTGTCTCCAGCCCTCCTCGGCCTCGAGGATCGGTTCGATGTATTTGATCTTGTCGTCTTGCATTTTGCGGACCACGTCTTCGAGTAGGTCCCATTGACATTCCATCAGGGTCGGGTTGTTGGTGAAGGCCGTGGGTGCTGTTCGAAGGTCAACGCAAAGGTCCTCCTTCTTTCCTTCGGAATGGACATACCTTGCGGTGCGCAGATCATGAACATATTGGGGAATCCATGGGCAAACATGCCCAGGTATGTGTGGATCCCGCCCTCCCAGAGTTCTTTCATGTCGACCCCGTCGACATTCTTCAGGCCCATGTGGGTAAATCTACGAGTAAATGATTAGAGTCCCTGTAGCAACACTGATAGAGGGTAACACTCACGAGCCGGTAAAACTGTCGAATCCCGTGGCCAGAATGACAACATCATACTCACGACTGATGCCGTCGTCGGTGGTGATGCCCGTCTCGTTAAACCTCCACCCCTGGTTCCTCACGTCGATGATGTCCACGTTGGGTCGGTCCAGGGACTCGTAATAGTCCCCTTCCAGTGGCGACCGAGAGGTGCCGTAATAGTAAGGCGGTTCGAGGGGCGCCATGAAATCCCGTTTCTTGGGATCCGTCATCCTCGCCCGGATCTTTTTGGCCCAGAAATCGTAGGCGAGTCGATTGGCTTCGGGGTTTATCAGTACGTCGTTGTACTGGGAGAGGCCGAAGTTGGCTGCACCACTGGCCCAGCCTAGCTCCCAGTGCTCTTCACGTTCCTCTGGAGTGACGTCGAAGACGCCGCAGTTGGGACCCTGAACGGGAAACCCGACCCGAGATTTCTTGCTCGCGGCGAAAAACGAGTGGTAATATGCCTTGTACTGGAGGTATTCGTCCTCCCGATACTCCCTCTGGTGCATGGGAAGGCAGAAGCTGATCTTGCGGATGTAGACGTCCAGGTGGTCGGCCTCCTTGGCCACTTCCTGGGTGATCTGGACGGCAGTCGCTCCGGCCCCGATCAGGGCCACTTTCTTTCCCTTGACGCTATAGTCTTTCGGCCAGTTGGATGAATGGTAAATGTCGCCTCTGAAATCACCCATGCCGGCTATGTCGGGGGTGTAAGAGTTGTGTAGCAACCCGACACACATGACCAAATACTTTGCGGTGGCCGTGTGGCCGGCGTTCGTCTTGACGGTCCATCGACCTGTGGCTTTGTTGAACTGGGCGTGGATCACCTTGGAGTGGAAGTAGACGTCCTTCTTCAACTCCAGCGTGTCGGACGCGTAGTTGAGATAGCGGCGGAGCTCTTTGGCGTCCGGAAACCGCTCCTTGTACTTGAACTTGTTCCACAGCTCGGGGATGTGGAACATGTACAGTGGTGATTCCGAATCCACCCTCGCTCCGGGATATCGATTCCAGTGCCACACGCCGCCGATCTCGTTCCCCTGTTCGAAGATTTTGGCTTTGAGACCGAGTTTCCGCAGGTGGTGAAGTGAGCAGATACCGCTGAATCCAGCCCCGACAATCACGGCGTCGAGGTGGAGGTGTTTGTCTTGGTCGACATCTGCGGCACTGCCGTTGGTGACACCGTTGGCGGCATCGCCATTGAGGTGTACACCGTTGACTTCTCGAAGAGTCATCTTATGGAGCAGTCGCGAATACTTTTGGTCCGAGTGGTAGAGAACACAGGAGAGGCTTTGAATCCATCATGGATCCAGCTTGACATGTGGTCTCTGGGTCAAGGCTGTTTTTATGCTGCATCTCAAGCAACATTCGTAGCTGAAGGTATGGTCTTTCCTCAACTTGATCCCCGTTCAACGCCATCTCGTAACCTTGGGTAGTCGTCGAGCCCAGGCCAAGAAACACTTGACAAGGATGAGATATTCTTGCCAGTAGTTGCCAAAGATGCCTCGCTATACACCACAACTAGTCTAGTCAGCGAGTCAGCGGGTGGAAATCACCAATCCTGGCTCTCTCTGCCCGACCAATATTGCAAAAGGCTTGACCGACTTGGAGGACCGAAGCCAAATGGGCCATCGACCAGGGGAACGGGGGTAATAAGGTTGTGGAGAAAATGGACCGAATCAGAATAAATCCCAATTCCAAGCCGGAAGTGAAATAGTTTTATGTTTTCTGGGGAAAGTATTTTATGCTCGAGCCTCGGGACACTGACTCGTTTATGCAATACTTGGTGAACCACATATGGCACAGCCTTGACATGTTTTTTTTTTTTTTTGGCTAGACCAAACAACTAACGCTCTCAGCTCTACCGAGCTTCTATCCCGTATGCGGGGCAGGCCGTTATGTATCCAAGTAAGCTGACTATTATCCTAAAACATCACAGAAATTACTCCCCCTCCCCCCTCCCCTCTCCCACCTTCAACCCAAGACTTTTGTCCTGACCCAAGTCCTAGACAACAAAGGAAGCATACCGAGTACGAGTAGCTCTTTAGCAGACACTACTATAAAGTCCTTGCATCCCCCGATTTGGGGAATCATAAGGAAAAACCCGTCTTGTAGGGTTGGCTTTTACCGAGACTTCCCTGGGCCCCCCTCTCGCATCCAGCACCGACAAATCGATCACGATATTCCTTTTCCTTGCGAAATCACCACGACGGATAGGAGCTTTGCGAGTTGTCTGTCGCAGGAAACGTAGACCTGATACCAGTGAAACCCCGAGCCTCATTTCTCTTGTTCTCAGCACCCTCGTCTCCTCTCAGCAGCCATGGCAGACTTTGAAGGCATTTTGGCCAACAGCACAGACCCAGCACAAAACGCCGTGCACGCATGTATTCTGGCCGCGGTGGACAAACACGGTGCGTTTGACCCATGTCATATCATACCCTAGCTAGGTATCATATCATATCATATAACGTCATTTGGGGCCGCCGACCCCTAACAAGGCTGGCGAAAACCTGAACAAGAAGGGGACTCTTTTTTTTTTTTGGCAAACTGACTGACTGACTGACTGACTCGACACGCTCTCTCTCAATCTGTAGGAAAGCAGCTATACTTCAAAGCCGCGGGACACCCCAACGTCGACGATCCATCCAGTCAAGTCGACCCGGACGCGACGCTATGGATCGCGTCGTGCACGAAGCTGATCGGCACGGTTGCGGCGCTGCAGTGCGTCGAGCGCGGCCAAGTCGGGCTGGACGACCCCGTCGACAAGATCCTGCCGGAGCTTGCGGCGCCCGAGGTGTTCTCGCCACCGCCCAAGGAAGGAGGAGAGTCCCTCGAGGGCTCACAACGCTTCGTCACGCAGCCCGCCACCAAGAAAATCACCCTCAGACACCTCCTGACCCACAGCAGCGGGCACGCGTATGACTTCATGGACCCCCTGCTGGTGGCCTGGCGGGCCTCGAGGGGTGAGGGCGCCGTGTCCCTAGGCGCGCTCGTGGCAAAGGCACATACTATACCTTTACTCTACCAGCCTGGTGAAGGATGGTCATACGGCGGCGGCATCGATGTGAGTCAACGATAAGAGCCAGCCACCTCCCACCTCTCCTTCACTGCCTACAGCGTTTACTGACCTGAGTCTCCAATGGGAAGTGGGCCGGTGAGCTCGTCGCGCGTCTCAACAACACCTCACTAGAAGACTACCTGCAGGAGCACATATTCAAGCCCCTGGGCATCCACTCGACGACGTTCCGCCTCGAGCGCCACCCGGAGATCCAGGCGCGGCTGATGCCCACCGTGGAGCGCAACGCGGACGGCACGTTCAAGATGTCCCAGAAGATGTGGCCGGACGAGGCGCCCGAGGACTGCGCGGGCGCGGGCCTCTACTCGACGGCGACCGACTACCTCGCCGTGCTGGGCGACCTGATCCGCGACGAGCCGCGGCTGCTGAAGCGCGAGACGATCGAAAAATGCATGTTCGCGCCGCAGTTCGCGCGGGGCTCGCCCTCCCTCGCCGCCCTGCTGGCCAGCACCCCCGTCGTCGCCGCCATGACCGGCGCCGCGGACCCCACCGGCGGCATCAACTGGGGTCTCGGCGGGCTGTACATGGAGGACGACATCGGGGTCCACCGCAAGGGCACCCTCACCTGGGGAGGCCTGCCGAATCTGCTCTGGATCATGAACCGCGACCGTGGCGTCGCCGCCCTCTACGCCACCCAGCTGATTCCCCCGGCCGACCCGAAGAATATCGCCCTGGCGAATCACTTCTTCGACGAGGTCTTTCGCCTGGGCGCGACACAGGGTTGATTGTCTCGAGAGGTAGACGTGGATATAGAGATATATTTATTATAAACATATACCTACCTGGTCGGCGTCGCTTCAATGGGCCACCCGGGATAAAATCGACAGAGGGAATTTTTCACCAGTGAGTGAGTGTTCAGACGATTCCGAGCCAAAGAGGGCATCCATACATACGCTCCCCGAACTTGTACTAGATCAGGTCTGATGACAATACTAGTGTACTCGTCCCCAGTCCATGAGAGAGTAGCAGTCAGTACCAGGGTCCCCTCACTACGGTCTTGCTTGGGAATCTAGTCTAATCCGTCTTCCACAACGCTTTGCCGAGACTTGCCCGGACTTCGAGATACGTTTCATAAGCCATTGAGTCGAAGACAATCCCGTTCGGTGGCGCGCCAACACAGACGAACCGTCCGCCTCGCTTGAGGAGATTGGGCGTAAGGTCACGCGTACCCCCAGCCCTGGCCGCAGTGAAGACGACCACGGCATCGGCTCCTTTTTCCTTCTGGTGTGATCGGTTTGACCAGTTCGGAGACGCTGGGGGTAGTGCGAGAGTTGATGGCGTGCTCAATACCAGCTTCCTTTGCGTGTTCCAGAGCTTGGGCGTCCACGTGGACCGCCATCACGTCGAGGCCACCAGCTTTGGCGTACCGGAGAGCTAGAGGTTGAATGAACCGCAACGATCAGAACGCCTTCGATGACACAAAAAGGGACCATCCTCAACTTACCTAGTTGTCCTAGCCCTCCACAACCTACAACTGCTAGAAACGCAGTTACGAGGTACTACTTATGGTTCAAGTAGGATTGCGCAATAAATAATAAACAGTGCACAACGAGACCGACAGTCTTCTTATTAGTACTACTAAAAGTACTTATTCATTTTCCCGTTTTGCGTCATAATCTCGTGAACATATCGCCAACTCTTCCTGGTACCGGCTTTTACTGGTATCCATCCTTCAATACTATCTCTCTGCTGCCCTTGTTGCTCATCCCACCCAAAGCCTGTCTCTTGATCGCCCCTTACAGCACGGCGGCAACACCCAGTCCAATCATCCCAGCAACGCCTGCCCACTGTTGCTTCAAGATCTGCGCTCCACCAGTAAAGGTTGCAGCGGGGGCGCCGCTCGCTGGCACAGAGCTGCTGGTCACGGAGGCGGAAGCTGTCGCTGGGCTACTGGCTGCTGAGCTCGGCGTGGAAGTCGGTCCGGCAGTGGCAGAGGCCGTGGGGAGGGTAATGCTGATGCCCGCCGATCCGCAGTATTGTTGGGCAAATTGCAGAGTTGCTGGAGGAGACGAGAAAGATCAGCTTCATACTAGTGTTCGGTCCTGACGGTCCTTGGCCAAAACTTACCAGCTATATCATCTGCACTGCAAGAAGCAGAAATGCACGTATACACTCCAGTGAGGAAACTGCTTGCCTGGCACACACAGGCAGCATCGGTGGCAGCACAGCCGGTGCTAGAGATGGCGTTGACGGCGCAGGTCACCTACGTCGTTGTTAGTCCTACCTCGCCGGCGGGACGGGTCCATGACACATACAGCACATGCTGGGAGACTAGAAAGATCTTGCGATGCTGCAAGATGGAGGAGGGAGGAGAGTCCGACAGCGGCGAAAGATAGGAAGCGCATCTTGCTCAGATTTTGTAGCTGCAACAGATAGTAGGATGTGAATTCGACGATTGAGATTAACTCGTCAAGCTGCTAGTGTACGTAACGGTCAAAGAGCGAGTGTGTTGGACGATTAGAGTATCTGGAATACTAGTAGCGAGTGCACAGTGGTACGACGTATGTTGTCGGCGAAATAGCGAGGGAGAAGAAGAGGTCAATGAGAAGAGGTTTCGGAGAAGCTTGCTCCAAGTTTTATAGCTGTTGCTACCACCTGGCAGCTGATGGGTTGCACGATGCGTCCCAGAGCTGCTGGAGCTGCCCCATTGGGAGAGGGCGCAAGTTGAGCGGGAAAGGGCCTAGAAAACCCCTCCTAGGAAGGTGTTTGAGTTACTTGGACTCCTAAACTCAGCTCTGCGTTGCTGCAAGCCACGACGATGAGCAAATGAAAAATGAGGGACGGTGTCGATGTCTCAGGCACCCGATGATCTAGCGCAGACACACGTTTTGAGGTCCGCGAATAAAACGACGCAAAACCTGGAGAAACACGGGGAGGAGGGCCGTCCTCGGTTGCGGAGAGAACTTAGAAGTGGAATCCAAGTGATCGAGGCAAAAAAGAGGGGGAAAGATGGTCAAGGCTTTTTGGCGGTATATGTGCCAAGGCCCGCCGACCGAAGCTGGACACAATTGGACGGAAGGAGAAGAAGACGGCGCAGTCACCAGCAGGTACTAATTACTAGTAGTCATCATCACCAGCCGGAAAGAGCAAGTTTTGTAACAAGGGAAGCTGCAGGGTACCAAATACCCAAGACTTCTCCTTGCCATTCAAGTACATAGGTAGGTAGTAAGTAGTGCCATTTCCTAACAGAGCACGCACGGCGCTAGTACTAAAATCGCAACTCCCAGTTCTGGCTCCTTCAATCCCAGCTAAACCATATTAGGCCATTTTGGTGTCGCGTTTCAAACTGCTGGAAGTTCACCACCTGTCTAGAAGGCAGTGACAAACGGATTTGCGAGGTGGTAAAGAGAGATAGTCAAGTCCTTAGTACTGCTGCTTTCTCGCCAGGAAGTTTCTGCATCGGAAGTAGCACTTGCTGCCCTACCACTTTGCGGCAAATATTAAAATACTGTGACTGCACGACTGAGTGCACATCGACTTCGAGAATTTAATTTGTTATATCTTTATCGAAATGCCTGCTTATGTAACTTCATCCATTTCAGGTCTGTGTATTCGGCAAGTGGAAGTTCCAATAGAATATATTGTCTCCTAAACTATCATTGACATACGTGAATATACAGTCTTGTGAAGATGCTTTAACCTCCCAGTATACTAGTACTAGTACTATACTGTGTAGATGTAGCAGTATCTGATGCGCATGGGACACAGCATCAGGGTTTTAAGAACAAATCAACGCATCTGATGTGCATCCGATATGCATTAGACGCAGCGTCGAAACTGCACAACTACTAGTAGTATTCAAAGTGTACTATGAACTACCACTTGATTCTCGCAATACTTTGTTCCCGGTACTAATAGCAGTATACTTAGTATTAACGTTGTTTGCGCTGCTGTTCGCCCGGGATAAAATGATGATTGAAATTGGGCACGAACTTCGTGTGTAGCTTTCCTGGGGCGATAGCAATGTACGGTTTGTCGCTTGGAGTGCATCAACACTTACCGTAGTCCTTCTTCAATTGTTGGAATTGTCGCTCTCGCTGCTGTTCAGGAGGACAGGTTCTTGTCCTTCTTCTTCCTCCTCTTTAGAGCGGTGACATAGTACATTCAGCTTGCAGATAAAGAAAGAATCGAGGACAGGTTGTCGAGATTTCTCGCCGGCCTCATTCGCGCAGGTTGAAGGAGTGGTAATGAGCCAAAGGAAAGCTGCCGCTCAAGAAGGTACAGCATCGCGCACCACTGGCAGTCGCCACTGATGCACCATCACCTCCTTCCATGGATACTAGTATGCGATCACATGGGATCTCGGTGCTCATCACCATCACTGTTTCCTTTGGTACTATATGAGCTCAGAAATGGTCGAACCTATGTCACGGAGGCAATAGTCGACACGAATGCAGGACATCAATTAGTACTAGTAGTATAACGGGGGTTATCTTCTACCTTCTACGCTGGACAGACGTAGTAGCGGATATGTAGAGTCCGCTTCTCCAAGTCAAGCATAATTCCTCTTCATACTCAGCTTCTGCACCGTTTGCTTGCCATCGAGGACTCCGATCGCCACATATCCGACATCTTCCTCGGGACGAACATCCCCAAGTCGAACCATCAGATCTCCCAGCCGCTTCGACTGGTCTACGGCATCCTCCATGGACGATATGTGAGGAACTGTACTGGCGTACGGGTTGTCCCTCAGAAGCGAGCTGAATCTGTCCAAGATGTCAGGCCCGCGACGACGCGCACTCAGCACCACCGTGGCCACGCCGATGATGAACAGTACAATAGAACACAAAAGCATGAGTGCAAGCCACGCGTATTCGCACTTGACGACGACCTGGCTGGTCGTGACTGTCCCGAACGTGCTGTCCGTGTTGTATAGTAGCAAGTTGCTTTTCGGTGCCACGGTAAAATTTCCTGACACAGCGGCGGGCGCGATGCTGTCTATCCAGTACGTGTTGATGAGCTGAGTGAACCGCTTGGAGATAATGTCATCCCCCAACTCCCAGAGCTTGGTGGTGGAAGTCTGCAGCACGGTATTTGCCGGGTCTGCCAAGTATGCTTCTATGGCACTTGGAGGACAAAGGACAGTGTCGCACCCCACCGTTGGGTTCGTGGCGTTGGTGAAATCGGGAAAAAATTGCGTATACTTGATATCCTCCTGACCGAGTCCGTTGATCGGTGTCCAGTCAGTCACACTGAGGGCGTTGTGGCTGTAGTTAAGCGGGTGCGAGGCAGGGTTTGGTGAGGGTCGGACCGCAACGCTGTGACAGGTTTGACCGTCACATTTGATCTGTACCTCGACGTAACTCATACCGACTATGCAGTTTGCCACGGTGAGAATCTTCCCCTCCGGCGCAGGGCCGCTGGCTGCTAACAGATCAAGAGATCGAAAGGTAAAGTTAGTTATAGCAAATTGGTCGACCCTGTTTGGACTGAGGGCGTAGTTGGCACCGCTCCAGCCTATATACTCCTCCAGGCTCTGTCTGTAACCTTCAGTCCAATCGTGGCCTGATGTATTACAGCTAGTGAGCATGTACCCAGTGTTCATGGTGAAGCGTGAAACTCCAGTTGATGGGAGGTCGTGAATGGGCAATCCAGTGAGAGAACTCCATTCGACATCATCTGATTCTGGTACAGATCTCCAGTCTGTGCCATCTTCCGGTGACAAGCTTTCGTAGACGGGTACTTTGACGTTGGCGAATTGGTCTTGGGCTAGAGTTTTGGTCTTTGCTGAGCCAATGATGGCAGCGGTAAAGATGGCATTGATCGGGACAAGAGGTTCCGCTGAGGCTGAACCGACGCCGTTGTTGCTGAATGGGGATACAAATGCGAGGTAGGTGAAGTTCTGGGTCGCATTCGAAAAGGATTCCTGAGTCGATATGACACGCAGTCCAGCTTGACCACCAAGAGGGGAGAGTGCCCAAAGGAGGAATAGAACGGGCGTAAGAACGTTGATGGTCTTCAATGTAATTGGAGCCATGAAAGTGCTAAAGACAGTGCGGCTTTGCAAGAGGTATTCGATCGTGAGTACAGAGGTGCCATGCTCGAGTTTGACAGCTGCAATGGCTTTCAGAAATTTGGCAACAACTGCAGAGAATAAGATGGGGAAAATGGTAGGAGTCTGGATGGTTTAGCAACAGCCACTGGCCAGGACAGGTGCCAGCGATGGCCGAACTCACATATTTGGCGGCTTCAATCAAGTCTCGATTTCCGGGCTGCTCGACAGGCTGGTTACGCCTAGCATAAACCAGAACAGCAAAGACAATGAAGTAGGCGCACGAGACAGCGATGAGCAAATCAAGCAGAACTTCTCCAACGACGCTTAGAGATGACAGCCGTCGAGCGCTTCTAGAGTTCCTGGGATCTTGAGACGGCACAATAGAGTCGTCGGGGCCTGTGTTCAGCAAAGGGCCTTGATCGGCTCTCGATTCCATCGTGTATACAGCTTGCTGCTCTCGTTAGGGGCATGCCGCCTTCTTGGGTTGGAAAAATCAGGAAAGATCAGAAATGAGGCTGAGGGAGATAGCCCTTTTTTCAGCGATTTTGACCACGCCAGCGCACCGGGGGTCGAGCATCTTTCCGTCCTGCAGGTCTTAGATAGACAGGAAGCATAGGCTGAAACGAGCTTGAAGTGTTTAGGCCCCCATGGCACCTAGCAGGGTCTGAAGCGAGAAGACCAGCCACCGGAGGAAATTCCAGGGTTTCTTGTTGCGATTCGATCTCCATTAGCTCTGTTATTTGTGATAGTCACCGGGTTGAGTCCCTTGAGGGCGTACAAGTACGACGTCCGTGGGTGAAGCATTCGTACATGTACGTGCGGTTTCTAATGCCTTGTGATGAGTAAGGCTCGTAGTTTATGATAGTGACGTTGAAATGACAAGAATCCCCTAGCGCAGCTAACTCCGACTAGTGCACACCAATAGTACTAGTTCTCGTTCCTAGTCTCGGCGTTGTGCCTCATGCGGCAGCTCTGCCGAGGTCTGGACCCCAACTCGATGTTCCAGGGCTTCTCTTCACCTTTGCTCCCTACGCTCCCCAACGACACACTAATTTCTCGCTCCTATGCAGTCTTACCGCAGATATGAAGGAGAAGCCAGGAGGAAAGCCCACAGAACGATCTGCAGCATGTAAATCCTGCGGCAAGACATTCGCGCGCTCCGATACGCTACTTCGACACGAGAAAAGTCATCACTCTACAGAAGATCGCGGACCCATTCATCGAGTGACGACTGGGACGTTCCGAGCATGTCATGCCTGTGCAGCAGCTAGATCCAGGTGCTCCGGTGGCTCGCCCTGTGGCAGATGCAATCTGCGCCAGCTCGAATGCGTCTATCCAAATAAACGCCGGAAGACGTCATTGTCGACCGACTCCTTGAAAGACAACGACGAAGAGGCCACGAAGCAGCGAATACTCGGAAACTTCAATGAGTTAGTACTCGCTGCTGATGGCCTGGACCCTCTCTCGTCAAATACACGTACGGATGGAGAATCATTGTCTACCCCAAAGGCTACTCCGGCTCCATCCCACACAGCGCAAGCTACAATACCGTCAAACTACGCAATAGGACACCAGGCGGTAAGTCGAGACGGACAACCAAGCTCAACCCTTGGTACAATGAAGCCAGGCACATCTCAACTGTTACAGCACGACCAACCTAGCAATGATTACCTCGGCCCCCAGTTTAGTGGTGGATTCGTCGAGCCTACCGCGACCTTCGAGTATAACTCGTTTGATGAACCGCTAAACTGGATCCCTCCGAGCATTTATCCGTCCCCGTACGATGCAGAACTCGAACAAGATTTCTCTTTCATTCTCCCTGCACTATCCAACAGCCTAGCTGCTGACTACGCGGTGGACTTCGCCATCAATCCACCCGAATACATCTATTCGGCCGGCGAAGACGTTGCATATGGATCATCCGAGACTCAAGGGTTTCGAGCCCCATTCGAGGTTGCCGAACAGAGTCCCGTGTCTTCAACAAGTGACGGCATACGCATACCTAAATCTGTGCACGGCAGCTCTGTCAGTTTAGACCTGAAGCGGAAGAAAAGAAAAAGTCTTCCCTTGCCCGATACCTTTACCCAACCCAGAAAACAGAGCACGGGCTATGCGTTTCCTGATGTTGAATCCTGGGACTTCATGTTGACACGCAGCTCGGCGGAATACTGTCCTGAGGCAACTTACGACTTGATTTTGAGCAACTTCCGAAATCTGTGTGCGCAGACGACGATGCCAACCCCATTCCAAAGCACTGTCTTTCCACCCTCGAGTGTAGTCAACATTTGCATTGATCTTTATTTCGAAAACTTCCACAAGAATTTTCCCCTCCTACACCAGGCTTCATTTGGGCCTCAGTCTGACTGGATAGTGGTCCTTGCTGCCGCGGCAATCGGCAGTTCCTTCACAAAATCCTCATATGGTCCGGACATTCGAGAAGCTTTCCAGGAGTTCCTCCGCCGCGCTGTTGACAGGTACACAGACGGTGTACCAGACTCTCCGCTGGAACTCCCACTAGCACAGGCCCGCATCTTGAACCTTGTCGGCTTGGTTCAGTCGGAGCGTGAGCAGCTCAGGGCACTGGCGCCACGATATCATGCAGATCTCTCACGGTGGTGTTTAGAATCAGGGGTGTTGCAGGTTTCTTCAGGAGGTGATCTACTAGAGGCCGAGACGGACAGTGAAGGTGTCGAGGATCGCTTGCGATTGTGGAAGAAATGGATCAGGGTCGAATCCTTACGGCGTACCGGCTATATGTCTTGGTTACTTGATTGTTGCCTGGGCTACATGGCGAACGCACGTCCGCTCTGTAACATGGACGATGCAAGAACTCCTCTGCCCTGTTCTGAATCTATTTGGGATGCCTCAACTCCAGAAACCTGGGCAGACAGAACCCGAGAACTGGCGGAAACCCCCTCTCTCTGCGGTGCCCTTGAGACGCTCTACAGTAAGAAACAAGTCGATCCAGAGTATAGCGAATTATCACAGACGTTGCTGATTCACGCCCTTTATCAACGAACGTGGGAAGTGGGCACGCACATCAAACAGCCGCTGAGCGAATGGGTTCCAACAGGCAAAGCTCGAGGCTTCTTAAACACACCATCAAAGGACAACTTCTGGCTCCCGCTCTACCCTCTCTACGCGAACTGGCGCAACAGCGCTTGCGATTGCCTCGATGTGCTTCATTGGCAGGCTTCGAGCATTGTTGCAAAGGCCTCAGGGCTCGAACACGGGGTCATCCTTCACCTACACCTCGCCCGTATTGTCCTCCTGACACCCTTTCAGGAGATACAAGACTTGTTGTTCTCCTTGATCGGCAAAGTGGGCAATTCCCCCAAAGCGTCATTCTACGTTCATGACGGCAGCTACCAACCACGCAACAGCGCCAAACTGCCGCAGATCCGTAAGATAACGTGGCGATGGCTGCGAGAAGATCAGCACAAGGCTCGTCTGGCCATGGTGCATGCCGGCTCGGTGTTTTGGTATGTTCGTCGATACTCCGCCATGAGCTTCTTCGAGCCGATCGCCGTCTATCTGGCAAGCCTGGTTCTGTGGACATATGGCTCCTATAAATCGACTGCTTTTGAGCGCGACGCTGCTGCGGCCAGCCAGAAGCCCGAAGGTGGTCCGAGCGGACCCGACGCCGGGGCCCCCATCCAGCCGTCTCGCATGGAGAGAAAAGAACATCCCGTCACCTTCATCAGCAAGGCCCACGGACGGCCAGGCAAATCTGCTGCTGCTGCTGCTGCTGCTGGCCCCTCGAACCCGCAGCTTTCTCTGTCTCCCGAATCATCTGCCGACCGCCGCTCCTCGGACAACAATGCCGTGCTCGCCGTGGTGGGCGGCACGACACCACCTACCTCGAGGTCCCCTCTGGGCGCGAGCTCCGACTCGGATTCCGACCAAGGCACCTGCTCCTCGGACGACGAACGACCCGAGTTCATCCACCTGGACCGCCCCTGCGACGACGAGATGGTCCAACACTTTGTGCGCAACGGACACACCATGTCCGGCCACATGACCAACGTGGGAGACATCTGCAAGACGCCACAGAAGGTCCTGTTGGAAGGGGCCAAACTGTTGCGGACCCGACTGGCCTGTTGGGGCGTCAGTCGAGAATACTACGACATCTTGATGAAATTGGCCGAGCTGAGGAAAGCGACTTGATGAAAGTTTTTTGGGGAGTTGCCTCGGTCGATGGGCACGACCGACATGTTCATCGTATATTTTATAAATATATTTTATACAACTACCCCGAACAGGATCCCCTGGCATTTTCGTCCAGCAAAGGGAGCGCTGCCTGGCGTGGTGACGCAGCCAACTACCTCGTCCCAAATTATGATGACCTATTGATATTATAGCAGGTAAGCGCCTTCGTACCGAGCCTACCTACATATCTGGGTCCGGTGTGGATAATGAATGGCACGAATGCCCTCGTCGAAATAGTGGTATCTTGACCATGACAACCGTCACAATAATTACTCGCTTGCTCACCTGAAGTTTAACTATCCACCCTGCTGATCTCCTCTCTGCAGTGGTCCTCTGGTAGTCTAGTCTCCTTTCATTTGGCAGCCAGCCTTTTTGAAAGACGCCACACCTTGGAAAAGACGCTTTGTCGCATGTCTGTCACCCCCCCCCCCCCCCCCCTCTCAGCCGCCGCCTGTCTGTCTGTTCACTTTTTCGCCGCAGCAAAGGCATTAAAGGGATTGGTACGCGCAACTTTATCCCAAGTTCCGCCCGCGGCATGGGCAAGTTCGTTGGTGGTGTTCTTGGAGAAGAGGTTGGCGTAAATGTCCTTGGGGTAGTTGATTCCAGTGATGGGTTGCTCGACCTTGTACACCAGCTTATCGTACTTCTGCCAGACCTTGTCACTACCACTGGCCCCCCAGTAGCTTGACGCGACGCCCAAGGCGAAGCCCGTGGCGAACGCAGCTCCGACACCGTCAAACAGCGACACGTCCTTGTGGCCGTAGAAATCGCGCTCAACCCAATTGGAAGCCACTTTGGTTGCTGCACTGCCGACGGCCCCGACGAGCGCCGAACCCCCGTAATAGAGTGCCCTGGCGAGGATACGCTGCGCCGTGGTGTTGGAGAAGAGTCTTTGCGCGAAACGCTGTGACGCCCCGAGAAATCTCGCCATAACGCTCGCCCCCGAGAGGTATTTTCCCAAGCCTCCGGTCACGAAGCCGATGCCGAAATTGATTCCCACGGTTGATCCCCGGCCGCGCCAGAAAGTTCCGGGATCCTTTTCGTCTTGATGCTCCCACGCGTGAAATGCTCCGGCTATACCGGCGCTGAGGAAGGCTCCAGAGAAACTAAAATTATGAAGTTGTCATGTCAGTACTAGTTTGGGTGAATCAAGTCCAGACACACTGGATAGCTTCAACAGAAAGTGAACCAAGACAATGGGCGTCGGAACGACAACATAGGGTGTAATTCTCACGGGACGACACACGTTGGGAATGGGGTCAGGTACGTACGCTGCAACAACAATTCCAAATGTTCCCCCAGTCACGAACATCAATCCGATGCCAATGCCTATCATCAAAATCGCAGCCGTCAAACCCAGGGCAGATGACCAGCTCCAGTGCCCCGTGGGGTCGACATGGTTGATGGGATCGTTGTTTTCGAAAGCATACCGGTTGAGACCGTCCTGCCGTTTCAGCGAGGCCTCGTCCAAGATGTCGTCCGGAGTGGCGAAACGACCAACCAGTGGATCGTACCACCTCGCGCCAAAGTCGAGAAGACCAGTCATCGTGTCCAAGGCCATGGTTTCATATGTCGTCGAGTTTTCCTCCCCACTCCTTGGAGTCATAATGCCAAAGGCATCGAATTGGAACTTTTGCTTCAGAGTGCCGTCAGAGCCAAACGTGTGAGTGACATTGCCTTTGGTATCCGTGTGCAGAACATTCAAGTAATTCTGCTCGTCCGATGCGGGCCCGGTGCTTTTTTTGGCAGCTATGTCTGTCGTGACGGTTGCCATCAGACGATCGGGGCCAAAGACGCGCCGGGAAATCCGACGAGAACCATCCGCGCCGACCGTCACCCGATAGTCTGGACTCAGGCTCAATTCCAACGAGCCGTCGGGGAGTTTCTTGATCAGTGTGTTGCCGTGTGGGTCATAAGAAACCTCATACCTTCTTCCCTGATTTGGTGTCAACCATAGATGTTAATTTGCCGAAGCCGTCGTAGCCAAATGTCATGGCGGCGCCGTTGGGCTGGCGCTTGTACATCCGCCCGGCCTTCTCAAACTGTACTTCTACATCATTGACGCCGCCACGAGTCCCTACGAGTTTCCCGGTCGTGTACGACGAAGAAATGTCTTTCTTAACAGTTGGATTGCCGGATAGGTCGTAATCATAGGTCTGGATTGGATTCGATCCCGATTGCGAAGATTTCAATCGTCGCGCGACATACGTGTAGTCGACGGTCTCTCCAGTATTAAATTCATGCACTCGCGATAGCTGATCCAGACTATTGTAAATATAGTGCTCCTGGATAATGGAAGACGTTGCGCTCATCATCGTGCGTGACGCAGGAAAGCCTGCCTTGTCAAAGGTTGCTTCGATTGAGAACTGGCCCTGCAAACCACCGCCTGCTTGGATCCTCGACTTTTCTGGCTTCTCAAAAGCGCTATACTGGTCAAAATTGGCTTCCACGGACCACGATGGGGTTGACATTCTCGAAGAAGACAGCAGGACACCGTTGTGCGCTTGCGAAATCAAGGTACTGTCTGGCAAAGTCTTGGATATCACTTGATCTTGCCAGCCATACTGGGTTTTTTCCGTGTATGAGTCGTTCGAGGGTATAGTTATCGTAGTGCTTGCCACCCAGCCGCGTGCATCGTAGGAACACTGAACGCGGTACTCGAAATTTTTGTCTGTTTCCTGCACGCGAGACGTAATACTTTTTAAGAGGTTCGATGCTGCTAAATAGTCCTAAGTCGTCGTCTTTCCATTGTGGCCCTTGATCTTGAGCATGCAGCCTTTGGCATCTCGTTAATAAACTATCATGATTCTATCCACAGGCTCTTGTCTGCTCATAACTAAGCTACGTACCATCCTACTCACCGGAAGATTTTCACCTCACCAAACCCCATTTCCGTTTTCAGGTCTGAGCAAAATACGCCAAGAAGGTGAGTGCTGAGTAAGCTCCCTGAGATGAGGCGGTGGGTGGGCAGTACTGGGTGGCGGTCACCCAGCGGTGTTGTGCCTGAGCAAGGCCCGAGGGCCCACAATTGGCCCTATTACAGACAAGGAGTTCCCAGTTTTGGGCTTGTGCCGCATTTTACATTTCATCCAAGGCTGCTGCCTGGAGTTCAGCCTTGTAGATTACCAGTCGCAACTACATATATTTGTTTTTGAGATAAACAGGAAATTTTCTCCCAATACTAATAGTCATATGCCACCCACGTCCATCTGCGATCAATTCCCGACACCAAATTTGCATGACAAGCATACTTCCACTTGAATTCTGCCTCTTACGCCAATACCACCATCACGTAGTAAGGATTAGGATCAGCACTAATGGAGGATAACGAATTTGAATATGCGCCATTGAAATCGGCTTCCCAAGAAATCAGAATACTGTCTATAACAAGGTCTAGTTCGGCCGAACTAGAGTGTCATCTTGAGCATGCTTCTTTGGATGAAGACTCGACTTACGAAGCTCTTTCTTACACCTGGGGAGACAGCTCTGATATCTCATCGATCAAGCTCGACGGTCACGATTTCAGAGTGAGAACAAATCTTGCAATCGCTCTTGAATATTTATGCGAAGGAGAAAGAACCATCAAAATCTGGGTTGACGCGGTCTGCATAAATCAGCGAGACGAGGCGGAGAGAAGCATGCAAGTGCGCCAAATGAAGAAAATTTACGAGAAGGCGCAAAAGGTTGTTATTTGGCTAGGACTAGAATCCGACGATAGCAGCTACGCGATCAACGTTATGAAAAGCATCGACCGATATTGGGCGACGCGAACCTCCCAGCTGGCGACTAAACGTGGTATACCGGTACCAGATATCAGTGAAAGAGCTCTCCAAGCAATAATCCGGCTTCTCTGTCGCCCTTGGTGGCGGCGTGTATGGATCATCCAAGAAGCAACTTGTGCTAGTGACACCTATTTAAGGTGCGGTAAAGATCTTACAGAGTTTTGGAGAGTCACGGCAACCGCGAATTTTATAACGCAACACACAATCCAACATATCTTTAAACAAGATTTCAAGCCCCTGGACATGACACACTTCCACAGAGTCATAGCTCTGGATCAGCTCCGGCGCACTCGGAGACGTTCAGGATATGGCTCGAGTTTTCTTTCGCTCCTCGATAACGCGCGAACGTGTGAAGCGTCAGACCCGAGAGATAAGATTTTTGCATTATCAAGCTTGGCGGTCGATGCTCACAAAGAGGCTGGGGACCCGGACTACACTATACCAATTGACAAAGCATACATAAAATTCACGTATGCCCTGATCACATCGGGGCGGAATTTAGATGTACTTGGTCACTGTCAGGCAGCTGCACGAACACCACAATCTTGGTCTACCTTCGACTTCCTTCCTTCATCGTTTTATCCCAAGTGCACTCTACCCTCCTGGACCGCTGACTGGACATTGATGCTGGAAGCCACACCGTTTATGAAGAATGAAATACCCGATGAGGCTCTCTCCAACAAGGTATATAAAGCAAGTGACAATTATGCTCCATCGATCAAGCTTGCTGATGGCCTGCGAACCTTGTTTGTACGAGGCTTGGTATTCGATACAGTCTCAAAGCTCGGAGAAGCTTTTGACCTTCCATTCAACCCATCAATATTAGGCAAGTGGCATTCCTGGTCCGAAAAAGAGCTTGGGAAAGTATATCACCGAAACGAGACCACGCATAAAGCTTTCCTCCGCACACTTGTTGCAGATATACGTGTGGTAAAGGGACGATGTCTGCGTGGTTTTGCTGCACGTTGGCCTGTTCAAAATAAGCAAGACAGCGAGGAATCTTTCATTTCCAGCAGCCTTATTAATCATGCGGTCAGTTCGAGAGGGTTCTTTCTCTCGGGACAAGGCTATATGGGATTGGCTCGTTTCGATGTGATCAAAGGAGATAAAATCTGTATACTTCATGGTGGACAAATTCCCTTCATTTTACGACAAGACGGGAGATATCACTTGTTCAAGGGAGAATGTTATGTCCATGGGTTGATGGACGGAGAGGGCATGAGATACCCATGGGTTTGGCAGGACTTTGCCCTGCATTGATCATATGTAATTGCTGTCGTACCAGGGCGCTGCAAAAGTATCAATAAGGGAGAGCCTGGTCGAGACATCTAACACTGCACAGTGAACAGAGTTGTCACGGGCTTGAGTATACATGCGGATATGGAGCTTTGGAGAACATCAACATGAGAGTATCGAGCAAGAGAGAAACGGCATTCAGTTGAGCGTTATTGTTGCCTATCAACAGGAAATATACAAGTAACAGTGCGTCAACCTAGCCGGACTAACGGAGGCGGATCCGGTGTGCTCCTGAAGGCTAGCTACGGTTGTCTCTATTCCCCTCCTCATTAATCGTCGTCGCTGTCTTGGACATCTCGAAAACGTAATGGTGGAGTTTTTCTCGGCTCGAGTCGTTCGGCGCGTGCCGTACAATGCTTCGAGGCGCTTGGGCGAGCTTGTCCGGGCGATACGGTGATGGTCGCAGTTACTCGGAGTTCAGTTCGGTTCATCGTGGTCATTCGGGTGCGGGTGCAGCCAGCGCCAAGGAATACGTGTCTGCTGCGGGGTTTGCGCTTTCCTCGAATGCAAGCGAGTGTTGAGCGATCAAAAGTTGTCGGGCTTTTACTCCCCGATAATCACGAAGATGCTGTCTTTGAGCCTTCGCAGTCTTGCTTTTGATTACCACCAAGTTTATGACGCCGCCTTAAAACAGTCTACGCTGTGCGATGTCGGGGAGTCTCTCGCTGTGCAAGAAATGCCACGGCACGCTAAGTTTACTGAAATTGTCTGCAGTGACCACTCCTCATCATGCTTCGGCTGGTGATCTGTTGGCCGCAGCGGATCGCGGGTGCCCAGTATGCAAGACAGTGGTGCAGCGACTTCTTGATCTGTTCGGTAGCAAAGACCTTCCTACCGAGATCCCCACGAAAGATGCGGATAATCAACCGACTCGGGGCTACACCTATTCGATCCTGAGTGCAAGCTACGTTGACGATGGCGGAGAATATTTCAATGGACGTCAATGGCTCTATGAGTTCGAAATACGCTCTCCCGCCGTTCTTTTGGTGCGACCTGACGACCGACGATGTGTGGTGTTGGAACTTAGCTTTGGGAGAGTGAATGGTAAGCCTAACATGGCCGTTTCGTTGGCACATATCTACGAGGTACAGGCTGACCTCTCTCTTCCAGCCTTCTCTTCGTTGCCCCCCTCCATTCGCCACCATAACACGGGGTCAGAAGCATGTGTGGCTCGCATGGTACAATGGCTCCAGGACTGTCTGCAACACCACCCGAAGTGCCAGGCGCGCGAATCGGCCGCCCCCTGGTACCCTACACGGCTCGTTGACGTGGGTCGCGAGAATGACCGTGTGGTCAAGCTCGTCATAAGTAAATCTGCGCAACTGAAAGGCCCATACGTCACCCTTAGCCACAAATGGGGTCATGGGCCCCGATTTGCACTGACAGCGTCTCTTCTTCAAGACTTTCAGACTGGGATTGCACTTGATCGACTCCCCAAGACGTTTAGGGAGGCTGTGGTGCTCACTCGGTGCCTCGGCATGAGGTACTTGTGGATTGACTCCCTTTGCATCATTCAGGCTTCGGAAGACGATTGGAACTTCGAGTCGTTGCAAATGGAGAAGGTTTACAGCAATTGTCGCCTGAATATTGCTGCCACGGCTTCTCTTGATACGGGCGGCGGCCTATTCCGGACGAGACAAGCCGACAAATGCTGGCCATGTTTTGGATTTTTCAGCACTGGCCTCGTTTCGAGAAAACGCTGGCTCCTCAGAGAGAACGATGTCCTTGAGAAAGAAATCGAGCAAGCGCCCCTCAACTATCGCGCATGGGTTCTCCAGGAACGATTACTAGCTCCTCGGGTTCTGCACTTCGGCAAGTCTCAGCTCTTCTGGCAGTGCGACACGCTAGATGCCTGTGAGTCGTTTCCCAAAGGCCTTCCCGTTGCGTGGGGAAGTAGCAATCCGATTGGCAAGAGTCTTGATCCAGCCAGATTTGCAGAAAGAGAGAGGGATGCCGCACTGAATGGGGTGGTCAATAGGAGGCTTGAAGAAAGAGACATTTATCATGTTTGGAACGCAATTGTCCAGCAGTATACGAAATGCGGAATAACTGAGCCAAAAGATAAACTGGTCGCCATCGCCGGGATTGCGAAGCGGATCGCATCGACTACTGGCGATGAATACCTCGCCGGTTTATGGCGGTCGAGAATTACAGAATCCCTACTGTGGCGGGCGGATGGCTCTGTGTCATGCCGCCTGCAACAGTATCGAGCCCCGTCTTGGTCTTGGGCATCTATCGAAGGGAACATATCGCACGTGTTGGACGAGTTCATTGAAAGCGCTGAAAAGGTAGATCTCTTGAAAGAAAGGGTGAAGGAAGCTCGCGTCAATCCAAAAGTCGATGGAGATGTCTTTGGCCAAGTGGATTCGGGCTATATTGCCTTCTCAGACGTAACGCTGCTGGAACCTGTGGAACTTCGAGCAACCGCAAAGTCTGTGGCCATCCATGGTATGTCTGAGGATTATCTACGGTGCGACTTGCACACGGACTTGCCATGCGAACCCGTGGTGAAGAATCTGAGCCTCTTACCAGCCTTTATAGCTTGGGGCGGGTCTTTAATTTGTCTCATCCTCAAACCCAGCACACAGGCAGGTGCCAATGTGTACGGACGGTTTGGAGTCGTCGTCTTTGGAGGAATGGGCAATGCGGCGTATGTCGAAGAACATGGTTACCTGCGCCGTCACCTGAACCCTGATGCCCCGCCTAGGGCGGTTATTACAAGTATTACTCTAGTTTAGGAAACGGCTCGTAACACACGGTACAAGGAGAGGGGGTAGGTTCTGTGAGATCAAACCCACAGAGCGCTACGAGGGACATGAAACACACCATGAGATTGAAAGGTGGAAATGCGAGGAAAGTTCTGATACTTTGTTAGTGGCCACGGGCCGCCGTCGAGCTGATCCACAGGTACTAAAAGAATCGAGGATAGAAAGGACTCGGGAGTAATGATATACTACATATACATTTCTCAATAGGTGATGTTTTTCTTCCCACTACGAGGTCTGCCATCGGAGCATCGTGATGGAACTCCTTGGGAAGACAAACGTCGAGGACTTCTTCGGGTCCCATTCCGACTTGTGCAGCCCGACCTCCTCCTTGCCGGCCATGTTTGTGACCTTGAGATGTGGGCCCGTGACGGTATAGACCTCGCCGCGGGAAGCGTCGACTCCTCCGAGCGTCGTCTCTAGGTCCTGCTCGGCGTGGATGTTGACCACGCAGAGATTGACCCAGCCGGTCTCGTCGAGGGTGGCGCTGACGTCGAGCCACGGCGTCGGCTTGAGGGCCCGCACCCACGCGGGCTTCGTGGGCCCCGTGTAGGCGGCGCAGTCGACGTGCACGGCGATCTGGTGGCCCTTCATGAAGCGGCAGAACAGCTCGTAGGCCCACCAGGTGGTCTGCCGGACGAGGCCTGTCGGCGTGGTCATCAGCGGACTGATGACGTTGACGCTCTGGGCGATGCACGCCATGCTCACGTCGGCCGACTTGCGCACCAGCACGTTCAGCCACACGGCCACGGCCAGCGCGTCCGACAGCGTGTACGACTCCTCGGCGCCGCGACTCCCCACGGCCCGCGTCGGCAGCCACACGTTCCACTCGTCGAAGCAGACGGTCGGCCGCTTCTGGGCCGGCGGGATCTGGTTCTCCACCACGGCCAGGTCGATCAGCGCCGCGGCGACCTCGATGCTGCGCTCCGCGGCCAGCGGCGCCGTCACGTTCTCGTAGTGCTCCTCGCTCGCCGTGTACAGGTGGATGCTGTGCATGTCGATCAGGGGCACGCGCTCCTCGCCCAGGTCGCTCAGGCCGGCCGGCTGCAGACAGTGTTTCAGCACGTGGTGGTCCCAGTTCGTGGCGCCCTCTTTGCCGCACAGGACCAGCTGGATGGTCGGGTCGAGCAGTTTCAGCGCCTTGGCCCACTGCAGCGCTCGCTCCGCGTACGCTTCGGCCGTCATCTGGTTGACCTGCCAGGGTCCCCACATCTCGTTGCCCAGCGCCCAGTACTTGACCCTGTAGGGGTCCTCGTGGCCGTTCTTCCGTCGCAGGTTCGCGTAGTACGTGTCCTTGGTGCCGTTGCAGTACTCGACCCACGCCATGGCCTCGTCGAGCGTGCCCGTGCCAAAGTTCAGGCAGAGATAGGGCTCGGCGTCGACGGCCCTGCACCACGCCATGAACTCGTCGGTGCCGAACTGGTTCGTCTCGACATTGTCCCACGCCAGTTCCGGTCTTGACGGGCGCTGGTCTCTCGGCCCAATCCCGTCCTGCCAGTGGTATGTGGCGCAGAAGTTGCCTCCTGGGTACCGAAACACCGGGACTTCGAGGGGTTTCAGAGCGTCAATCACGTCTCTGCGAAATCCGTCGCGGTCAATCAGGTCCTTTTTGGGGTTTGATGGATCGTAGATTCCCCCGTAGATGCAGCGTCCCATGTGCTCCGTGAAGCCAGAGTAGATGTTCCGGTTGATCTTGGAGACCTTGCGGGTAGGGAAGACGGTAATCGACGGCATTGTCATGGTCATTGTCGTTTTGGTCCCGGGCCTGTACTGGTGCAGAGCTGTTGAGTCTTGACTCCCAGAGTTTACACCCCAAACCTCCAATACCAACTGCCCGAGTTATCTGTTCTTCCAATACCACGGGATCCCGATCGTTGATGGGCAAGAATGAGGTCAGGCAGGTAATCATGTGACGTTTAATCTAGAAAGGAGAAGTCAGTGACGAGCGCCATTGTTGGTTGTCTGAGAAAAGGCCTCAGCGGACGGCAAAAATCCGCCGGGGTTGAACTGCTCATGATATCTTCCCAGTGGATGATGCTTGAATTTCCACGCGAGCTGATCGATATTATCCGCCACACGGACCGTGACAGGGACCTGAGAGTGTCAGGAAAACACCCGCGGAGCCAATTGAAGGGCATGGGAAATGAGTGAAAGAGGCCAAAGTCACCTTCCTGGACCATCCCTGACCCTCCCACCGGGGAACTTCCCTTTTAGGACACTCGCCTCATTGTTTCCCACCGGAGCTTCATTCCTTTCATTCCTTTTCCCCACAAACCACACAACAGTTTTCCCCTGATGTTCTGGTGGTCCGGCACAAAGCTTTGACGAACCCCCTTCGGCATTCGCTGTAACAAAGGACGTTGTCATGCATCTCCGCAATCCCATCTTCTGCTGGTCTCGCTAGACCCGAACAATTGCGGGTTGGTGGCGGGGATTCGCACCGTCTCGACTGGGAAAAACTGCGGGATCAAGCGAAGCATCACGCGGTGAGCTTGACAGTGCAATAAGAATGGGCGATGAGACTCCTGCGAAGGGATCCACATTCATATATTGTCTGTGGTCTCCGTTGATCTATTTGATTTCTCTCTGCCATCTTTGAGGTGAGACCTTTACGCAGGTCTGCCAGACACCTATCTTTCCTCGACTCTATCCACCTGGAATCCTTTCTGGCTGCCTCCGTTATCCTTCGACAAGTCGCCCGTCATGGCTCTACCTCCCAAATGGTATCAGTTCCTCGTCGGCGTCTTCGCCTCGCTTGGCTCATACTTGTACGGCTACGACCTGGGTGTCATTGCAGAAGTCGTGGCCAGCAGCACCTTCAAGGCCAAATTCGCGGCAGATGACACCCAGACAGGTCTGGTCGTCTCCATGTTCACCACGGGGGCCTTCTTCGGGGCGGCCCTGGCTGGACCCAGTGGCGACTATCTCGGTCGTCGATGGACCATTGTCCTGGGATCAATCATCTTTTGTCTGGGTGGTGGCTTGCAGACTGGCGCACAGAACATCAGCTACCTCTGGTCAGGCCGGTTCCTAGCCGGACTAGGCGTCGGATTTCTCGTCATGATTGTTCCTCTATACCAAGCTGAGCTAGCTCATCCCAGCATTCGAGGGCGCATCACGGCCCTGCAGCAGTTCATGCTTGGTGTGGGTGCGCTGGTGGCTTCGTGGATTTCGTGGGCGACAGTATGTCATCCCCCCTTCTCTTCTATTGACGCAATTAACACGAGATCCGACAGTTTGTCCATATTCCAAACAGCAGCGCCCAATGGCGAGTTCCGCTCGGTCTCCAAGTTATCCCTGCCGTCTTTCTGGGCCTTTTGATCTTCTTGTTCCCAGAGTCTCCCAGGTATGGATAGCTAGCTTTACTCCCCGACCGGGGCTATCATTTTCCTCCTCCTGCTAACCCTATCTCCAACACCAGATGGCTCATGGACCACGACCGACCGGACCAAGCTCTGAAGGTCTTGGCCCAGCTTCACTCCCACGGCGACGAAAGGGATCCCTGGGTGATTGCCGAGTACGAACAAGTGCAGACTTCGATTGCGCACGAGCACCAGTACGAGGCGAAGTCGTATCTCGAACTGTTCCGGTCTCGATCGGCCTTCCGCCGGCTCTTCCTCTGCTGTGCACTGCAAGCCAGCATCCAGATGACGGGCGTCTCGGCGATCCAGTACTTTTCGGTCGAAATCTACGGCCAGATCGGTATGGTCTCCCCTCCTCTCATTTTCTGTCTCTGTGTGCGCGTGTGTGTTTGTTAGACTGACAAATTCGTTCCAGGCATCTCCGGCAACGACACGCTCAAGTACCAGGGCATCAACAGCATCATCGCCCTGGTGGCGCAGTTCCTGTGCATCCTGTGCATCGACCACACGGGCCGTCGCTGGCCCCTGATCTACGGTAACCTCGGCAACATGGTCACCTTCATCGTCGCCACCATCCTACTGGCAAAGTTCCCTCCTGGGGTATCGACCAACAAGGGCGCTCAGTGGGGGTTCATCATCATGACCTGGCTGTACAACTTTTCCTTTAGCGCGACGTGCGGGCCGTTGTCGTGGATCATTCCGGCCGAGGTGTTTGATACGAGGACGTGAGTGCTCTCGCTATTCTCCATGTGAAATCCAGCAAATACTGCTGCCTCGTCTACTGATTGGTTATCGATACTAACGTGTGCCTGCTATTCCAGTCGAAGCAAAGGCGTGAGCATCGCCACCATGACCAGCTTTGCCTTTAACACGATGATTGTAGGTTCACGTTCTCCTCTCCTCCATCCTCCTATATCCCTTTCTCCCGCTCTCCCTGCAGGCCCAACATTAAAGATACTAACGTGGTGGTGGTGGTTGTGGTACTACAGGGCCAAGTCACCCCCATCGCCATGACCAACATCGGCTACCGGTTCTACTACCTCTTCATCGTGTGCAACCTGACCAACGCCATCTTCTTCTGGCTGCTGCTCCCCGAAACCGCCCGCCGCCCGCTCGAGGAGATGAATTACCTGTTTGAGCACGCGCCGTGGATCGTCGTCGGCACCACCAGGGACAGCTACGCCAGCCACGATCTGGAGAATCGCCTGCACGAGATCGCGGCCGAGGCTGAGGTCAAGAGGGCGGGTGGTGTCGGGGTTGAGGTGTTGCATGAAGAGAAGGTTTCACGGCCGCAATCATAATGATGATGCGGCTGACGATGGCGACGGTAACGGGTGGCGCCGATGATGTGTGTCGATGCATGTCGATGTGTGTGCCTCGGATGGGTGAATCGATGAAATGACAGATTTGGTTTTGATGTGATGTGACTGCGAGAATGAGAAGGGTGAACTTCAACATGCGCACGGTGCATATACAGTATTACATACACACACCAATACAAAGTACATCTACATACACGGTATGCTTGTTTGTTTGTTTGTTTACTTCTTCCACCCCGGAATGACCTGGCCATAACCCTCGTCGAGCGGCTGGACGGCCCTCTTCCACGCTTCCCGGCCACTGACGGTGTCCCACCACCTCTTCAGGTTCGGTCTTCCCTCGAAAAGCTCCAGGCACCGACTCGCGGTGAACATGCACGGCATGTACAGGATGTCCACCAGACTGTACTCGGTGCCTCCCATGTATGGTGTCCTCGAGAGGGCCTTGTCAAGCACGTCTAGACAGTTCAAAAGTTTCGGCTTGTGTCTCGCGATGACGGCTTCGTCGGTGGGGTTGCCTAGTGCCCTGGATCAAACCGTGGGTGTTAGGACGTTGATGACGTGGATCGGGAGTGAGGAAGTCTGACGGGGAGGAAAGGAGATCGAGGTCAAGCATACGGTCGAATGATGGTCTCGCTGATCACCGGCGCGGCGTGGACGTCAAACTCGACCGCTTCGAGGATCAGCCTCATCTCCCAGACGCCACGTGTTCCAACGTCGGTGCCCTCGGGGGGCATCAAACTCGGGCCAACCGCCGCATACTTCTCGCACAGATAGCGAGCGATGGCGCGGGACTCGAAGATCACAACGTCGCCGTCCTCCAGCAGTGGCACTCTCCCGAAGAGAGACTTTTCGCGGAAGGCTTCGGTCTGTCGATGGCTCTCGTCAGTAAACCACACACGACTGTCGAGGTGGAGGGAACAATGAACTGGCCTTGTGTTTGCCCCCGATGAGGTCGGCTGGGATCTTTTCCACTTCTTCGATGCCTTTCTCAGCCAACACGAGCTCCACCCGCACGCAGTTCCACGACAGTGGTGATGTCCAGAGCTTGACAGTCATGGCTTGCGGATTGATTGGTCTCTTATTCCTCGCGCTTTGGTTTTGGGGTTGAGGGTGTTGATGAGATTTGGAGCACTCATACACAGATGACTGGATGGCTCTTTAAGTACATCCCTCGGCCTTGCCTGTGCCATGACGTTTCCCTCTCTTATGGTCAGAGGCCTTTGGCTTTCATCTCTGGCTTGAATGTTCTCTCTATCAATTACACCGTATACGAATTGCCGAGTTGCCGTCGTGCTCCTCGGCGTAACATTTGCCCCGACCACGCTCGTAGACCTTAACGTTATCAGGCTCGAGTGTAACTAGATGTCACCTTGATTCTGATACTAAAGACATTGCAGCATAACGTTTATGGATTGATCCGCTGTTTTAGAGTCATCTGTATGTTCGAAGGTCTATTTCTGGTGTCGAAAATGGCAGGAATGCCTGCTTTGTTAGTATTAGTCCCGAGACAACTTAACGCCACGTGTGTCGTGCCTCTTGTTATGCCTTCCAGCAATTACTACATGTCTCTCCAAATGATTCACAGAGGGTGCTTGCTCTGGGGGGTATACCATGTGTAGAAAGAGCCGCACTTCCTTGAGTGAGGAGAAACGACCGTCTCATTCTGCGGCTGTCATTCCGCACGATTCGTACAACTGCGAGTCATACAAATATCCAGCATTCGTACACAGTATAGCCATTCAGGTACGTTGGCCACACTATACGCGTCTCATAAGCTTGCCGAGCCCCCAAGGGCCATCACGATGCAGTCAGAACAAGCCTCTGGTACTCCTAAACCCTGCCTGCCTGCCATGGTGCGAGAGGCTCAACCGGTGATCTGATCGAAAACTGTTGAGCCTATGTCACCGACAATTTCAGTCTTCAGCCCTTTCTGTTTGGCATCCAAGTACCAGGTGACGCCAGTTGCAAGTACCTTGATGGTCACCTCAGCGACCGAGACTTCCCAGGAAGAGGCCTGGTAGATCTAGCGTCAGATATCGAGGGCTTCTGACGACCACTTCCATGATCGAGGGTAAGCGGCGTGGGCTGGGAGTCGACTCACCTGAAGCTTGCACAGGCTCTCAAAGTCCAGTGTCTTGCTCCCTAGTTGTTGTTGGATTGCTTTGGCCTTGTCGGTACAACTCCACCCCCAAAGGTCCTTTTCAGTCTTCTCGACCCTGTACGCCACCGACACAACCAGCCACGCAATGATATGCACCAGAGCGTACAGTAGGCTGAAATATGCTGCCTTTTGCTTGGCTTTGCACCAGATGACACAAAGCACAACCAAGGCTGATATAGAAGTGATGATGGAAGCGACAGCTAGCATGATAGTCGGCCAGAGGATGGTGCCCATTGCCCACGGTCCCCAAGGTCGACCCGTGACGAAGAGGTTTTTGGTTGCGTAGAATTTGTAGAGAGTGTAGATCATGATCGACTCCATGACAATCGAGAGGAGTGCAGAAATGACATTGGTGGTTACAGACGCGATCCTGGTCCACTTTCGAAACCTGTGGTATTGTCTCTGGAGAAACTCGCGCCTGGGATTGACCTCAGCTTTGCTCTTCTGCATGGATGCGTGTCGCTCATGGCTCCGCAGGTTATCAGTTATAATCTCAGTCCAGCTGAAGTGGAAATCTGATTTCTTATAGTTGTCTTCTGCGCCATCGCGAGGGGCTTTGGGTACTGTCTGCAAGGTTGGTGATGACATGATTCTTCGAGCAGGCTCAGGAAGGCTGATGATGAGAAGACACGGTGAGAATGCTATCCAGCGCCTGGAAAGATGAACTTATATCAAGCTGGCGGATAGGGAACAAATCGACAACCAGGGGCAAGCAAGAGGCGCAGCAACGAAGATCGCATCCATGATGACGATATAGGTTGACGTTTGTCGAGTTTCGAAGAATTTGAAATGTGCGGATGAGCATTATTCAACGAAATCCCTTGACGCAAAGTGTCGGGCTGAGCCGAACAAGGCAGGGACAGGCATATGTGATACATACCTGTTCCAATTAGCGAGGGCCTAGATCCACGTACCCACTCTCCTTCTGGGTGGAACTGGAGAACAAACTGCTGGAGGGAGTCAATTCTGGGCCAACTGCATGGCGCTGGATGCTGGACAATGACCGGGTAGAGATATTATCAAGCTTCCTGGTGCAGCCCAACAAAGCGTATTTCCTGACTGATATGATATGCGATACAACCTGGAGACTACAGGGGTCAAGCATGCAAGGATACTTGTAGTCCCGAAACCGCTACGGATACCGTATACGTCAGTATGGATATCCATTGCCTACAATGGCGGAAAGTCTTTGAATATAAGCTGTGAAGTCCCTCTGCTTGGAACTCCGAATGCTGATCTTTGGTGTACCGTGGAATGAGAGTTTGAAGCTTACCCCAGATGAGTACCTCAGTCCACTGTCTGATTTAGGCCTGGGAATAGGCAAACTGACGTAGCGGTGCGTGGCCAAAGGTTGGATCTGAAGTAAGGTGAATTCTGTCAGGCTTTCGACGGGTGATCAAACAATATGTGTGAGACAGCAGAGAATCGTCTTGCATTTGGCCACCACAGACTTTACCATATTCTGTCAGCGATATTGGTACTGAGACTACAATCCACTGTATCGATTTCAATGGCAAAGACAAGTAGTTGGCTGATCGTCTCATTTGAAAGGAATATGCCAAAGCGACATGACCTATCGCCGTTGGTCGAGATTAACCTGCCGCTTGTCGGAAGTCAGACTGGTCGCGGGCTGTTGAGCAGTGTCGGAGGAGCCACCAGTAGATCTTGGCAGAGTATTGTGGTAAGATAATCTGGATGACCCTTTCACTGCCCCCGACTCCAGCGCAAAGGCATGTATACCCGTTACCACCAGATTCAAGGTACACTCGGCCGGTTGTTGGCACAATCATAACCATATGGAGGTGTAGGTACGATGCTCTCCCAGCATTCCCGAACCCTCACTGCAGCTGTAGAGCATTGTCGTCATGGCGGATATGAGACTTGAGCCGGACAGTGGCTGAGCCTTTTATGGGCAGCTGCTTGAGAGACCTGGGTGCTCGGTGGTTTATAACTGCGTGTTCTTCATTGAGCTGGATGACGCTTTACGGTTTTAGCCTTCCTCGGTTCGAAGACAGGGGTTTACGTTTCAAACTGTGACCGGGGGTAGGTAAGAGATGGAGAGTTTGCAGGCGAGAAGGATGACACGAGTGTTTCCACAACAACGGCGCAGAGCCAGAGGTGCAAGAGGCACGAGATGGAAAGACATCGAATGCGCAGGCAATGTACTCCGCCGTATTTACTGCTCGTACAATTACATGGTCCACCGTACCTGACCCCTAGCACCGATCCGAAATCCCGCACTAAACCACATTAGGTTCCCGAGGCTTTTTGCTAGAAACTCGTCAAACTCTTCTGCGACATTTCAACCGCGACAACCACCCTTCTGACACGCCTCATCACTGGCCGGTCGTCTCACGCAAATGAGGCCATCTCCCCCCGGTCCTCTGCCACGATACTGAATGCAGGACCAGCCTTGTCCTCCTTTAGGCTTTTTGAGGGATTTTGGGCACTGCTGGGAGATTGGTTTGGAACCGGGGCTTGGTCTGCAAGTCATTATTAGACGATCGAAGGAGGAGGGGTCAGGGTGGCAGGGGCAGGTAAGATCAGTTTGACGATCTAGTACCATAGATGACCGCGGTATGAGACATGTGGTTGGCACTGATATATAAGTACATACGATGTGTGCGAGGACATGGAAAACTTCATCGTGTTCAGAACTCTCTACAAACCAAACCAAACCAACCAAGTGTCCCAGTTGACAATTCACTCTTTTTTTTGCTGTTTTTAAGAAACCTCGGCGATAATTGACTCGCACCGCTCATTTTACAGTCACCATGCAGATGCTCCTGCGGATTCTCTCGTGTACATTCCTCCTTTTTATCATTCATACGACAGCGTCTCCTTTGTGGTGGGATGACCGCCCGGAGCCACCGTCCAGCACGACCGGCGACTTCAGCTACCCGATCCGCCCTCGCGACCCGGCCAACACGTCCGTCAACCCCGAGGCCGTGACGGGGACGACATGCATAGACCCGACCGTGAACCTCAACACACACGATACCAACGTCGCCATCCTGTCCATCTGCGGCGGCATCGCAGGCTCGATACAATTTTGTGGGGGCGACCCGTCGACAACTGTGGGGGCCTCGGGAACTTCAAAGTTTACATTGACAGCCGTAAACGCTGCCGAGGGCGCCACCATCAACGTCAGCAAGGGGAGATGGGAAGGCTGCGTAAGAGCGGCGCGGGCGGTGTGTCCGACGGGGACGTTCAGCAGCACGTGTGTGGGCGGGACGAGTGACGGGGATGGGTTTACCTTTGTGTTGAGTAAGAACAATTGAGGATCATATTCCGGGCAGTTTATGGCAATTCTACAAAGAGACGACGTACAATGACGAATCAAACTTTTTTTTTTCACAACAATCATGTTCCTGTTTCAAGTTCAAATGCGATGTTGGCGAGAGTTGCTGGAGGAGCAATACGGCCAATGGCTTGATATTCGTGATAAGATGTGACATTAATAGACACAGCACAACAAATCGAGGCGGAACGCTACTCGCTACTCGGTTAGATCGTTACACTCCCTTGGGGGGTCTCGAGAAACAGTCACCCTGAGGTTCATCCCAGGGGTTCTGTAAGATCAGAAGCAGAACATATCTAATAGCCCTGACTAGGCCATGAGGTTCTAATATCTTGTTATCTGAGGGACAATATAAGGAAAGATAATTGAAGAAGTGGTCGTAATTCATCAAGATCCGAAATACCCAATAAAACTCCTCCGCCTGCTCAACCTCTGCGTCTCAATCATTCTACCAACTGTACCACGTAGAATTGTTGAATTTTTGGGCAGTGTACTGTGAGCCCATTGGCAAGTATAGTGCGTGCCTGCTTCCAGAAAGAAAAGAAGATGGTCTTCTTCAAAGCCAACAAGGAAGGAAATAGAACTATATACAATCAAAATACCCTGAACATGCCTCAGCGGCTTTGAGTTTGAGCCATAGCAAAGGTGTCGAAAACGGGGCATGACGGTGCCTCAACGTCCTGTTCTGCTTGAATCAGGTTGTCCATCCACGAGTCGTTGTTGAAAGGCATTTGGTACTCTAGCTGAGGAACAGGTTCCGCGACGCGTGGTATCATGCCAGGAACTGTGCTGTCGACGTAAACGTTTGGCTTGGTCAAGACCTCGCGCGCGAATTTGGCCACTTGTCCTTTGGCAATGGTGGCCCGCGGCCAGACCTCACCGAATGACCCAAGCGCCGAAATGCCGAGCTGCAGCCGTTCTTTGATTGCCACAAGCTGATCCGGTGTGTCCACTATTGCGTATGCCGGCAGGTGTACTGTTGCAGCAGTGGTCAAGCCGCACATCAGCACCGGCGAGCACATCTTGACATCTGTCTGGATCGATGCCAGATTGGTAATGGCATTTGCGGCTCGTAATGCTTTGGCAGTATGTGAGGTGTAAGCCAGTGCGGGAAGACCAGCAGCCTCCGCCTTTGTACATGTCGTGCGATAGTGGTTGCGAATGAAGGTCAAGGTTGATCGCGGACGGTGCAGACAGATGGCAGCCCAATGGATAACTAGATGGGCGATCAAAAGACACTCGTCGACGGTACCGTCGTTTCGGACCACTTCTCGCTTGTCCATAGGAAGGGATAGTAAGAGGTTCGAAATGGCGGCGTCGATGCCTTCAACTTGAGGATCTGTCACCGCAAATGTGTCTGGGCTCAAGGCGAGCACAGAGCCGAGGAGATACGCTCCTTCGATGCAGTAGGCAAAGGACGAGTATTCGAAGGTGTCTTCTGAAAAGGTCCTGTTCCGGAGGTCTGCAATTGTACGGGTTATAGGCGGCGATCGAAGCTCGTTGTAGTCTTCATCGTGGCCGGGTAAAGCCACATCTGTGTAGGTCGAGTACAGTCGGAATGGGGATGATTGACCCCCAATGACCACGACCAAGCCTTCAATCAGCAGGAGTGTCCACCACGTCCTGCGCCATGATTCTTGCATTGTTGAGTCGTTGGGCGACTGCTGCAAAGCATAGCTCTGCCGATTGAGCCCAATCCGCAGTGTGATCTCGATGGCTTTGTCCAGGGCCATGGATCCCTCGCCCTGCCCGAATCGAGCGAAGCAGGTCATGGCGTAGAGAAGGAGGCCCTGCACCTTGAAGCCATCGTCAGGGACTTCGGGGGCAAAGATGGCCTTTGCCGCATTCTCAAGAGCGGCATGGTTGGCTTGAGGGATGTAATGGCTTGCCAACCAGCGCATGCATGCCTTGAGCGGACCCGGCAGGATGGCAGGATTCTGGACGTAGAGCTTGCGAGGCACGATGAAGGGGTGCGAAGGATAGAAATGCTTGTAGAACAGGTCGATCAGGTCGGTGCTCTCTATCAAGGCGCGGTCGGCGGGAGCCGGCAGTATATCTCGTGTGATAGACATGGTCGACTCGCTGTTGCTGGGACTTGGCAGCTGTTCTTTGACGGGTGGTGCGGTCTGTAACTCGAGAGGAAGAGCTGGAAAAGCTGGATCCATGGTGGGTTGGAAGAGTTCGGCGTAGGTCATGGCCCTCAGCTTGGTAGTATCAGCCTCGTTAAAGACATAGGCCTCCTGAGACAGAAAAGGCTTAGATTCGTGCATGATGGTATCATTCTTCGGCCTCTGTTCAGTCTTGTCTTCAGGACTTGATTGGGCTTTGCGAAATTCTCGGTATCCTCTTCGGGAATTAATCCAGGTACAGTCCCCGTTTTTCTCGGAGCACCTGCTGCAAAGCGGCTTCTGGCCATCGCATTTGAGATGGCTCTTCCTGCATGGAATGCAGGCGAGAAGGCTTGGATGCTTCGATCGGCTTTTACTGGGGCCCGGATTGACATTAGTAGCTTCGTCGGTGGACATTTTCGGTTTCGCTTCAGATGGCAATGTAGATGAATGGCGGTCTAATATTCCCTAAGGAGAAAGGGGGGGGGTGGTCGACAGGTCACAGGAACCGTGGTGAGGATGTGGCTTCCGGCTCGGCGCGCGTTATTTGTGCCTTGGATTGAATGGCAATAGGTAATGGCTGCTTAGCTTGACAGCCCCAGATCAGCGTTGTTTCGCGTCCTTTGATGGTCCCCGGGGGGCAACTGGTCGCTGTGAGCCTTGGGAATTTGGGATAATGCCACGATGGGCTGACTCAGGGAACCAGCGGATGGTGGGAGGAGGAGGTTGTCGGGGACTTGGTGGAGACGGGGACGCCACCCCTCGTGTTGGAGACGGAAACTATGGCGACAATTTTTAGCCCTAGCGCCATAACCGTTGAGTATTAGCGCGGACCACGTGCGCACAAAGATAACAGGGAAATCAAACAGGCCAAATCTGTCTGACAGGGCCAATTTCCCGTCTTCACCCCACTTCAAATTCACCTCCAGCCCGGGAGTTCTACTTGCACCTGTCCTCTAATGGCCTCGACTGAGACCATGTTGTTGCAACAGAGCTCTCACGGACACTCTCCATCGCATTTCCGGCGGTTATACACCCCATCTGCTCTATTCTTGACCACTTGCATATGCAGCAAAGAACCCGCGGTGTCCTCCGTCACTCGTCCTCTCTTGTGTCAGACCGGTCCTACGCCGACAAGGGTCGTGAAACCCGACGTTCCCGAAAGCTGACCCCATCCGCCCAATGTGAAACGGATCTGACAAGAAAATGGCCTGATACCAAGAGATGGCAATCCCGCACACAAGCAAGGGGGCGTTCCGGGGGCTTTGAACTAAGGACTCGAAACGATTATGTACAATGACTCTGTTCAGATCCCCGAAGAGTTCGCCTGCCACGAGTTGTGGACCTGAACACTCTTATCCATTCAGGGATGTTGAATGCCAGTCCCCGATATGATGCTGTCTGTACAAATATCCTGTTTGGCTATGTGGGTGCGCTTTGCCTGAAAGATCTATGACCGGGTATCGGGCTTGGGGTCCTTGGTGACTTGGAAGTCGGGCAGGCCGACCGTCTCAGCCAGCCTCGCCGAGATTCACAATTCATTCCCGAGCATCTGGCTGCTTTACTTGGCTATGGATGGCCGAGCACAGTCTCCTATCTACATAGGGCTGTGCAAATTACGAGGTGAGGTAGGTCGCTGACCTCTCTGCGCAGGCTGTTGGGGATGAAGAAGATCGTTCCCCGAAGGCTGAAGACGATGAGCTGGCCTGACGTTGGAGAGCGTACGTTGATTAGCTCGTGGTGTATTGTATCCTTCGGCGTCTGTTCATTTGAAAGAAATTGATTGAGGTCTTATAAGATGCTGTTGAATTGCCTTCTGTCTTGGGAGTCCGTCATGCTATCTTGTCCCGTTTCCAAATCCTCTATTGCATCCCTCCCCTCGAGAATCGTCAGATATTGACCTCTCCGAAGCATACTGGACAAGAGGTCCAAGTCGCTATGCCATCGCCCCAAGACCTCACCCTCCCGTCAGACTCCCTGAAGGACCCTAGAGACATGACAACGGATCTGGAAAAGGGCCCTGAGTTGACACGCCACCTGACAAACAGCGCAGTCTCCACCTTCTCCTGGTCAGACGTCGGCGTCGTCGTCAAGGATAGGAAGACAAAGCAGCATTTGCACATTTTGACCTCCAGCCATGGTTCGGTCAAAGCAGGGAGTGTCCTCGCTCTCATGGGCCCCAGTGGAAGTGGCAAGACCACTCTTCTGAATGTGCTTGCTCATCGCACGTCTACGATGAAGGGCGAGATCCGGGGGAAGATCATGATCAACGGGCAGCCCACCAACGCAGCCGCCGTCCAACAGGTGTCTACCTATGTGGAACAAGAGGACGCCATGATTGGCATCTTGACACTGCGAGAGACCATCGACTTCGCCGCCAGACTCTCCATGAACGGGCAGCTATCCAAGAGAGACAGAGTTGCGCGGGTCAACGAGCTTATCGAATCATTCGGTCTCCAGCGTCAGGCAGACACCATTGTCGGCACACCCCTGCGCAAAGGTCTCAGTGGCGGCCAGAAGCGCAGACTGAGCGTCGCCAGCCAGCTCGTCACATCCCCTCGCGTGGTCTTTCTGGACGAACCCACCAGCGGCCTCGACTCGGCGGCCAGTTTCGAGTGCATGAAGTACATCAGGCAAGTGGCCAAGCAGCACAATTTGATTGTCATCGCGTCAATCCACCAGCCGTCGACCACTACCTTTCAGCTGTTTGACCAGCTGATGCTTCTGTCTGGAGGCCGCACATGCTATTTCGGCCCCGTGTCCAACATCCAACCCTACTTTGAGCGCATCAGCCGCCCGGTGCCGCTGCACATCAACCCGGCCGAGTTCCTCCTCGACCTGGTCAACAGCGACTTCAACCACGGCGCGGGCGCGGATGAGGGCAACCTCCGCTACATCCAAGACGCATGGACAAGCTCCGAGGAATGCAAAGCCCTGGAGGCCACCACGAGCGGCACGGACGCTCTGGAAAAAGCCGGTAAGCCAGTGTCCACAGCACGGACATCGTCCAAGAACGTCGCCGCCGTGTCCTGGGTCCTCTTGCAGCGGAACTTCATCAAGTCGTACCGCGACTTCATCGCCTACGGGACCCGCGTGGTTATGTATTTCGGGCTGGCCATCATGATGGGCACCGTCTGGCTGCGCCTGTCGTACTCGCAGAGCTCGATCCAGCCCTTCACCAACGCCATCTTCTTCGGCGGCGCCTTCATGTCCTTCATGGCCGTGGCGTACGTGCCCTCCATCATCGAAGACCTCCACACGTTCAACAAGGAACGCCAGAACGGCCTGTACGGCCCGCTACCCTTTGTTATTGCGAACACACTCATCGGCGTCCCCTGGCTGTTCCTCATCGCAATCATGTTCTCCGTGGTCACGTACTGGCTGGGCCACTTCAACCCGACCGCCGAGGGCTTCTGGATGTGGGTGTTGTGGCTGTTCCTGGACCTCCTCGCCGCCGAAGGCCTGGTGGTTCTGGTGTCGTCTCTCTTCCCCATCTTTGTCGTTGCACTGGCCATCACGGCGTTTGCGAATGGGCTGTGGATGTGTGTGGACGGGTTCATGGTGCCGATGGGCAAGCTGAATCCCTTTTGGAAGTGTGAGTCTCTACCCTCTTGTTCCTCATTTCACCGATGGGCCCAATATTCTGCGTGAACTCTTCCGTGCTTCCATGAACAGAGTGTGTATGTATGTACACGCGCTAACCTGCTCTTCTTAATCTCGATCTTCCAGACGTCTTCCACTACATCGACTACCAAGCCTACGTCTTCCAAGGCATGATGGCGAACCAATTCCGCTCTACCGTATGGGACTGTGCGAGGATAGTCCCTTCTCCGGACTCATCCTCAGGCTCAGTCTCAAACACAAGTACCGATTCGACCTTCCAGTGCATGTACCCCTCGGACCTGTCGTCGAGCGGCAAGATCCGCGGCACCGCCGTGCTCGAGGCGTACCGGTACTCGTGGTCGTCGGACGCCGTGGGGGAGTGGATCGGCATCATGTTCGCCATCATCCTGGCGTATCGCGTGCTGGGGTACCTGGTCCTGGTGGTCAAGAGGCACTAAACTCTATTGTCTCTTTGTTCTTCGGTGGTCCACTCACTACTGAATACCGAGTATAATGCTTCTTCTTTTTCTTGTATAGTCACAGAAGACGATTGGAATGGATTCAAGTTGGGATTGAGGGCCAAGTTTCTACAGAGAATATGTACTGCAAATAGTCAGTGGCTGGCCCCCTGGTATTGATTGAGTTGGATTGTACAGTCTGTGGATCTCTCGGTCAGGAACGAGCGAAAATTCAGGTGGAAACCTTGTGCCTCGCACGAACAGCGCGCAATTGATTTGTGTCTTCTTCATCTACAGTGCTCATTTTCGCCGCCAGTCGAGGTAGCTTCTTCTGTTCTAATCTACCTAGAGCCTGGCAATAAATCAGGCCGGGTGACTTTGCGCCCAAACACGACCTCGAGCGACAGCACGTATCCCAATTCCAGCGGCTCCGAGACCTGAAAGGCATTAACCATACAAGACCTCCCCTTGAACCCAGTCACAACGCCGTAAGACCCATCGCTGCCATTACCACCAATTCAGAATACCGAGATTCCTAACCGACGTCACTCATAAACATGGCCGCAGATTAAACGTTGTCTCGTCATTGCTGTCCGGAGTCGGGTGCCGCGCGTTCACTTGCCATCCTCTTCCTTGCTGCCTTCGTGCACGGACGGCAGTAGATGATCCCACAAAGGCTACATTCGGACAAAGGCTGTGATTTCCAGTCATACTTTTTGGTTCGACGCTCCTCCTCTTCCACAGCGTCACTCATGGCTGGCTGGCTGGTTGAGGAAGGCGTTTGATGGCACGATTTATCCTGAAGTCCTGTATTCTTAGTTTCCCCGTCCGGGACTTTGACCTTGTTAAAACAGCCCATACATTCCACTTGCAAGCCTGGGTCTTCGGCAGGAGTCGCATCGACCAACCAGAATTCAGGTATGCGGTCCTTTCCAAATGCTCGGAAGTGGTGTCGACATCCCCATGTATCCCAAGCCTCGTCCGTCGGCTCGTCACCAAAATTCAGGCTTACTCCTTCCCAGTCATTTTCGTCCGGATTATCCAGGTTCTCAGGCGACGCAGCTGCTGTATCCTCGGTAACTGTTGTCTCGCTTGCGGGATGGTCTGTTTGCAGGGCCTGCGTACCATTCTGGCTATCCTGGATGTTCATAAGCTCCGGCGGTTCCCTGCTTGCGGCTTGGTCTACCGTTGTATCTTGAGTCTCATCCTGGGTATTGGCGGTGCTGCGGAGAAGGACGGGATCTTGTGGCGCCTGCACTTGCGTACCATCATCTATCCCACGCGGCTCTGGACCAGACGACGAAGCACCCATTCCATCCTCTTCTTCTTGCTCAGACTCGGACTCTTCATCTCCTCCTTCCGAGTGCACGCCATCATCTCTGGCAGCACTACACGGCTTTTGGTAACAGGCATTCATTGGCCGTTGGCAGTCCCAACACCAATGGGCGCCACATTGACACCTGATGTGAGGACAGCCATACATTTTCATAACGCCAGTTCCGCATTTGGGGCAGACCTTGTATTCGTATGTCTTCAGAATGAATTGTCGAGAGTCGTCTTCTGCGCAAACATGCTCGCCTTTGGCACTCTGTCTACACTTTGCGCAGATAGCAGTCTTGCAGGCGTGGCATGTGACCGTCCTATCGGTTTGGTTGAACATTCGAGGAGGGATAAAAGCCGAGCAGGTTGGCACGGGGCAGTACAGAGGATCAATGGTGTTGAATTCGTCGAACTTTTGCTTGTATCTTTCGACTTCTGCTGTTGGAAGGATTCCACGTACGACCTCGTGGTGCATGACGATGGCGCAGCACATGACGGGCATCCTGTCGATATATTTCATGGCTGTTCGGAATTGGGTCCTGAGGCACTCGTAACATGTTGCTTCTTTACACCGTCGACAAGGGGTGGAATAGGGCCCATCGATATCGCTAAAGCAGATTTTGCAGACGATCTTCTTGTCGGGCGGCGATTTCTTGAGGCGCTTCCGAGGAGGGGAGATGTCTGATGCTGGAGGTGGAGGAAGTGCTACGGGGTTTCGTGTGCGGCCAGGTTCAAAGAGCTCAGACTGAGGTTCGGTAGAGTCTCCGTGGTAAGGAAAAAGATTGTATTGGTGGCCTGCGACGGTGATATATGGGTGGTCCACCAGGGCAGAGGAGGCATCAGCAGCAGTCGAGAAGGCGTAAACCCAGTCGTAGAAAGCGTGTCCATCTGAACCTGCACCCTGTCGAACTCCCTTGAGACCGAGATATCCCTCTGAGCCAGCAAATGGAGGATTGATTTCAGTGAAGGGATGGTCTGGGTCGAGAAAGGCGGTACGGAGAGCGATTAGTGGCGAACCCTGGCCGGCCATGGTGTTTAGAAGAAGGAGGGTGTCGTTGTCGTCATTTGGAAAGGAAGTAGGATCCAAGACAGAGGCGTCTGTGGGAGAATCCGATTTCAAGTTGGTGGCAGTAGGTTGAGAGCCAAGGACACTGGACGAGGGAGCGGCAGGCGCCCAAGGTGGGGTAGAGGGGTTGGAAGAGTGAAGTCGTGTGAAAGGACGATGGCGGAACAGGCGCCAGACAAGTGAACAGGCCATGGAGTGAATGTTGAGGCGGAGGCCGGGGGGTTTGAAGGCTGCGCTATATCAGGCTGAGAGGCATAAGGCTGACTGGCTGGCGCGATGCAACTTCGAAGCACTAAATGTGTACGAGAGAAGTTATCAAGTAGAGAGCAAAAGTGAAGACTGTTAGGCACAACAAGACGTTAAGGTGTAGGGGGGAAGCCTTTTAAGCATCGTTGCCTTGTTTCTTAGAACAAAGGTCTGTGAGTCGTAAATTATCAGAAGGATTCTGCTTGAGTCACTTGGTGATTGCTGGTGGGATTTGGCAGGCACCAATCTGGCCAAGGCTTCATTGGCCAAACGCGTGAGGCTGTACTCGGTTATCAGGGGGGCTGAGAGGGCAGCTGCCTGCAGGTGCCTCATTTTCCCGATTGACTTGGGAATCCTTCAAGCTTGATGTTAAGGATGTCATTGGATTGTCATGGTTGAGACCATCTAGGCATGACTCCTTATTGCATGCACCAGCCACCGCCTACTTGTACAATGGGGAAGCGAGATACCGATGTGGAAATGCTGATCCTGTCTCGTACAAGTACAAGTAGGGCTGAAGCTAGCTTGGTGCCAGTGCTAAGACACTGTACTTGGACTTGTCCTTGTACTACGGTGGTGCCAGTGACTTGTACCAAGTCAAGGTAAAAGGTAGTTTGGGTGGGCAATATATTAGTGGCATGCCATGTGCACATGATGTCAAGGTTCCGTCCACCGATAAACTAGACTCCCCTCGAACCTAGTGTCAACCCTTTTCTGTGCTAGACGCGGTCACTTCTCAACGCGTGGAGTGGTGAAAGTCCGCTGTGGCCTCCACTGGTGACTACTGCCTGCCGCCCATTGACTGACTCAAACCCTCACAATCCGGTGCTCACAATCTCACCGTTCAGTCACTGCCACTGCGATGCCCCGACAACTCAAGCGTCGCGCTGACGCAATCTCTCGTGACCAGTCCGAATCAGAACCCGAACCTCCTCCAAGACGGCGCGCAAGCACACCTTCAGAGTCGGACGCCGCTTCATCAGCCTCCTCCGCACCCGCCTCTCCCTCCCGAGCGCTTCACTCCACAGAGAAGCTTCTTATCAAGAAACTTGTCCGTCTGGCCCTCGCGACGGAATACTCACGTAACCCCCTGCGGCGGAGCGACATCTCCCACAAGATCTTCAAGGATGCAAATACCAGCGGGGGTCGGGCGTCGTTCAAGAATGTCTTCGAGGGAGCCCAGCGCGTGTTGAATGATGTGTTCGGGATGCAGTTGATGGAACTTCCTTCCAAGGAGAAAACAACCCTGAAAGATCGCCGGACACAAGCCACGCAGACAAAGTCGTCCACGAACAACTCTTCCAAGTCGTGGATACTCGTCTCGACGCTCCCGGCCGAGTTGAAACAGAATCCTGTCATCGCACAGCCCACACGTGCGCCCAGCATAGACGTCGAATCCAGTTACACTGCCCTCTACACCTTCATCCTCTCCCTGATTTACCTGAACAACAACGCGGTCACGGATCAGAAGCTGGAACGCTACCTCAAGCGCGTCAACGCCGACACCTATACACCGCTGGGCAATAAAGATAAGCTGCTACAGAGGATGATGAAGGAGGGATATGTGGAGAAACGGAGGGACACGTCTAGTGGCGAGGAGATCGTCGAATGGACCCCCGGGCCAAGGGGCAAGATCGAGGTTGGGGTCGAAGGTGTGGCCGGGTTGGTGAGGACTGTCTATGGACATGGAGCAGTCCCTCTTTCGCGAGGACCTCAACAGAATAATCCGCGTAGACGACAACGCGAGGAAGATGACGGAGGTGAAGACGCCGACGGCGAAGAAGCTCCGCGCCTCGTCAAGATTGAAGAGGACGAACTCAACGCCAAGCTCTCGAGGAGTCTAGGCATCAAGATTGGGAAAGGTGGTGTACCGCAGCGAAGTCGAAGAGGAGGTGGTCGGGATGCCGAGGACGATGGCGGGGAAGAAGAGCTCGATGAAGACAGGCAGCAGCTAGGCCCGTCGAGCCGGGGAGGTCAGAGGTCCAAACCCAGCACGTCTGGAAGAGATCGAGGCGGCCGAAGGAGGAATGCCCGAAATGACGACGACGAAGATGACGACTGATTGTTCTTAACTACCTAGAAAGTAGGTAGGTAGGTTGGTACGACTTTACAACTGAGCCTTTTAACGACTTTGTATTCGATATACAGGTGTACGTCGTCCCTTTATATGAGACGGACACACCTCCCCTCCCGTGTCCATGTCTGTAATGGATTAGCTACCCTAAGCTATGTAAGCCATGAATCTAAGACAGTCGTAGCAATAACCATGATACGGTGTCACCCCTTTCGCAGTTGTCGCTGAGTGCCACGAGAACATGTGCGCACCACATTCGAGATAGATCAAGTGCCATTGACAGGTCCAGGGGTAAAAGGAAAGGACAAATAGGAGAATGTCTATCAAAAAATAAAAAATAAAAAATAAACAATAACAATCTAGGTTGGCACAATACAATCCCGAGGCTTCCATGGCTACAGCCTCACAGCCTCTATGCAATGCTCCGTGGCTCTATGTAATGCCAATTCGAGATCCTCGCCTGAAACTTCCAGAGTCCATCGGATGTAGTCCTTTTGCTTCTGCTCCGAAGAACGGCAAGGCTACAGCTTTTGAGCGACTTGCACTACCCTGTGGTGGAGTGCGTCGCACTATGCCGAGGATATCGGCCTTGCCTTTGTCTGCTTCAGGCTCCATTGGGTTGAGAGGCAGACCGGACACTTGGTTCGTTGACCCGTTGATTGCCCGGTGCTGGATATGGAGCCTGAGGTGGAGCTGAGCATGGCTCGCACCGCCGTCTGCTTGTCCTTGCTGTTTCGCTTCCATTGGCAATGAGGACATCATCTGGCTTTCTGCACTCTGTCCTGTTCCCCAGACCACATGGGGATGGGGATGTCATCGACGTCCTCAGAGGCCACTCCAATGCCAGTGGTTCATTGCCTCCGTCCTCTCAAGGCTCTGGCTGAAAGGGATCTCAGCCAAACGGCGAATATCCGCCTCGTCCTCCACCTGAGCTGAACCTGAAGCCGCCGCCACCGGACCCTCCACCACCCATTCCGTTCATCATATTAAACAACATCTCCGGGTCAATCTGCACACCGCCGCCACCACCACCCATGCCTCCAAAGCCACCCCCGGGGTATCCTCCCATCCCTCCGAAACCACCAGGAAAGCCCCCCATGCCGCCAGGATATCCACCCATGCCCATCCCAGGTTCCATCAGGTCTGCTCCCGAATCGTACATGTGCCTCTTCTGGGGATCGAGCAACGTCTCCTTGGCCTCAAGACAGTCTTTAAACTCCTCTTCCTTCTGCTTATCGCCCTGCGTCTTGTCTGGATGCAGCAGGGCCGCTTTCTTCTTGTAAGCCCTCTCGATATCCTTGTCGCCGGCGTCCTTATCTATACCTAGAATCTTGTAGTAATCCTTCCGCTTGGATTTCTTGAGTTCCAACTCGGCGTTACGGAGTTCTTTGGCCAAATCCGCGTCAGTGGGGTTATCTTCAGACAAAGACTTCAGATCTTTAACAGCCTGTTCCCAGTCACCGCTTTCTCCAGTGGCTTTGGCTCGGGTTCTGCGGGCTTTGGTGTAGCTGGGGTCGAGTTTAAGAGCTTGGTCGCAGTCGGCCTTGGCTTCATCGTATTCCTTGATTTTGATCCGGGCTAGAGCACGATTTCCCAACAGTTTGGCGTTTGTGACCTTGTTTGTGGGATCGATGGTGAGAGCTTCCGTGTAAGCAGTGACGGCGTCGGAGTATTTGCCACGCTTGAACATGTCGTTGGCGGCTGTTCGGGCTCTATCTAGCTTCTTCATTGTTCGCAACCAGTTTCGCGCATCGGAGTTGTCAGGATCGAGTGCCAGAGCTTGTCGGAAGTAATCTTCGGCTCGTTCATAGTCGCTCTTTCCCTGTCTAGGCTTATCGTCCTTGAGGTAGAATGCTCGACCTGCGAGAACAATAGCTTCGGCGTCCATAGGGTTTTCACGCATCAGATTCTGCGCAATGCCCTGCACCTCGCCCAGGGCATTTGCGGACCCGATCTTCAAATTTGCCTTGGCTTTGAGAAGCTGCCATCTTCTGGGTGTGGGGGTGCCCGATCCTAGTGTTTGACGTGCCTGTTCAATGCTCCAAAGCGCCATGTTACCATTTCCGTCCTCTGTGTCGATTTGCCTCTCCGCCATTTCGATTGACTGCAGGGCTTTGCGAGCCAACGCAGTGTCTGTGGCTGACGCATTAGGGATTTTGGCGTACGTATCCAAGGCATCTTGCGGACGTCCTAGAGAGGTGTAGATTCGAGCAAGACGGTGTAAAATCTTATCGTTCTTGGGATCCAACCGGTTGGCCTGTAGTGAATCACCGAGCGCCTGGCTGTATTTGTTGGCGGAGATGTAGGCTGCGGCTCGGTTTGACAGATACGTGGGATTCGAGGGCTCTGCTTCGACGGCTGTGCGAGTGTGTGTATTTGTCAGCTTGTCTGGTCTTGGAACCTCAACCATGGATGAGTGCCAAACGTACCTTTTGTATACTCGACAATGGCCCGATCATAATCCTTGGCCTTGAAGAATTTATTTCCTGCGGCCTTGCAGGCCTCGGCATCGACTTTGGGTGCAGGAGGAACGCGGTGTGGAGGAGGCGTGGGACTTCGCTCCTCGTGTTGCCCGTTGGTGCCGTTGCTCGTGGCATCGCTGTTGGCCTGGTCGGAGAAGGCGCCAGGGACTTCTTTGGAGGGAGTGGCCGGCTGCGACGAGCCTGCGGTGCCGTTGGACATGGAGGAATCGTGGTTGTTGGTGTCTGCAAATTCTCGATCCATGGACATTCTGCCGGCCGACTCGGCCTCTTGCCTGGCCATTTGAGCCAGATGTTGACGGAGTTGGTCAGGAGGGAGATTCAGTGGGTGGGTGTCTGGGTCGGAGTTGTTTCTAAACTTCTTCTTTTCCTTGTCCTTGTCCTGCTTCTTGGGTGATTTTGACTTCCGCATGGATGTTGGATTTGAGCCAGTGGGAGGAAGGGCGACTGCGGGTGGGGCTGAGGCAAAGGCAGCACGGCCAGAGCCTGTTGTGCCCGCGGTGCGAGTGACACCGGCAGTGGCAGGAGGACTAAGTTTGCAGTTGATGCTTGTTTCGGGAACTCCCTCTGCGGCTTCAGACACACCCCTCCGCCGCCCAGGCTCTTGCTTCTTTGTATCTGCAGCGTTGATGGATCGTAGGAGGGCCCGTAGATTCTGCTCAGTCAAGGGTGCGGGAGCCGCCTGGCCAGATTTAGGCTTTGACTCCTCGGTGAACAGCGGGAGGGGTGTCGTGTACGACGTCGAACGGGTTGGGGACTTCAGTTTGCCGGTTGAGAGATGATCTCGAGGGTGGCTACGAAAACTGGCAGGACGGAAGAAGGTGTCGTGCTGGTGACTCTCACTTTCGTCGTCGTTGCTCTCAGGCATGTCCTGGTCGAAATCTCTAGAAATTTTGCAGGTTTTGGTGGGACGGTGATTAATCCCGGGCTGGACGCCGGGGTCTAGAAGATTGCCTCGTCGGCCCTCACCACTCCTCGTGGTCCTCCCACTTTGGCGCCTGTTGGCGTGGGTGTTGGTGTTTGCCATAGGGCCATTAGGCGCACTTTCCCCCTGAGGCTTTGGCGGCTTGGGCCTGGAGTCCGCGCCGCCCACTACTGGTCTCCGCGAGCCCAAAGGCATCTTATCAAGCCTCGCTTGACGCTTCCGTCTCTTCGCCTGTTGGCTCCCCTGACTTTGGTCGAACGAATGATCAGTCGGGACGTCACTTGTTTCTCTTGCACATGACACTGCAAAGGGCCCTGCTCAGTCTTGGAACAGTCAGTGAGACGGGCAGTTGTTTGGTGGATGGGGAGATCGAGGTGAGGCAGGCCAGGGGATCGGCTTCTGATGCTGATCTCTTTATCATAAGGGATAACCCGTCTTGTAGAATCCTGTCTGACAAAGGGAAATCAAGACTGCAAGCTCAAACTGGGACGAGAGTCGTGCATCGGGTAAACTGCACTCAGCTATGTGTGAATAGACGAACTCTGAGACCTAACCACATTGACAATACAAACATTCAAACCAGCAACCCAGCAAACAAGCGAGATCCCTTGACCTGCGACGACGACTGAACCAAGATCCAATTGCTATAGCCTCTCTCGTCCCTTGTTGCTTCCTTTGACTTTGCACACTTCCCAAAATGATACAGGTCTAAAAATACAGACAAGATTGTCTCTACATACACGTCGAATCTCTGCAATCCGACCCTCACTGTGAGTTGCTCTTGCATGTCCAGCTGCTTCCGCCGGGCTCATTGCTGATGGCGTATCCGCTGGCATACAGTCCCATTCCACAGATAGCGGCACCCATAGCGAACAACAAGACGTTGACGACGGTCAAGGCCATCTTCCTCCAATTCGTGGTATATTGGCCATAGTTGAGGAACAGCCAGAAAATGCCGGAAATACCATAGGTGAACCAGGAGGCAAACAAGCTCGAGATCAGAGCCAGGAGATCGTTGAAGTTGGGAATGGATTCCGCAATGATCCACGCAATCACCCACGCCGTCAATGTGATGGCGAGCCAGCTGCCCACCGAAAGCACAGTCCTCTTGGACATATGTTTCGTTCCTCGGAAGAGGCGAACATAGACATACTTGGAAGCGACATGGCCATAGATGACACCAGCAATAATGATCGTCGGAATAGCTAGTCCCCAAGCAACCTTGCCAACGAGTGTTCCTGCGGATCCCAAGGCTGGTGAATCGACCTCATCTCCACCATAGGCATAAACCACCATCGCGACCAGGAAATACATGCCGGTGTCGGTAACCTGCAACATGACCAAAGCCTTGGGAAAGTCGTGCGGATTCTTCATCTCGGAAATGAAACTGAAGAAAGCTACGTGACCGGCATATGCAAATACAATGTTGGTGACACTCAGAAACGCTGTGGCAAAACTTGCAGTCTGAGTAGCGTGGAAATGGCCATGGGAAGGATCTCTGGCTCCTGTTCCTGCCATGGTGACAATCACTGCGGTCGTGATGCTGAAAAAGCTCACACAGGAAAGCCACGAGACTTTCAGCAGCGTCCTAGGAATGTCGAAGACCCAGAAGAGAATCAACCCGACAATACCCCAAACAATGGTGCAGGCCGCACCGTCGGTCAGTGTGTTCAAGCAGATGGTCCAAGTCAAGATATGACTCGCCATGCTGAAAATGAGGAAGATGGTTTGCGCAGCACCCAGGAATTCGCGGCCGATAGCAGCTGCGCGTGGTCCCATGGGCTTGAAGAGAACGTAACCGGCATCTGCCATGTTATGGACCTAGATGAATCACATTAAGCATGTGCCTTCTCAAGGTTGCTCGAGAACAGAGGAATCTGCCTACCCAAGGATGTGCTGCCTTGAATTGTCCAATGACATATCCTGAGTAAGTTGCCACAACACCAAGTCCAACGATGAGGATGGCGCCTGGAACCATACCAATTGTCGCCAGGACTGATGGCAAAGACAGGATTCCCAAAGAGATCGTTTCGGCAATCATAACTGAAGAAGAAGGAATACCATGTCAGGTCGACGGTGGCGTTTTCAAAGTCGAGGAGAACTCACTCATACTACACTGCCTGGAGCGCGAAGACATTAGCATATCGTTGTTCATGGGATGCACAGTAGCTGGTGTACTCACCACCACTCCAAAGTCCGATACTTGACTCCTCCTTCGTCGTCATCATCGCCGAAGGGATCTGTCTCTTGATACTCACTTTGGCGCCGCCAGGCAGTGCCCAGTGAAGAACGTCTCTTCTCCACTGGGGAGTTCTTATCAGAGTGTCCATTACCCGGGTAGGGTGGATTGTCAAGACCATGGATGTCCTTCTCTTCATCCACACCAAAAGGGTCGGAAGAGGCACGAAGTGTTGGCGATCGAGAGGCCATTCTGTGTGTTATTGTTCGAGCAAAGCAACCTGAGTTCCCTACACAGGAGATGAGAGTTCACATATGGCGAATTGAGATGTGGACTGTATGGTATATGACCACAACCAGGCTGATGGTGAAGTGATCGACAGAGGCATCATGGGTCTTGTCTCCCGTGTGTTGCACAATGATGCCATAGGCAGCATTCCATTACCTCTTGAATTTGGTACCTTCTACGTCACGACAGCCTTGCACGGCGATCCCCATGGAGGCGGGATCGCGATGGGAACGGAGAGAGGGGCAACGATCGTCCGGCGCATGTCCGTACTTGTATATCCCTTGGCGTCGTATTCATAAAGGAGCCAATACTTGGGAAGCCTTTTGACAAGCTTTTGCCAGGGCATTCTTACGACGAAGCAAAGGCTTGGGAGTGACTGCGGCGATGGTTGAGTGTTGTGTTGTGACAAGAGGGGAAGACATTCAATGTATATACGTCATTGCGCCGATGGGAAAATCACAAGCACCGAGTAATTACCAAGATACATACGAGGTATAATTACAAGTTGAAGATCCGGTGCAATAAAACAAGGTCCAGGCCCCCAAATCCCACCCATCCAACTCAAATTCTGTATTGCTATATACTCAGATCGACTCCCTAAACAAGACGTGTATACAAACCATATCATTATAAGGGCATCGCTAACTCGCACACATTCAACCCCATCCATCCACGAGCATCGAAACATTGGCGCCAAGTGAATCTGCTGTATTTCTTCACTCCATTTCTGCCGGTCCATTCTGTCTCAGTGATGGATGAGGGCCTTGCACCGTCCCTGCGTCCTTTTCCACTGGCTCCTGAATGGCGGGTTTCGATTCTTCAGGGCCGACCTTGGCTGGCATTTCCGCAGCCTGAGGAGTACCGCCCAATTCCGGTGTATTTTGGGCAGCGGCAATGCTGTACGATGGCAGAGAGTCTTTCTCGGGAATTTCCATGCCCACATTTTGTCTGTGCTGACGACGAGAACGGAGCCAAAAGAAGATCACGGCGCCGACGATTGCCACACCAGCGACCGCTGCTATCGCAATTCCTGCGATAGCACCACCAGACAAGCTCGTGCTTTTGTTATCATCTTCGGTCACGGTGGGATCGGAGGTGGGAAATGCTGTCGCGGTTGTGCTTGTTTCGGGTGGGGGAGTGGTGGTAGTAGTTGCTGCCTTTCTGACAGTGAAGAGCTCACTGAGACCTGATTCGGCCCATCCTCCGTCTGGCTCGCTCTTAGTGGCGTTTCCTGCTGGTCTGAACAACTCAATTAGTCCGTTATCTTTGCTCACTTCACATTGTCACTCACCCTCCGCCAATAGCTTTGACAACGTCATCCGGCACGTCAAACTTGGGTGCTGCGGCGTCGAACACGCTACCCCATCCGATAGTGCTCAGATCAAGCACGGCCAAACTCTTATCTTCCCAATCACAATCGGACGAGATGTTGTGGCTTTCTGTCAGACGTCGTCAACAAACTATTCACATCACAGTCATTTGGAATACTCACTTCCACCTCCACCAATTGTGATCATCTGCCTGGGTGGAATAAAATGACATGTCACGCTCCAGCGAGCGTCCTGCCCAGTGTATACCTTGACCCAGGTGAAGGAGGGAAGACTGAGAACGTAGATGTCATCGAAGATTGTACCGTTGGAAGTACCGCCGTAGAGATAGACGCTTGAACTGCTGTTATCCTGGGCAGGTGCAGCAACCAAACAGAAATCCGTGCGTCCAGTTGGAGGGATATCGCCTGTCGCTGTCTGTTTGTACCACTGGTTCTTACCAGGGGAGGGGTTATCACTTAGGTCGGTGGAGTTGACATCGAAAACCCAAATCTCATCCATGGAAATTAGGCCGTCTGCTTGAGTTTCTCCACCAAGGAGGACCAGCACTCCAGCGTCGCCGAAGTTATCGACATACACCATCCCAGCACCTTGTCGATTGCTCTTGACTTCATCTTCGACTGTGATGTTCTTGATCTTGTTACTGGTTGTATCGATAACCACCATCCCACCGACACCAACGGTATCATCCTCCAAAAATTGAGTGGTATTTGCTGTTCCACTGTCAATCTGGCCTCCCACGTAGAAGGCAAGTCCCTGGTCTGGAGCCTCGGTGTTTGCTCCCCACGACGGTATCGTGTCTAGGGATCCGGAAGTGTCGATAGCTGCCCATACGTCGGCGCCCATGTCATAGGTCCATAGGCCGTATTGAGTTGTAGGCGGGACTAGGAAGTTGGGGAAAGTTTGATTGAAGCCCGACGTTGTCCCACCAAACATATAGAGTGTTGTAGAAGACTCCATTCCTCCAAAGAGGGAGCCGTCATGAACATTCACCGGCCACTGCATGCCCGCGACGCTACCACTTTCCCGTCTGGCATTCTGGGAGATGGACACGTTCGTTTTCCAATCCCAAGAGGCAGTCATGTCAACCGAGATCAGGTTTTCGTCTTTTGAGGTGACTGTTAGTGAAACGATATCTCCCACGGGGATGCATGAACGCACTGATGCCTGACGTGATCGTATTCCAGTCTTGTTGTCCGTTTGCGCCAAAATCCACATAAGTTTCGATACCGCCATTGATATAGATCGTTCCATTCTTGTAGAGAGCTGAGAATCCATTAGTATAACCGCGAATACCATTGTTCTTTCAGATACTAACAACTATGTCCGATTCTCCTGCAAAAGTTCTTGACGGGATCGAGGGCGACTCCTGCGCGAACGACATCGAGTTGAGTTAATGCAAGGAGACCGAGAAGCAAAAAACGATGGCTCATGGAGCCATAAGAGATATCCATTGCGACAGCCAGCTGCCCGAAGAAAGTGGACAGAACAATCAACAAAGGAGACTTGAAAGGCAAAACTCCGTGCTGAGGCACGAAACAGTAGAAAGAGCGACGAGAAGCAAACGTACGAGAGCTGTTGATGGCCTTTGTGCCAGTTCGAGTAGTTTTAATTGCTGATCCCTGGGTCAATCCTTCATTTCCCGTGTCAGCCCTAACGTGACTAGAGGAACGGTTGACGAGGCTAGGAGGATGGGGCCACAGGAAGCCATTGGTTAGGAATAACTCAGAGGCTCAGTTCAGAAACCACATGGTGTCTGTGATGCAAAGCTCAAGGAGCGATCCCCCTCAAATGAGCTGCTGAAGGCCTCGGGGACTCGAGAGGTGATGTGCTCGAGCGACCCATTTTTAGGGTGAACGTTCACAATCTGTAGCTACTAGTGAAGCTCACTCAGCCTCATAAAGCTTTGTGATGGACTTGTGCCAGTCCATGAACCCAATCTAGACCAGTTGGTTTACTTGGATCCCAGATCGTGTCGAGAACATGCAGGCTAATGCGCCAGGGGAACAGGAAGCGCTCTTCATCAAGATCCGAAGGATCATATCGTGGTGACAGTAAGTGATACAACTACCTGTCCTAGAGAGGAGGTCATGATCAGGGTTGAATGAGGAGGTTGGTCAACCCTAGACCTTGACAAAGTGTGAGCACTCGGTACAAGTTGAAAACACCGGGTGAGAAGCCCAAGCAGCTGAAAGGTAATCAATATGGATCTAGGTATAGAAGGATTCCGCGGACGAAGGTCGAATGTTTCAGACTTGGGGACCTGCGTAGCAGGACGCGAGTTGTGGCGCGGTGCGCTAAGAGATCATGTGACTGCGCGTTTTGGACGTGGCGTTGTAAGTGGCTGGTGCCCCGAGGCTGAAGCCCGTTATGGTGCCCGTTGGCGCTGTTGTTTACGTTTCTGACGTAAGAAGGCAGTTGTTCAAGCTCTCTCCACCAAACAATCGATTCTTACCCATCGTGCCATCTCGAAATCCTCCACCTCAAACAGACTACACCGCCTGAATCGGTTTCGAAATCCCACACCACCCTTGTGCCTCACACACTTTATTGCTTTCAATTGCATATGCTCTAGATTCTGGGGAAGCTATTCAGATGGCCACTCCCCGCCGTCGCTCGGCTCGATTGAGCAAGGCAGCCCAGCAACAGGTAATGTTGGCCAATCTGCAACCATATCAATTCTCTATCACAGTTCAATGCAATGTAATCGAGATATCTCTCAATGGCTTGGAGCTAATAATTTTGCCTACAGCATGCCTCTCCTCGCAAGGGTGTCTCTACCGTGCAGCTTGAATCCCTCGTAGAAAGAGATGAAACTCCGGAAGTCGGCGAACCCCAGTCTATCGACAATGTGCTTGCGACTCCAACTTCGTCTGCCATGATCAAGTCACAGCTTTCCAAGTTATCTGGTCTGAAGACCCCCAAGACCGAACCACAAGCCGATCGAGCCGAAATGCACCCGCATCTCGTCCATCAAACCACTACCAAAGCTCCGGATTCTGGCCTCAAGCTGGGTTTTGTCGATGTGCCAACCCATGTTCCTCGCTCCGTTGCAAGTGCCCAGAACACTCCTTCCAAAGCGCGTTTCAACACCTCGACAAGCTTATCTTCCACTGCCTTTGACTTCAATTTTGGCTCAGAATCCCAGTTGAGCAGCCAGGCACAGAAGCTCATGGATAATGTTCGGGAAGAGGCAGCGAAGATCAAGGCTCAAATGCAACTGGAGAGGGAAGCCCAGAAACAGAAGGATGCAGAGGCTGAAGACATGTTCAATGGCACCAGTGCCACTGGAAGGAAAATCGCGAAACCCAGGGGGAAAGCAGGAAGATTCAGCGACGTCCATATGGCTCAATTCAAGAAGATGGACTCGATTGCGAATCATCCATCAGCTTTCCGGGGAAAGCCAAGTTTCGCTCAGCCTACAGCACAATCCCTGAAGAGAAGTGGCTCCAAGGCTGGTCTCGATGAAGCCGATCGACCGCGAACTGCTGGGAAGGGAACCCCAGGTCGAAAGCCGCCTCCGTTCCTCGGTCGACCTACCTCAGTCAGTCCCTTCAAGTCCATACCGGCACAAGCGGAGCGTGTCGAGACTGCTACACCTGCCAAGCGTGCTCGACGCTCCGAACTCGACGACGTATCCGCAAGCCGACCATCAGAGCTGGCCTCACCAATACGCCCTTCCGCCCTGCCACGCCCAGTTCCAAGCAGCCTCTTGTCACCCACCAAAGCCTCTTTAGCTAGAGCGACAACAAGTCAGATTCCTGTTGCTACGCCGAACAAAGTACACGCACTTGTTCGCACCACTTCGGCGAAGTCCCTGCGAGCTGCGTCAACGGCTCCCATTGGGAGACCCTCCACCTCACATGGAGAGTGCAGCACCAAACTTTCATCAGGACTGCAAGAGACGGGAAATTCACGGGTTGAGAAGCCGCTGCCCCCATTGCCACGTCAAGATCTTCCATCTGTTGCCAATACCGCGACGCAACCAAGGTCGATTGCCGAGACTGGTGCGATACCCAGTTCCTCGGGCCTTTCTTCCAGACTTCCAAAATTTTCTGGTCTCAAATCCATTCTTCGCTCTGGGCGCAAGACCGACGTTGTACCGTTGCTTGAGGATAGGCAAGCAACACCTAAGCGTCCTAATACTGCCACCGCTGTCAGTGGCTCCCACAAGAAAGTCGACTTCACTCCGAGTGTCAAGTCTAGGTATGCTGTCAAACTGGCAGCTGGAAGTCCAAGTCCGGCCAAGCTACCCCAACTCACGCCTGGCAAAGCGCTGGCTCCTGTTGTGCCCTATGATCCAGCAGCCTACACTGTCGAAGAAGACGATGTATGGGAGGATGCATCAAGCGAGATCGAGTACCCTGCATTGCCAGATCCATCCTCGAGCCCGGCTGCCGCTTCCAGGGTCGATGATGCGTTTACCGAAAAAGCCAAAGAGCATAGCCGCCGCGAGTCAAAGGATTTCAAGTCTATCTTCACAACATTGCATCATCCTTCTCGTTCTAGCGCTCCTTCGACCTTGACCTCTGTCAACACAATAGTCAACAAAGCTGGCCCAACCGTTCGTTCGCATAACAAAGTTACTCGATCCCCTAGCAATATGAACTTCTCAAACCCTTCTCCGTCTACTATTCGGCGAGTGCGTTCATCTGGTGTTACAGATGTGATCCAACCTTTCGAGGATGCAGACGTCAAGACTGTACCACACGGTTTGCCAGGCAAGAAGCGACGACGTGCGTCAACGGTCTCTGATGATGATCAGAGCACGGATGGAGAATCTAGCAAAGAGAATCGACGTATTTCAGTTATGCCCAGTGTCCCGGGTGGATGGGAAGACAGCTCTCGTATTAGTGACAAATTTGAGCAAGACGAGGGTGAGAAGCGAGGTGGGAAGCGACAGAGGACTAACGCGACAACAGGAGACTTGTCCGACGAGACGATTTCAAAATCAATGAGCCCGATCAAGAAGCCAAAACAAAGTTCTGCTCGTGAGATGGCGAAGCTGAATGCAAAAGATCGCAAGAATGGTCGAGGCATTTTGAGTCTTAGCCGTTTGAACATGCTTGCCCGGCCCAAGCAGAGAGGCTGAGCAGCATCTCACCTGGTCTTATTAGATTTCCAGACCATGAATCGCTGGGATGCCGACAATGCCGGATCGAGCTGAATGCCGACATACCCTTGCTGCTCTCTATCGACTGCCTCTTGGACGCGGTGTTCAGATCTGTTCAGCTCTTTCGGGATTTGTGTAACTTTTTTGATTCTTTTGGGGATGTGCGTGGCAATGGGAACGGTTGCATCTGGAGTCAGGGGCTAGCTTTGATGCAAAAAAGTTTCAAGATCAATTTTTAGGGTTCAAACAGGGATCACAGGATACGGAACTCACTTTATGGAAAGGGCGATTGAGACTTTTGGCTATCACCGTTCAATCCAGCAAAGTCCCAATACGAACTTGAGTTCTTGGGAAAGGGGTGTTTGGGTATTATGGTCACCAATTGGATTGCGAGAACACATAGTCTTGTGATGCTGCTCCATTGATGGGAGCGGATACTGAGCACTCTGGCAAAAACCTTTGGGAATGATAGCCATGGGATTGATGCATTTGATGCATTCCACGACTCGATACGAATGAAACTTTCAATGAATGAACTTGTTTCGGCATTTGCTGTTTTTCTGCTTGTCCGCTACTAGCCCATCCATCCAGTCCAGCCATCCACTAGACAGGGGCTCTGTACATACAACGACAAGACAAAGAATGGTATGAATCGCTCGCTACGCTCGCAAGCCATCACAATGGCGTTCGTTGTTCGCCTCGCCCACTTGGACCGACCACCTACATACATATAGGGCAAGATGGAAATGATCATAGCCCTACCCTTCCCCCTCGTGGCAACCCTCCTTCGCCCTCCCTCGCTGTGCTTATGGCCTCTTGAATCACGGGCACGCACATTAGACAGAACCGTGGCAACCTCTTAACGGTGTTGATAACCCATTCAGCCTCACTCACAGTTATCACTCCAACAGGCTCGTCGGTTTCAAACTCGCGGATTTTCTTTGCGAGAGTGACCCTGGACCGTGGCCGCCTTCGAATCATGTTATATGTCGGTGGATGGGGTGTCGGATTCAAAAAAAAAAGTACGTAGGTATACTTGTACGAGACGAGACGAGACGAGACGAGACGAGACGAGACGAGACGAGACGAGAGACGGTCGATCAAGGCCGAACGAAAGGGAAATATGCTGGTGGCGCCATAACTGTGTAAGATTCAGCACGTATCCACATGAAGCTCTTGCAGAGTTCTCCACGGAAGGGTGTATGCGTGTGCGTTTGGCGGGCTATTACGATACTTCGTGTTCCACTGGAGCCCAAGTCTTTCCACTTGATTCAGTGTGAAAACAGCCTCAATCTTGCTGCTGTCCAGATACGCTCTGACAATTTACCCCAAAACGCCAGCTCGATGGACCACGGGAAAACCTGCCGCTCTGAACTAGACAAACGTGCCAGGGAAAAAATCCATTGTTTGAAAAGACACCGGGAAACCCCTGCGCTTCGGCCGGTGAATCATGAACATTGTCGCATGTGAGATAAGTCGGATGTGGGTTAATAATTAATACACGGCCTCGAGGAGATAAATCACTCCAAAGACCAAAAATGCGATCGCTCCGCCCATGGTAACTGCACGTAGATCAGTTAGCAAGTTGTTGACTCTCGAAGACGTTTGCTCATAACTTACCAGTCCTTAAGCTGACCTTCCCAGCGATGGCCCTTCCGCCCAACACAGCGGCTCCTGTACAAATACCATGGCCAACCAGTGCCCCAGCCGTGACCCACCAATAATCCTGACCTGCTGCCATCGCAATCGTTGCAATCTGAGAGCGGTCTCCCCATTCTCCGAGAAAGGTCATGACAAAAGTCTGCACCCACGCTGGAGACAGGAGGAGTGAACAGAGGTTGTTGATCCCGCCAAGAATGCTTTGAAGAGATGACTGGCGCACGGGCGACACATCGCGCGACGATGCTGGGGACTCGGGTGGTGACGGGAGACGTGACTCGGTGTTCTTTCTCCCTCCTGGGCCACGGCCTGCTTCGAGGGCGTAAGGGGATATAGCTGATGATGTTCTCCGATGTCTCGACATCCTCCTCGCCTGCTGATGTTCTTTCTCCTCCAATTCCATTTCCACCTCCTTCATTTCTTCGCTGACTCCTTCATCCGGGGACATGGAGCGGGCTTCCAGGAGCATTTTCACGCCAAATACCAGGAATAACCCAGCAGCAGCAAAGTTTGTCAGTGTCTTGGGAATGAGCGTAGGGACAGCGTGTCCCAGCAGTGCAGACAAGACAGTCATCGTAATGAGGGCGGAAAAGGCAGCCGTGAAAACCACCACTCTAGGGTGGCGCATGGCCATGAGAGCAGCGACAAGGAATGTCTTGTCACCAATCTCGGAGAAGATGATCATGGTGAAGGAGAGCACAAGGGAGTGCATAGGTGAGATGACGGCGGGTTCGTGATCCTTTGGTTTATTTGAGGCTTGTTGGCTGGTAGTGCTTTCGGAGGAGAGGATGGTGTCTTTGGGAGACGATGGGTTCTCGGGATGGGGGATATCATGAGGTTTCTCGGGGAGATCTTCTGGCACCTGTTCCATGCTTGTCAATATTGTATCAACCCTAGGTGGCTTGTGGTCATTTCATACCGTCAGAACCTTTTTCGTCTCCTCATCAGTGGGAGGCAGTGTTTCTCCGCCCGCAGCATCCTCCATTCCGACAACTTCGCTGTGTGGGATAGGCCTTGCGTCCTTGGGAGGATCGGGACGCTTTTCGGTGATTTTGGGATCTTTAGACTTGCCAGATATCCCTCCTTCTATTCCCCTGGTCCCTTCGACGGGGTTTGACTTGACGCGTTCGTCCATGACCGCGTCGTTTGTCTGGGGTAGATCCCCATCTGTTGAGAGATCCCTGTAAGACTCCTTCAACTTTGGATTTGCTACCGGGATCTCGTCTTCGGCACCAGTGTACAGGGTCTTCTTCCTCGTTCTCTCTGCATTTGTTTCAACGAACGGGCCTTCATGTGGCATTCCATCTTTTCCGTCCACTGGGGCATGTTCTGTGCCGACAGGAAATGCCTTCCCAGCAGTCCCTCCTGGAGTAACGACAACTTCCCCGAATTTGCCAGCAGAGAGATCGCTTGGTTCAGCAGCAGCCAAAGCCTCGCATAGGGAGGCTGCGGAGAAGAGAAAAAGGAGGAGTTGAGCGCGCCGCCGTCCGATCTTCATGGTCGTGTGACTGATGGGGGGTGAACAGAAGGGGTGAGATCGAAATCAGCGTGGGTGAGACGGTTGAGGGTTCAGAATCGAGGGTCGAGAGCAGCAGGCGAAGGACGAGGAGGTATCACAGTTGTAATGGACGTCGAGGTGTTGTAAGGAGATGATCGCACGCGCCGCTCTCTTGATAAAACGCGAAATGGCGGTGGATTCAAGCGGAGTGGAAACTTTGAGTCTCCTTTTTTTGCATGCATTTGGATCTCATTCTTGATCCTTTTCTGGACAATGGCGAATTCTGTCCCCTTTACTCTCGGGGTTCTGCCTTTCCACCAATCAAGGGGCGATGAGTTGTCTATTCTTGGCGTTACCCTTTTTCCCGCTGCGGCAGTGAGGCTGAGTTCTAGACCAAATCTACTGATGCGAGAGGTTGCATACAACACTGTCAGCTGTCAGCCCATCATTAGCTTCTCGCTATCTTACTGCCGTACAGAAAACGTGTCACTGAGCCAAACCGGGGCACCTCGATAGTCTTTTGCACAGCATGCCTAAAGAAAAGGTTTGAGCGGAAAAATCTTCCTCCCGTGGATGCCAATTTGAAGAGTGCTAAAACCGTAACAGAAGCGAAAACGCGAACCAGGAGAGAAAAAGTCCAGTAGCAAGTCGAAAACGACACCTGAGAAGCAACAGCGAGATGATCGCACCAATGGACATGAAGTCGACACCTCCAAGCCCTCCGCAGTCTTCCAGCCCGCTGGTGGCCGGTCCTGCTCGCTGTCTGTAGCCCTCCCGGGAAGCATCATTGGCAATGCAAAGTCCCATGACCAAAAGACGTTTCTAGCTGGCCAGATTGCGAGGGCTCTGGCGGTGTTTTGTGTGGACGAAGTGATCATCTTTGATGATGAGGACGCTGAAACTCAACAACAGCGCCCGAAAATCAGAGAGAACGAATACACTGCCTTTTCCCACCCAGATCATTTTCTGGCTCACCTCCTGTCGTACTTGGAAACACCACCTCACCTCCGCAAGGCTTTATTCCCTATGCACCCTAATCTTCGAACCGCAGGTACACTTCCCAGTCTTGATATGCCGCATCATTTACGCGCACACGAATGGTGTGAGTATCGTGAAGGCATCACTACTACTGCTCTTGCCGACGGCAAAGGGACATTGGTGGATGTTGGCTTACCTGGGTTCTTGCTGTTGTCGGGCGCAGAGATTCCACCCAATACACGAGTGACTGTTCATCTAGAAGATGAAGCTTCCAAGACTGCTGAAGCTGTTTCCCCCTATGCTCCGCGGGAGCAAAAAGGGTACTATTGGGGCTATACAGTACGACAGTGCAGTTCCCTCACGGATGTGTTCACTGAATGCCCTTACGATGGAGGCTACGACATTTCGATTGGGACCTCTGAAAGAGGACAGCCGCTAGAAAGCGTACTGGCTGAGCCACCTTTGGTCGAAGCAACTGGCTACAATCACGTACTCATGGTCTTCGGTGGCGTGGCGGGTTTGGAAACCGCAGCCAAGAACGACAAGAATTGTCGAGAGATGGGTCTCGTTGGGGAGAAAGTCAAGGAACTGTTCGAAGTGTGGGTGAATCTGTTACCTGGCCAGGGCAGCCGTACCATCAGAACTGAAGAAGCTGTTTGGCTTGGATTGATGGGTTTCAGAGGTTTCTTGGACCGCCTTGCAAGGAGTTCTGGATCGCCCCGTGCATAATGCGCGTGTACTCGAGCTGAGGATATCACCGTTGTGCTTTTCCGACAACACTTCCGTTATTGGCGCCCCTCTAGCACTCGACCACTGGTTGTATACGAGATTCGACGCGGCTTCTTCGCCAGAACAAGCACAAGACCATGATTCTTGTCTCCGCGGAAGTACTGTCCGTGAGACTGGAGTATTTTCATTTTGCTGCTCGAAAATCCCCACAGCTTTGTCATCCAAACTCAATCTCTCCTGACACCTGGTGACTCAATTCATCCAACATTAAAAGCTGCACTCAAAGGTCTTCTCATGTGTCCGAAAATTGAAACACCGCGGAAAAGCCTCCCTCCGATCTCTTTGTGGACCCGTCATTTTGCGCCAACGGTCCGCCACCCAAGCGATTGCGCTTACACCACAATGGATATCAAGGCCATATTTTCTCAGTGAAAGGCAGTAGTTCAATACGAAAAAGCATTAATCGGGCCGAAGTTAATCTTGCGCTACTATCATTTTCCGGTTGCTCATTGATAGGTCCACAATCATCATGGGTGCTTCGCGGGCAGTTCAGCGCCTCAAAGCAACTTACACCTTTCTCAAAACACCCATCATCGTCTCCGCGCCCATGCGCGTTTTCGCTGGCCCGGACCTCGCGGTTGCAACCTCACGCGCAGGTGGTCTGGGCTTCATTGGGCCAGGCGTGCGCCCTACAGATTTAGATTCCAAGCTTGAGAAGGCACGAAGTCTGTTGGACCAGACGCCCATCACTGCCCAGAATTCTACCTCTTTGAATGCTCCAGATGTTGATCGCCTCCCTATCGGCGTAGGGTTTCAGCTTTTCGATGGTGATCTCGAGGTTGCTGCCGCAATTGTCCGCAAACATAAGCCTGCCGCAGCGTGGCTCTTTGTTCCGGTATCTGGTCAATCCGAGCTAGATCAGTGGTCACTAAGGATTCGGAAAGAATCACCGTCCACGAAGATATGGATACAAATTGGCTCGGTCGCTGATGCTGTTGCTGCGGCGAGAAGCAAGCATGCACCCGACGTGCTGGTTGTGCAAGGGATTGATGCTGGCGGGCACGGTCTCAGAAGAGGCGCAGGAGTGATATCCTTGCTTCCAGAAGTAGCGGACGCGCTACAGGCACTGGGATCTGAAATCCCGCTCGTCGGTGCTGGTGGAATCGCGGACGGCCGAGGGGTTGCTGCTGTCCTCGCCACAGGTGTGGCCGCGGGTGCGGTGATGGGGACCCGTTTCCTCGCCAGCCGCGAGGCTGAAATCAAGAAGGGATACCAAGATGATGTGCTGCGAGTCTCCGACGGCGGCCAAAGCACCATCCGCACCGATTTATTCGATCGACTCCAGGGGAGGGATGATTGGCCGGCTCAATACGACGGTCGTGCGATCATCAATCGAAGCGTCAAAGATGACCTAGCAGGAATGGATCTGGGGCAGAACAAGCAGATATTCCAAGAACAAATTAAGAATGGGTCGATTGGGTGGGGGGAAGACGGGAGAATGACGGCGTATGTAGGAAGTGCCGTGGGGCTGGTTAGTGCGGTTGATCCGGCACGAGAAATCCTCGAGAGGTCGAGGGCAGAAGCTAGACAAGCTTTGCGACAGGCTCTAGACGGACTGGAGGCTTGATTGGCCTGGAGAAAGAATTGTCTCTAAAGCCATCCTCGTGATAACTTGGCAATGGAGTGCGGCGCTGCAAGGCTGATGATCCCCCATATCGCGTATTACGTGACGAGGCTGCGTGAATAAGGGAGTCGATTCCCCGCTTCTGTCTCCAGCTTCTCCCCGCATCATTTGGATACTTGGTGTCATCCACTCTCTACATGTACTCGGTGTTCTTCTACCTCTTCTCCTCTCAGATAGATACCCGAAAGGCAGACTCTTGCATCAGTCGATCGACTCTCATCCGTCGCTGATGCTTTCGAGATACCATCAATAAGAGAACAGCCCAACCAACATGGCCGCCTCCACGTCTCCCTCTAAGAGACTTTTCCCCGTGCCCCCAGGCGCAACCGCCACGGTTTCGATCATCGACACCACCTCGCGCATCGGGCGGCTCGCCGTGTCTTACCTGATGGCACCCCCCATGCCAGGCTTCGAGACCATGCCGGACCTACCGTCGTGGTCGTTCCTGGTCGAATCCCGCACCACGGGCAAGAAGGCGCTCTTTGACCTCGGCGTGCCGCCCGACTGGGAGAACTTTGCGCCCGCCGTGAGCGAGACGCTCAAGACGAGAGGGTGGGAGATCTCTGCCCAGAAGCACACGAGTCAGATCCTGGAGGAGAATGCGGTCGATCCGAAGAGTGTCGGCAGTATTGTCTGGAGGTGAGTAGGGTTTCCCTTCGTTGTCACGACCGTGAGAGCGTATGTCGACAGAGGAGGGGTCTGTGGATTGTTGTGTGTGTCTTCCCATCTGGATGTTTTGTGTGTGGATACATGGTTGATTTTCTCATCTTTGATGGTGGCCTGCAGTCACTGGCACTGGGATCACCTGGGCGATCCGTCGACGTTCCCTCCTTCGACCGAGGTGGTGGTAGGTCCGGGATTCAAGGAGGCTTTTATGCCTGGATACCCAGGCAAGGCGGATTCTCCCGTGCGGGAGTCTGATTTCAAGTAAGTCCAACTCAGCCTGACAAGACGAAACGATGGGGAGGGGTGATCTGTCTGATCTGTGTGGGCAATCTCAATTTGAGAACCACCATGAGCATGTCCGATCAGCTGGCGTTCACTGACCACGTCTAACCTATTCCCCTCCTAACACGGCACAGGGGACGGGAACTGCGCGAAGTGACATTCACCGAGCCCGGCACGCTACAGATCGGCGAGTTCCGCGCCCAAGACTTCTTCGGTGACGGATCCTTCTACCTCCTCGACACGCCCGGCCATGCCGTCGGCCATGTGTGCGGGCTGGCGCGCACGACGTCGGAGCCAGACACCTTCATCTTCATGGGCGGCGACCTGTGCCACCACGGCGGCGAGATCAGACCGTCCACGTACATGCCGCTCCCGGCGCATATCCACCCGCACGCGATGACCACGAGGGCGCTGCACTCGCCCTGCCCGGGCGCCGTGTTCGAGGCCGTCCAGCGCACGCGGGGCAGGTCGCCGACGCAGCCCTTCTTCGACCCGGCCATGGGCCTCTCCATCCCCCAGGCGATCGAGACGATCGTGCGGGCCCAAAAGGCCGACGGCGACGACAACGTGCTCTTCATCTACGCGCACGACACGACCGCGAGGGGCGTCGTCGACTTGTTCCCCGCCACCGCCAACGACTGGAAGCAAAGAGGGTGGCGCGAGAAGATGTTTTGGGCGTTTCTCGCGGATTTTCGCATCGCTGAGACTTGAGATACTGGTTTTTTTTGCTCTCTGTTGCTCGAGTGGCATGGTTCTTCTTCCAGAGAGGATGGAGAGGCTGTGTCCCGTAAGGAGGGAATGGCCTGTTGGTCATCGATTCTAAAAGTAAATATTTATTCCGCTGACGCTTGCTATACCGCTCCAGTATCAGTAGTAGATGTGTCAAGACGCTTTCCATAACCCATCATTTATAGTGCCATGTAATTATTCCGCACTATTCACCTCGCCGCCACTTGCCGTCTCCAAGTTGCCCTTGACTTCGTCCCTGTATGCGTTCATGCCGGCCTTGAACATGGGGGCGCTCATCAGAGTGTCCCAGTTATGCACCATGCGGGTCTGCATCAAACTGACCTCAATCTCCTTGAGGCTGCGTGCCTTCATCTCTTCCTCATACGCCCTCACGGCGTGCTCGAGCGTCTTGTTCCCCTTCCTCACCTCACTCAGTTCCGACACGAGCTTCTCGGCGTCTTGGAATGCGTTGTTCAGCCCCTGACCGCGGAACGGAGGTATATTGTGCGCGGCGTCCCCGGCCAGCGTGACGTGCGGCCACAGCGGACTGGATGACCAGTCCATATCTGGCCTCCATATCGCGATGGCGTCGACTTGCAGCGGCAGGTCGGGCGGGATGTTGCGGCCAGCGCTTTTCCAAGGTTCGGCGTAGATCTCGGCCTTGGACTTGATGAAGTCGATTTTGGATTGCTGGTCGGGGAAATCTTCAGCGTGTGGTCGGCCGGGCCAAGAGAGACATTGCTGGAAGAGAAAGGTGGATGGATCGTTGGGATCTTGGACGTCCTGAATCGCCGTCACCCAGCTCATGCCTGTCGGGTGGTAGCCGATGCGGAAGATCGGGTGGGCTTTGCGTTGCAGGAGGGCAACGTCGGCTGGGAGGGACCAGCAGGCGTTGAACATCTGTACGTCGATGGGAGAGTTGGCGGCTTTGTCTTGACCAACAAGCGCCTCGCGGATGTAAGAGTGTACACCTTCGCAACCGACAATCAGGTCACCGGTGGCCGTACTGCCGTCGGAGAAGGTGGCAGTTGCGGATCCGTTTGCCTGGGATACCGACACGACCTTGCAGCCATATCGCACGTCTAGACCGTCGCTCAGGAGGGCACGGAGCTTGCGACGAGACACACGCAGAGGATTGAAACCCTGCATGTCGAAGAACTTCTCGCCCGTCTGGCCGTCGAACATGGGCCAGGACGTGTGTTTGCCCGTGTAGAACGTGTCGCAGCATGCCTCACCCAGACGAGCCATGAGTTCCGATGGGATGCATTTGGCCAGGTACTCTTGGCCGAAGTGCAAGGTCATTCCCCATTCTCGAGGTCGGGTGTGATATGTAGACTTTTCCTCCCGTTCGTAGACGGTGGCTTTAATGCCATTCTGGGTGTTGAGTTACCTGTTAGCCTGGCCTGAGACCCTCGCCCCCAACAGCCATCAACACATACCAGTTTCAATCCTTGTGCGATCAACAACCCCGTCGCACCAGCTCCCACGATCCCAACCTCGAGATTTCTCTTGTCAGTCATAGGTTCGGTGGGATTGCGGAGACGGACGGTTCGAGCCTTTACAAGGCGCAAAGCTCGAATTGAAAGGGGATTGTCCGAGCATTTTTACCACCGTTCTTCAATCAGCGCTTGCAGAGTGTGACGTGGCTAACTTAACCGAGTGACAGTCACTGTGGTGAACGAGTCTCGCGAGCTTGGGTGCTGAGGTGGAACTGAACAAGGGAACTGCCACCCCGACTTCTCTAGCTGCAGAATGTCAACCGGGTACTTTTGAATCACCCCTGCAAGTCTTACCAATCGCTAGGCATCGCGACATGGCCGAACCAATACCGACTTCGTCGTTCTCTCGACACCATCTGACAGTACCCGAGTAGCTCTCGGGGAAACAGCGCGGCGCAGGCTTAGATCTGCACCCAACATGTGCGCAGCTGCGGGTGACTGCGGTCCACAGCAAAGTCGCGAACCAGATGGTTCATGGACAGTTCACATCACCCCCCGGCCGATCCCACACTTCTCAGACCATGGCGATCAACTCTTCAAGGTCTAGATGACTGCATGAACCTTAGGCTCACGTTTCCGATGTTCTCGTTTACCCGGGCCCCGGCGGCTTCGTGGCTTAAACCTTCGCTGTACTTGACGGAAGCTTAAGCAGGGGAGGTGGTCCTTGGCCCAGGCATGAAGGTGCTGTTGTTCAAGAGATGGTACATAAACGGCTCTCTATCCTGCCGTCTTCTCCCGATTCCCCCATGCTTGTTTTGATCTGCCTTTGCGAGGTCAGTGGTTGTCGACTGTGGCAGCACCCACAACAGGGTTTAGTATGGCAGAGCAACAGGATCCAGCAGGCAACGGAGGAGACAATCACCCTGTGATTGCAGTCGAAGAAGATGAGGCTGTTGGCGATTTGTAAGTTCCCAATGCCACACATACGTCCTCGAGAAATGGCGTTTGACTTGCCATTTCCTGGAAAAGAGAAAACATATCCACTATTTCATTGCGATCAAGCTTGCTTCGACCTATCTACTCCCATGGCAGGCAATATCAAGGCTATAGAGACGGAGGTAAGTATACTTCCCACCAAAGACGGCTAGACAGAGCAAAGCCATTTATGTAATCTTAGCATATCATCGACCAAACGACGAAGTGAGTCCATCCCGCCTCTAGTTCGACGGACCGAATATCTCAAATCGCGACAGGAGGAGCTCAGACGCCTTGACCTCATGGACGAAATGTTCTTCCACATCAACAAAGGAGAGCTGCATCTCGCCCCTATCAGCGACAGCGGGCTTAGGGTTCTCGACATTGGCTTTGGCACAGGAACTTGGGCCATCGCCATGGGTGACACGTATCCGGAGGCAGAGATCATCGGCGTCGACATCAGTGCTTCAGCTCCTGAATGGGTGCCACCCAACACGAGATTCGAGATCGCAGACGTAGAGGACGACTGGACCTTTCGAGCTCCCTTTGATTACATCCACTGCAGGTACATGGCAGGGGCCATCCGAAATTGGCCGCAGCTCATGCGTCGGACATTTGAGTGAGTGCCTGGTCGCTGCGACCCCTCGAGGCTTTGGGATCTCGCCAGGGATTATACTGACCCTTTTTTTTTTCCCGTGAAGAAACCTCAAACCGGGAGCGTGGGCCGAGTTCGCCGATCTCGACATCGACTATTACAGCCAAGACGGTACTCTGACCGAAGACGACGCCCTCTCGCGTTGGATCAAGATTGCCGCTCAAGGCATGGAGGATCTGGGACGCTCATTGAGACCTGGCAAGAGACTTGAAGGCTGGATGAGGGACGCCGGATTCGTGAATGTGAATGTTGGTGTCCGCCATTCCTATTATCTCACATGCGGCGTCCCTTTCTCCTTCAATCGCTGACTCGATCTGCGCATTGTGTAGGTTGTTCGCACTCCCGTCCCAGTCGGCACCTGGCCCAGGGACAAGCGACTGGTAAGTCAAGCACCCATATCCTTTTGACCTTTGACATGTTTCTCCCGAATTTGCGTGTCGTTCAGAACTCAGGCTTACTTACATTTGTCCTTATTTCCTTCCTGTAGAAACGGATCGGGCTCCTCAACTTCATCCAGCTGCACGAAGGACTCACCGGCCTCAATGTTCGACTCTTCTGCGACTTTCTCGGCTGGAGCCGACAGGATCTTGACATTCTGCTCATGCAGGTCCGCAGCGACTTTAGGAATCCGGCCATTCACAGCATTTACGACATGTAAGTGTATCATATCCGAGATTTGACGGATGCCACGCGGTCAGAACGTCCAGCGTCCCCCCAGTATCAATGGATCATGCCAATGCTAATGCTGATGTTGCAAAAAGGTACACCGTCTGGGGACAGAAGCCTACGTCTTGAACGTGGGAATGAGTCTCTCAAGTGAGAGGGGATTTCCGCCCTGGATGCCATCTATACCAACTATGTACATCGAGAGGACGACCTCGACCCCACCCGACGGCTGTTTCAGCATGCAGAATATATCCCGCCGGCCACTCTTGATGCATTACGATGGTAGATCTGAGGTGGTAAGTGAAGGGTCGATTAGAAGGCGTCAATATACTCGAGGGCCGAGGCGGTAACTCTGGACAACACGACCCGAGACAAAAAACTGGGTATAAAATATGCATGCGTCCTATACCAGAAAGCGTGCCAGGAACTCAAAAGTCTGGAGTGATGTTTACAGGAGATCAAAAAAGGGAAAATTTATCGGGGGCTCCCTGTAGATAGCACGGATACAAGGTCAGGGACGTTTATTAAAAGTCTATGTGTACTGTGACACTCGCTGAACTTGAGATATGAACACGAATATCTGTCTTACCAAAAAACCAGGGGAGGGGTCAGTCCACGACGACCAGATTCACCTCCTTTTCAAGCCCAAGCCAGTCGTCGAGGTTCATTGAGAGGACACCCTCGCGGTAGAAATGGCCCTCTCCTTCTTCTTCACTCTCGGGACGACGAGAAAGGACCAAGCAATGCACCGTGCGGTCCCAGATGTCGAAGACCACGGCTGGTGAGACCTGGTTGTCTTCAACTTGTTCTCCCTCCCCGTCTCCATCCTCTTCTGCCTCGACCTCTTCTTCCTCGTTGTGCTGTCGAGAACCACGATCCGACAGAAATATCTCCTCGACACCGCGAGGCAAATTGGAGCCTTCCATGGCCACCGCAGCAAGGGTTACCGATACGGATCCCGGAGTGGGAGAAGCGCCCGCATGAGCGAAAATGCCCTGAGCGACGTCCTCGGAGACGCACAGGTTCTGGACTCGCAGCCTCTTCTTCTTTTCCTTGCTTCTCGAGGAAGGGACGACGACGACGACGACGCTCGACGCGAGCCGTTCGGGGTGAATGTCGAGAGACTTCTCGTCGAGAAGCACCGTCGTGCAGGGTCCCCAGAAGACGATGCTCGCGGACTCGCTTTTCAGCGGGAGGTAGCTGCGGTCATCTGCTTGCTGCTGCTGCTGCTGCCGATGCTGCCACATGTCAAAAGGGCGGGCCATGACCGTGTCCTCGGCGCCGTACCCACTAAGAATGTCGTTCCACTCCCGGCCCTGCCGGTGCAGATAGGTCGGGTACTTGAAGCATTTGACCAGAGACCGCCACTCCTCCTCACCTTGAGCCGAGCGCGTCGCGAACTGCGGGAACCGGACTGGGCCAAGCCACGCCATCCAAGACCACGAGGGCGCGTCGGGAAAAGCGAGGCGGCGCTGGACCGCGTGTGTCATCGTCGTTGTCGTCGTCGTCGTGCCGCGACTACTCGTGGCCGGTCGAGACCCGCCACGGACGCTGCTCCAGCAGAGAAACCCCTCGAAATTTGGCTCTGGTAGACCCCAGAGGAACACCGTCGTGGTCGACATGGACGAAATGTACCACATTAGTCCCTCGAGCGCGTTCTTGATGTCGCTCTCGTACGAGAGCTGTCGTCGCGTGTAGCACTCGATCAAGGCCGCGGCGTCTGCGAGGTTGGTCGGGTCGGGCTTGAGGCGTTGAGCACTGGCGAATTCGACATCGGCGCCGTCGTCGTCGTCGTCGTTGTGGCTGTTGCTACCGCTTCTTGGCTCTTCGGCGAAAATGGCAGACTCCAGTCGAGGCCTATTCAACCCGTCGTACTTTGCAAAGCGGAACTTCTCGCCCGTCACGTCCAAGCCCTCGGCCCAGTCCGCCGTCCGACACACCCAGATGACCTGCTGTTCGCAGAAGAGCAGCGTCTGCCTCGACAGCAGGAACTCCTGGAGCGTCCAGGCACGGCTGGGCCATCCGCGGCTCACGTAGAGCGACTCGACGGGCCGTTCGGGCTGGTGGGGGATCTCGACCAGGCCGTGCGCAGCGGCAAAGGTCGTGTGAAGTAAAGGCACCCTATCGTAGCTGACTCCCGGGAGGCCCTCGTGGCAGTTTGTGCCCGCCACGGCGGCGACAGTGAGGCGCGAGTACGTGTAGATGACGTCCATGTCGGCGATGTTCTGGGCCTTGTCGTCCTCGTCGTCCTGGAGGATCGAGACGACGTCGGCCCAAAAGTACGCAATCCCCACGCTGCGCGCCACCTGCATCGCGTCCTCGACCGTCTGGGAGAGTTTGGGCACGCCACCCGGCTTCGAGAAGGCCTCCAAGTTCGCCGTCGTCAGGCGCACCGCCTGCTCCGCCACGCCCCAGACGTAGCTCAGCGCGGCGTAGCCGCCCTCGATGTCCTCGAGGCGGAGCGTCGCGATCCGTCGCGCAGCAATCTCCACCACGCGCAGCTCCGTCGTCTTGCCGTTGCGCGAGAGGAAACTCTCGGCCTCGCGCTGCCGGCCCGTCGTCGAGGTGTGCTGCCGCTCGCACGTCTCCAGCCAGTGCCTGGCATGCTCGGGGTCAAAGCGTGGGGACACCAAGCGGCCGACGAAGGATGGTACAGCGGTGTTCGAGCGTGGTGATGCCTGCTGTTTGCGAGTGTCCAACAGGCCAAAGGACGCGGTCTCGCCGTGGTGGAAATCCGGATGGAACGACAGATTGAAGCACATCAAGTGAGTCGTGCCGTAGCTGCTGCTGCTGCTGCTGCTTTCTTTTGCTTCTCCTTCTCTCCCACCATCATAATGATCATGATAATGTCCCCCCACCACGACGCCAAACTTGCGAGTGTAGACATGCACGGGGACGAGCTCGCGGCGGGCCCTGTCGATATCGGCGGCCGCGAACCGCCTCTCCAGCAGTTCGAAGCAGAAGGCGCAACAGCGACAGCTCGCCCTGCGGTGCTGGAGCTCTCCCACAGTCCCGAGGGACACGAGGAGCAGGGCCGACTCCACGGGTCGCGCGTCGGCGGTGGGTGCCACGATCCCGTCCAGGCCTCGCACCTGGGCGCTGGTGTTGAACAAGACCAGACCTGGCGACGCGTTGGTGGTCGCGGGCGAGACTCGGGGCAGGCCGGCGCCCGTCCAGTCGACGCCGCGGCATGTCGAACAGAGTAGGTCCGCTGCTGCCATTGTCCGTCCCCCTGGTTGGGCTGGACATGTCCGATTAGCGCCAAAAACAAGACCCGGGGGGAGGGGGAGAAGGTTTACCTCCAAAGGATGCGGCTGTGGTCAAAACCTCGAGAGCGTGGAGAGAGGGGCAGGCTGGGGATATATTCCTACATCACGGTGCGCCTCATCTTTAGTCGTCTTAGCCCATGTGCATTTACATGGCGAACAAAAAGAACGAAGCGAGATTTTAATCACAGTACAAGACAAATCTAAACCACTTAACTAATATTGGGAAGAAAGAATGAAAAGTCCCGCTGACCGAAAGGGTTCGATTCGGAAAACATTGGCCTGCACGACCATATAATGGTAGATACTTGGACACCCCAGCTCTCAGTCCAGTATTTCCTGTGTGCGCGACTCCACAGTGTATACATAATTCTGGATTTCCTCCCCATCTCGACTATACTGACGCCCGCTACCGTCTTGTCCAACGAGTCATGACGCCTTCAACACACACAGCGGTCCCGTCCCACTCTAGGGGGTATCTCGTTTCCCATCACAATCGTCACACAACACCATAACGCTCATGGCTACAGGCTCGGTTGTTGTTGTTGTTCGATTCGTGAGCCTACTCATGCCGTGGCAGTGGAGTATTTCCAGCCTTGCAGATCATTCTCAAGACTGCGGTTCAACGTGTTGACGTATTCAACCATTCCGCCGGACCTGCAGGATTGTTAGGATTCTTCGTCCCACAAAAAAGGAATGGGTGACCTACCAATTCAATGGCTCAACTTTTCGACCTGGGATATTGGCGCCCTGATACCAACTCTTGGCCATGGGGAATAACGTGGCATCCCACTTCTCGTTCATCCTCTTGCACCAATCTTCCTCTGACTCCGGAGTGGCTTCAAGCCTGGTGATGCCCTTGTCCTTGATCACTTTGAACGTCTTCTCGACCCATTCAGCCTGGAATTGTGTACAACTCGGGCCTGAGCTGAAAGCCGTAGGTGCCTGTGGACCGTACAAGAAGAACAGGTTGGGGAATTCGGGCATGGCAATACCCATGGCTGTTTTGGTACCATCTTTCCAGTGATCAGCAATCGTCCCACCCTTGGTCCCTTGAATGTTGAGTTGAGCCAGCGAACCCGTGACCGAGTCGAAGCCGGTGGCCAGGATTATAACGTCCACCTCAACCAGACCCTGTTTGGTTCTGAGACCAGTCGCAGTAACCTCTTCGATAGGATTCTCGTTGACGTCAATGATCTTAACATTGGGCTGGTCAATCACCTCGTAGAACCTCTGTTCGAGGGATGGGCGTTTAGTACCCCATGGATGCGGAGGAACCTCGGGGGCCACAAGCCTCTGTTTCTCGGGGTCTTTGACACGTTTTAAGACCTGTTGGCGCCAGAAGTGGTAGGCGGGTTCATTGGCTTTGAGGTCAAACAGCATGTCTTTGTACGTGGCAAGCCAGAATTTGAAACCGCCGTCCTCTACCATGAGCTTGTGGTAGGTCTTCTCACGTTCTTCGGGCGTGTCATCGAAGGTGTTTTTCTCCAGGAAGTCGTAGGTGAAGCCAGCAAAGGTGTTGCGCGTCTTCTCCATCTCTGCCTCATACCAGCCGTTCTTCTTTTTCTCCTCCTCTTCTTGAGGATCAAGCAGGCGTTGGTTCATTGGCAGGCACATGTTGGGGGTTCTTTGATAAACGGTCAACTCTTTCACGACTGGACCAATTTCCTGGATGACCTGAATTCCAGAGGCACCAGTGCCAACCTCGGCAACTCGCTTGCCCTTCAAATTAACACCGTGCTGGGGCCATACGGCTGTATGGTAGATGTCGCCCTTGAAGTTGCCGAGTCCAGGAAATGGAGGTGTATATCGCTTGCTGGCAAATCCGATGCAGGGAATGAACCACCTGGCGTAGATCTCGGTGCCGTCCGAACATTCGATCAACCACTGTCGACGGCTTTCATCAAAGACGGCGCCATCCACGTGCTTATTGAACGAGGTGTAGTCGCGGATATTCCACTTCTTCTCGACATGTTCGAAATAGCGGCGAAGCTCTTGCCAGCCTGGGTATCGCTCCTTGAAGGTGAAATCTTCCCATAGCTCCTTGTCAAATAGCTGGTAAATGGGGGTATCGGTATCCACACGAGCACCAGGATAGCAGTTCCAATACCATATACCACCACTGGCAGACCCCTTTTCGAAGATGCGAACATTGTAACCGAGCTTTCGCAGACTGAGCCACGACAATCAGCCCTGTGCTTACACGCAAGACCAGATGTAGCGCTTACCGGTTCAACAGGGTGAAAGAAGCAAAGCCAGCTCCAACGAGCAAGACATCGACCTCCTCAATTTGATGAGAACCCATAACTGTTGCGGGGGGTTGTAACGGCCGTGTTCACTGGGTGGAATAACGCAGTTTACGTCAGGACAAAGAGATGTAGAGGAATGGCGACACGCATTGGCTGCCTGTGGTGGCCGTGGGCCTTTTGTATCTCTTGTTGACCTACCCCGCGCACGCCCGCGTCTCCTTGCCACCCCCATTTGACCCCAGAGAGACATGATGTGTGTTAATCAGCTTCCCGGATCCGGTCCCCAGTTGGACGTCGGAGGGTGAGGGGTTGCAGGCGGACCAAAGGAATGGCGGATGTGAATGGATTAGAAAGAGCGAGGGAAGCTCCAGTGCTCCAGCAGCTTTTAGAATCTCCGTTGAATGATGATAGGCCGTTGTTCGGATAGAAGGCCCTCCAATGCGCACTGATCTGCGTGGAGCAGGAGAACATTCGGCCGGTTGCTGTACCCAGTCAAATCATTTGGAAGTGTGGTGCAATGGCGGAAATGTTCCATTCTGGCACTGCAATGAGTCTCGCAAGTGTGGGGTGAAGGGGGGAGTTTCGTGAGCGGTGATAGAGGTGGTGGGGACACCATGGTCAATTCCTGAGACGAGGTTTTGGGTAGAGATTGATGACAGACGATTAACCAAGATAAAAGGGACCCTAAGCTTCAGCAAGGTCTAGATCCATCTGCTGCAACTTGCATTGGTGCCATTTGAGTTGTACCGGCGGAAAATCCTGTGTGGCGTTTGCGGTTCCAGGTTTCCCCGGGTCGGAGATAGACGAGCTAGATGCGACCAAGAGGCCAAAGCAGTGGCTGCGAGAGAGCTAACCCTTCAAGTTACGGGGGAAATCATGACGTGGCCATCTTGTTTATGAGGGTGTAACGAGCAGTATTCCGGTGGTGTGAGTCCAGGAGCGACAATGGACTCTAGGAATGATGATGGTATGTTGATGGTGATGTTGACAAGTGGTTGGTGGTGAGTTGAATCGAGACACTCCCATCACCCTCACCTGCGTACATTTCCATTTCATGTTCCTCGTACTGACTACGTACTCCATCTCTACCTCACCGGTTTCGCTGTCCTTACCTGCATATGGACGCATGAACAGCTCTTGGTTTCGCATCAATGGAATCAATACCCCCCGTCCCTCGACCTAGCACGACGCTCACGCTACATTGCTTCTCATGCTCGTCGCACCTCACCATCCACTCGTCCCCCCTAGACGAGAACTCCGCATAACATCGATCCTCTCGACCCCGTATTTCCCCCCGCGAACCCTCGGAGAATCCCACAAGCATTTCCGTAGCTTCAGATGCCGAGGTCGATCTGGGTTGACAAATCTCCGGCCCTCCATATCAGCGACATGCTCGTCTCGGAGAAACGGAATTCATCAGATGGATGAGAAGAGTTGGGAGCCACTATCCGAGATCGACACTATCAAGATCCCTTGGTTGGAATCGGCCAAATTAATGTTTAACGAGGTTTCTCTTACACGCGAGCCTCGTCAGGCATTCGGGAATGATCTGGAACGCTGGAGTCTCGACCCTGGGACACACATCTCCCACTGCCAGTACCATCTTCCTCTCGTTATTTCTGTTCTTGGAGATTCCTGGTATGATGTTTCCCATGCTCTGCCTGCGGCGTGTCGGAATGAAGACTTTCCTCCAGTCGCTGGAAGAGCCGTTCCAGCAACCATTCAGCTTCTTCTTTGTCACCCATCAATGGACTCTGTGCTCCAATCCAGCTCCACTTGGGAGCTTGGACGTCTCTGCCTTCCTTTTGCCCGTCAGACCCTGCTCCATGCCTCCCAATGTAGAGATTACCGCCCTCGTTGTTCTTCTTAGTAGCCTCTCTGGCTTCCCTGTCCTCATCACCATGTATGGGAGCTCGCCGGTGGTATGAAGCATCTGCTTCATCCTCCCCAAGTAATTTGAGAAAGTATTGCCAGTCCTCATAACTGTACTTCTTTGGTGTTGCCGCAGAAGCATCTGCATAGACCCTTCGTATTTGAGACAACAGAACATGGCGATGGTGATGAGCAGCTGTTCAAACCAAGGTGAGCCACTTATACCATGTTACTGGGGTGCGGTCAGCTTTTACCTTCTTGCCACCGATCGCCCTCGTGTCTGGCATCGGATTCATCCTGTTTCTCCTCCTCCTCGAAGTCGGCAGCCAAGCGATCTTTGGTGTCTTTGTCTTTGCCACCGGCTTTGTGTTTCTTCATGCCGTTGCGGAACAGGCGTACAAGGCCAGGATGCAGTTCCTGATACTCAGATTCGCTGCCCGTTTCTGGGCCCCTTTCCACATCACGAGAATCAGGTGATCGAGGATCCATTTGGCCAAGAGTGACCTTGTACACTCCATGCTTGAGTCGATTTGCTATGGTGTCTTCACTGCTGGGAAGCACGGTGATCTCTCCCAGCCAGATGGTGACATCCTTGACGGCCTTGACCACAGTATCTCCCATGTCGGAGATGAGAATGGTCAAGGTAGGGACCGCGAGCAGAGTCCAGAAGACAAAAAAGGGCTTACCGCTGTTGGACATGGGCTGGAAATCCCCATATCCGATGGTCAACAACGTCGTATATGAAAAGTAAAGTGATCCGAAATACGACCAATCCTGGTTCCTCTCGGCACGTTCGAAGACCAACGCCCCTATCGTCCACTATCGATCGTCAGCGGGATCCAGCAGGAGATGAAAGTCATACCGTACCAAGAAAGCAAATGCAAACGTTGAAACAACCAAACTCATGTACTTGCGCTCTGTGGCAGCCCACTCTTGAACTTTCCTCATTGCCTCGAACTCAGCCTGTCTCCTCTCGAGCTCCGCCACCTCACCGTCTCCTGGCTCCACCGTCAGTGCTTTCGTGGTGTGTTTCCCAAGCCCCAGGGCACCCTTGTGCTTCAAACGGCTATTCCTCCTACTGATTCTCTCAATCTCCTTGAGCAATCGTCTTCGGGTCTTCTCCGTCAATCGAGCTGCCATCTTCTTTTTTCCCCTTTCCAGAATTAATGAACGAATGGAACCGACGACCAAGCCCAAGATGATGATGCCACCCATGGCAAAAGGAAATAGCAGTCCTCTACCTAGATGGGTCTTTGGTGTATAGTCATCGCCAATGCCAATTGTCAGAGAAGTGAATTCCGCCCAATATACCGCATCCAAAAACTTCCATCCCTCGATGTGTGAGTACACCAGTGCCCCTAACAACTGATACAACAAGAACATAATGGTCTGCAACATCAAAGTCCTTTGCGCCACAGTGAGCTTAAACTCTTTACTATAATGCCCTTTGTACGCCCCGTACACCGTAAAACACATCAAGTATGAAATTATCTGGTACAAACCCGCAGCAAAGATGGCGTAGTAATATGCCTGGGAGAGGGCCTGATGCCGGACGCCGCGTGCGTCAAAATCAGAGGATGCGACGGCAATCAGACCGATCAGAAGCACTGAGGCGATCCAGAAGCCGGCTATGGTGATGGGTTGGGCGATGCGGAAGGGAACACGTCGCGCCATGTTGAGGAGGAGAGACATATTGGCGACAAGGGCGAACGCCAGGGAGACGGCATTGACAGCGATAAGCCTGCATCAGACATGATTTAGAGCCAAGTAGTATTCTGCGCAACATCTTCGCGGTATTGGGATGGGTAGTCTCGTGTCGCGATAACCTACCAGCCAGGGTCTTTGATGTCAATCCCATGCTCTTCTGTTCCTCCAGGAGGAATCTCAACCCTCCAATTCTCCACCAGCGCACAGATACTGAATGCATTGGCCATAGGTCCGAAAGTACCTGCCACAAGGGGAACTCCGGTCGAAGCATACCACCACCTTGCTGGCATGAGAAAGTTTCGTTCTTGCTCCTCCTCCTCCATTTTGTCATAAGTCTCTTCTGGAGACGCATTACGATGCTGGTGAGGGGACGACGTTTGGGCATTGTGGTGAGATGCAGGGGGGCGATCTTCGACATTCTCTTTGACAATGGCAGAGGCATCGGCTATGGGTTCATCGAGGCCTGGGTCGTTCATACTGAGTCAATCGAGTCAGGAGAAAGGTTGTAGGAACCAGAATTCCTAGGTACGTCGGAGGGAGAAAGAAATGAGACGGGCCCAGGTCGAGGAATGGTTAAGGCATTTTTGATTGGAGTGTCATGGTACCGTGCTCCTGGTCTGTTCAAGTCTACCTAAATGTGTGCTGAGGGCTGGACGGAGACGGCGAAAGTTGAGGCGGGACAAGCATTGTATGAACTAAGAAAGAGGGAAGGGCAGGAGAAAAGGCAAAATCCCGTTCAGCAGACATGGGATTTGTCTAGAGTTAGACCGTGTTTTCCTTGGAAAAGATCGGTGGGTTGTTTTGAGCAGCAGGTGGGAAAGCATGCATCAATCGACGACCTATGATCTGGGGGGAAGGTTCCAAGTTGGTCCAGGACCACAAGGCAGTCACTGCAGCATGAGATGACGTCGATTCATCAGGAGTTGCGTTGGTGGCGGTCGCCTTGGCGAATCAAGCATCAACCCGTTCCCACTCAGCTTGGGCACCTTGCCCATTTTATTCGAGGCCCTCACGGCCAACTTCCCCCCAAAGGGATGTAAGTTGGGCGTGCATGCTTGGGGGAGGCTCACTAGGCCACCGCGTCCGCTCCTTGGCCACGACATCCTTAGGTAAGAAAGGCCCGTGCATTCCAAAGTTGTTTGCATGCATGAAGCTGCCACGCTGCCTCAGCCGCAATGACCTTCGAGAGAGTTACGAATAACTTCAACTGTGACTCGTTCCCCCCAACTGTAGATTTTTATCGTCCATTGGCTATAGTTGTTAATTTGCTGGTACCAATACCGGTGGTGACATCGGCGTGATTTCAGCCTTCTGAACACGCCTGGATGGACAGTATGGTTCTTCTGGCCTTAACTCTGTCGGAGTATCGCAACAACGCCAGTTCCCACGTCTGTCGCCACACTGCCAATGAGTCCTCACTCCAGAAGAACTTTACGACTGACTTCTTGACCCACTTCCAATTCCTGGCACTGGATGAATCCTCGAGAATTCGATCCAAGAGGACAAATCGTGGGGCATGTGGTTGACCTTGATTCATCGACACTGCTTCGCTTGCAGGCCCCTCATTAGACGAATACGCAGGACCTGCGATGACCAACGCCATCCATATGGTACATTCAAGCGGTAAGTCGCGCAGATTGTATCGAGAAAGCATTTCCGAGAGCGATTCGACCAACCGCCGATGCACCGGGTTCTGTTGCTTGGATTGACGAAAGGTCTCCGTGGTAACGGCCGCCAGCGCCGAACAAAGAACCCTCTCAAGTGTGTTCAACCCACGAAGAGGCACCAATTCGATACACGCCTGCGTTTGCTTCATATACGTGCCGTTGGGATCTCCCAAGGCGAGGACTCCCTTCTTCCGCGAGCCTTGCAACTGTGTAACCCACTCCGTCACACGTGCCAACACTGTGATGATCTGAACGCAGAGACTCCCGGACAAGGAAATCTCTCGAAATCCATCGGGAAGCTTGGCGATCAGGGTGCAGAGGTCAGGAGGAAATGGATGTTTCGGATATTGTAGTTTGATGCTGACTTCGGTGGTCGAAATGCTCATCTTCTTATTTTCGTGGTACGCCCAGAGAGATTCGAGGCTGGCGTCTGTTAGTCAATTCTGTCGAGGAACAAGCACGAAACTGCTGGTGCTGCGAAGACTCTCAGTCCTCTCAAGGGCTTACCCAGTGATTGAATTCTTCAGGAAGTCGTCCCACCCCAGATGATCAACCCCTCCTCGCAATTCCACAAGATGGCGTAGGCCAATCAAATGGGTCTCAAACGAAACAAAGTCATTGTAAATCAACTTGGCGGACGTCAGTCACAGTTTGTCTTGTAGTGCGAGGTCGAGTTCACATACGGCGATTCCCAGCAGGGCCATGATCGCCAAAATCGTGGCATCATCGTCGCAAGTTGGGCTACGTGCCATCTTGAGACGCAGGGCTTCGATTCCTTTCCCATAGTGGATTAAGACTTCTCTTGTTGGTTCTCGAACATTTCCGCGCCGGGCTTCATACGAGGCTTGAGCGAGCGCCACCATGAGTTCAAACATGGACGCATTCTCCAAGGCCAGACCAAAATACCGTCGCGATAGCGGCAAGCTATCTGCTGGACCTAATTGCTCTTTTCTGGGATTGATGTGAACCGGCGCATAGTGCTGGAGGACTTTGCGTAAACCAAGAATCAGCGACCGTGTCCCGAACTGGATTATTCAACCAAACTCACAATAGTCGACAGCGGAAAGGACACCCCCTTCCGGTGATATTGGGAACGCACAGAACGGATCGCCACGAAGCCCCCCAGATGTCACAGTCAACCTCGGTGACACCACAGTGGTGGTTATGGTGAGATCCTGATTGACACCAGCTTTGACCAACCCAAGTAGCGAATCACGAATGCGTTGCGAGTCAGGACTTTCATCACGAGACGTCGACAAGATGTGGTCGCGAGGTTTCCCTATATTAGCCTTGGCTCTTTTGATGGCTTGATTGTGGATGCGATTGCGCTGTCTGGGATTTGGCTGATTTGTCGAGACTGGGGATGGGGTTTCGTCTGAGGCGATCCTTTTCGGAACCGGGCTAGTTGACTGCATCAGAAATAAGAGGAGGAAGATGGCTGTTCACTGTCTGGAGCGATGACAGTCCGCTCGTCCATAGCGACTGCTGAGGATCACAAAGAAGCATGAAGAAACGAAGGGTAGGAAGTCATCTTGAATGGTAAGGGGGGTAAAGTGTAGGTAGAAAGGCACGCTGAGTATGAAGCTTTTGGAATTCTTGGGGTCCGTCAGCCCTGTATCGTGACCCTCGTAGCGCGTGGTCGAAGTCCGAACATGGCAAGTGAAGACGGGCCTTTGTCAGCTTTTTGCCAAGCGATGGAGCTTTGTGTGGGCTTGGCCCTGCACATCTCGCTTGAGTGGGAAAGCCCGTGCTTGCACTATGAGGCGAACAGTCCTATATCAAAATCCAAGGGCCGTCATCACATTTGAGGTATACAAATAAAAGTACATAGATGAGGCTGCTATATGGGATATCAAGGCTGTACGAGGAACTCTACAGGAACCTCAAGATACAGAAGATACCCCACAGCAGACATTCAATTCGACGAGTGAGCTTGCGTCAGGGTGGGGAAAACCAGAAGATGGCAGAGGATGAGGAGTGATAGACGCAATAATCATGGTGAACCATTGGACCGTCGCCCAGGACATTGAGAAAGAGTTCTGGGGACTAGAGTTTGGCAGTCCAAGGCAACAAGACACCAACCAGCAACCAGTGGTACCTGGCACGGGTACTCAATAAGTTGCCTTCCTTCAGGCGCACGCGCAGTCATCTGGAGCGGCGGTAGGGCTGGAGGGCCAAAGTATTATCATGCTCTGAGAACAAGTACCAAGTACTAAAGCTCCTGGTACGGAGGTGTTTCACTGAATTTGGTGTTGACAAGCAAGGTGGGTGAGAGTGGCTGTTATCTCCAGATATGCTTGTCTCGTTACCCTGTCAAGCTTGTACGGGAGGGCATCCCCCGTGTTTTAACTGGCTCAGGCACGCCTAAAACTCCGGCCGCCCAGGCCTGAGACGGCAAAAGTTGACGGACATGAGGTGCAGGTTCGAGAAGATCACTTGGTGAACCCACCCGCAATGCAGGCCTAGGGCCCAATCTCGTGCTCTTCCGGCCTCCACTCCACCGCTAAGGTGGCCCTTAGTCTCGCCTCACTAGCCTCTAACCAGCTACCCACCAGTGCCACCACCCGCTCTCAACTCACACACAGGTCCTACTCCGTACCTACCTTATCCGCCCACCCACTCTCCCACTCCAAGCTCCTCCAAGGAACGTGCGTGCATCTGCATCTGCCCGGTTTTCTCGTTGGCGATGCGACTTCGACGACTGCGCCTCAAACGCATCCTTGTCCAACATCTCTTTACCACAGTTACACCTGCCTCCAACCACGCGGACATTCGTTGAACCATCTGCTATCTACTGATAGTATTTCCTTGCAACTATTTTTTGTTCCATTTCACATTGTACCATTAGTGTACGGGGGATTGATCTCTCACGTCCGATCACTTCAGTCACTCCACAAGACATCCATCACCGTCACCCTTAATGCGCAACGCTCATCCATCTCGTCGTTGCGCTTTGGCGCCGTCGAATCTCTAGAAGACCAAGAGATAGCTGCAGTATCCCATCGATATTCCAATTCCACATCATGCTCAGGCCCGCGACTCCTCTGACCGTTTTACTGCTCATATCCTTCGTTTTCCTTCTGCTGTCGGTTCTCTCCACGCCTGTCATCCACAGCATCCCCATTGCCACCTATCGAGGAGTTAATTTTGGAGTTTTCGGGTACTGCACACCAACAACATGCAGTGGCATAAGGGTGGGCTATACAACTGGTAACATCCCACATGACGAATTCCGCGTTGCTCAGATATCAGTGTCACTAACTCTTGTCCTAAGATGGTCTTTTCCCCGATGGAGACACCGACTTCAATCTTTCGTCATCGACGAGACATTCGCTATCCTCCCTCCTCATCGTTCACCCTGTCGCGGCCTTTTGTAACCTGGTGTGTCTTGCACTGGCTGGTGCGGCTCATCTGCACTCCCCCTCGCATTCTGCCCGCTATCTTCTAGGCCTCCTGATTCTACTACTGCCAACCCTTCTGGTCACTTTGCTGGCTTTCTTGGTCGACATTTTACTGTTTGTGCCACACTTATCATGGGCCGGATGGATTGTCCTTGCTTCAACCATCCTCATAGCCGCCTCAGGCGTTGTCACCTGCGCTATGAGGCGGACGCTCGTCTCTAGGAAAGCGCGTAAGAAGAGAATTGCCGAGAACGCGGAAATGAGCGGGGAGAACTACTACAATCGGCAGGCACAAGAGTCCAAAGCGGTTGCGCAAACATTTACTACTGAGCCTACTATGCCCATGGTTAATGGCTCGCCCGGTGCAGATAGGCTACCTGCCTTTGCAACTTTCGACGTCAGTCAAAAATCAGACGAGGAGCGCCAACCCCTCCGAACGCAAGCTCTATCTACTGAGCCAAGTCTGGCGACACCCTCCCGAGACGGGGTATCGGATCAATACTACGGGCCTCCCTCGCGATCCAGCAGTCGGCCACCTCAAAATGGACCACGAGATCAATTTGGGAATCCGCCTCCTCCGCCGATCCCTGCCGGTCCAGATGGAGCCATGGGTACGGGACAAGGTAGAAGGTCGGGGGACGAAGCGACTCCTCCTAGTCCTTATCGCGATCGCAGTCTCCCGCCGCTGGGCGGTCGAAGCTATTCGCAGCGTGGCAGGGGTGGCTATCCGCCTCGGGGTGGTTATCCTCCGCGAGCAGGTGGCTTCGGCCCAAGGGGACCACCTCCGCCACAAGGCTATCCGGGCAGAGGTGGATTTCCGGTCGACATGAGAGGAGGATATGGTGGGCGAGGGAGAGGTGGATTTCCACCCACTGGTCCTGGTGGTCCGATAATGGCCGCTGGCGCCATGATGGCTGGTGGTCCGCGACGACCTCCACCAGGCTATCCGCCTAATGGAGCTGACAATGTATCAGAGAGATACACGTCGTCGGACGAATATCCAGTGGCGATGGGCCCCCGGCTACCCATGGCACCTCCACAACAATATATCGAAGACAACGAGCGGGGGTATGACATAAGGAGTCCCTCTGTCTACACCCAAGCAGAGGAGTTGCCAGGTTCATATGGAGCCAGAGCGCAGTCACCAGGGCGGGACAGAACCTCACCCTATGGCGGTCGTGTCCAGTCCCCATCGGGTGCTCTGCGTCAACCTTCCCCACCTCCGGCTATGCCCCCGTTACCCACGACTCAACCTGTCGAGATGGCTGGCACCTCCGTACGTGACTTCAAACCCCAAAGGTCACAGAGTCAAGATCCGTAAGTGCAACTGCACATGGGACAAGTAGATTTTCACTGACTGATTAGCTATGTACCTGCGCGGGCTAACTGGAACAATATGTCGGGCGAGGATTTGGGATATCCGGGGTCACCTGGAAGACAAGCTCAATCTCCAGTCGAGCTCCCTACAAGCGGCAGTCACGTAGGTGGCTATAGGGGTCAACCCCACAGACAACGCGTCAACTCTGGTGGGAGTGATCTTTACTACGAAGATGTCGATCCACGGTTCGCTTCGGACCCAGAGACGGTACCGCCACAAAACCCCCAGCCAGGAGAACGGAACCGGAGGCCTCCTCCCCTTCTCACGCCAGGACCGCCCGGCCATTACCGACCCGACTCCTACAACGGCATCCCTCCAACGAACTCGTACGAGGAATTGCCCGGGGCGCGATCTCCAGCGGAAAGTGAAACCAGCAATTTCACCTCTGTCAGCCAGCGCGGCGTCAACCCCAATTGGCGGCCGAACAACGGCGGAGAGTTCAGCGCCCTGGGTCCTATGAGGAGGCGAGAACAACAGACGAGGCAAGACATGCTTCTGGCAGGAAACCCCGACTTTGAGCTGCCCGGAGCCGTGGGGCCTCAGCGTCTCCCAACTCGAGGTGGTAACGGAGGTCCAGGGATGAGAGGCGGAATTATGAGAGGACCAGCTCGTGTCCCGCCCGCTAGTGCCATTGGTGGTGGTGGCGATGGTCCCTATCCCACTCCCACGGGGCCGCCCCTGCCTGGGGGGCCAATGGGACCGCCTGGACCTGGACCGGGGACTGGAATGGGAGGAATGAGGGAGATATGAAGGATATACATGGAAACAAAAGCTTAGCTTACGTATAGTCCAGTCTAATAATGTGTGATATGCGGACTGGGGTCTTGTGTGAAAACCACCAAAAAATGAAATGATTTGATGATTACGAGTCAACATCGAGCCAGAATCCAGGAGTTTCTCAGTGTCTTGTAGGGGAGTAAGATGATAGTAAGCACCTCCTACATCCCTGGTGGTTGCGCCTGGTGGTTGCAATCCAGCCGGAAAATGACCGGAGAACACATGCACGATCGATCAGTGTGAAACCAAAATATCAGTCAGTCAGTCAGTCAGGGCAGGGCAGGGCAGGGCAGGAAGGAATGGAGTTAAGGAATCAAGGAGTCTAGGATGTTGATATATGCAAGTCACATACCACTGTGTAACCATACCGTAGCAGAATCCCATATTCACGTGACCAGAACACGTGGCGGGCTAGTACACACGCAGGTGTCAAGGAATATAGAGATAGAGACGGGTCTTGAATGGCTGGGATTAATATATTCATATTCATACACAATGTGTGTGTGTGCGCGCGCTAAGGTATATACTATATACATCTAACCTACTGTAAGTGGATAGGTATCGAATGTGGTTCAGTGCCTGCTAATTAAACACGTCATCCAGTGTCTGATTTCGTTTGCATTATAGTCATATCATGATCCTCCCGTCTTGGGTTGTCCTGCCACCAAACAACCCGAGGATGTTGGAATCAACACCACCACCACTGTTGGTCCCGCTGTTGCCAGCGCCCTCGTCCCCTGTCCCTCCTAACCATCGCGGCCGCTTGAAGCCGGTACCGCTTCCACTCCGACTCGTCGGAGGTTGCATCCATTTGGGCGTTTCGATCGTGTCAATCGTGTTTTTCACCCTCCTCCCAAAAAGCGTGAAGAAATTTTCCTCATCGGGCTCAGGTTCCAAAGTAGGTCGATCTCTGAATCGATCTCTGGATGCTGGGTTGTGCGGCGTACTCGACGCTGTCGCGCGATTGCTGCCGGCCCCAGCTCGATCAGCAGGAGGCGTCCACGTCGTTGGTGCAGCACGAGACCTATCCAAAGATGTGCGCGGTGAATCAGTGATACCCAACGTGGCCGTTGGTCGATTCCCCTGAAGATCTCGTGCGATGAGGTCCCGTCCTTCACGCCAACCTCCGGTTCCGAAGCCCGACGGATTTTCATCCTCGTCTTCATCGATTTCCAGTATGCCAAAGCCCAGCACGTTCTTGATCTTGCCATATAGATTAAATAGTGTCATAATCACTGGAAGCAGGACGAGCATTGGGAACAGGTAATCGAACCAAGTTCCTAACGGCGTCAAATTGATCAGTCTCCCCAGGAAGCCATAGAAGGTCGAATTCTGGTGAATATCCTTGGGCAAGAAAGTGAGAAAATTGTATGCCAGCGGCACGGTCAATTTGGCAATCTGCCCGGCATACCAGCATGCTGATTCAGCGTACGTGTTCCTCCTAACTAGGGCTCGCTGATTCCATGTAGGGACGTCGTTCATACTACTCAGGGCGCAAATGCACATATAAGTAATCCACATGGAGGCAATGACTTGGCCGCCAAAGCCTATTTGATAGTTCTTGTCACTCGGGTGGTGAATAACCGTGAGACTGACCGCCGATAGGTGTGGAGCAGGAAACTTGATGATTTCAGACCAGATGATAGCGATCGATGCGAGGGAGAGGACAGCTCCCAAAGCTATCCTGACGGCGGGAACAAGGTGGACATGCACATGATAGCGCATTGAGGCGGTCATGGGGGACCACTTGAGTGTGGATGAGGTGGCACGGCCAAAGTCGAGTTTCCGTGAGCCTTGGGAATCGAGGATGGCTTGCAGATCTGAGGCGGTCTGGACAATGTTGTCCCACTCGCGAACGTACCTAGCTCGGCGGTGTTTGGCTCGAACTAGTCGTCGAGTCAAATCCGCCAGGTATCTTTCGGTGATGACTGCAGGGACTTTGGCAGAGGCGTCGATGGTGGTGACATTGGAAAAGACTCGACTCTCAGGCTGGCCGGTCATGTCGACCAGCTCATCAATCCAATCCTGGAAATCTCGGGCGCTTCCAGTTTTCCTTTGCTTGAGCTGCATCACTTGAGCTTCCAGCTCATCAAGCGCCACAATAGCGTCCTCCAACTTCTCGTGAACTCTTGGAGCCTGACCCTGGACACGCCGCAGGCTGCCGCTTATATCCGCCTTTCGGAACATCCTCCTCGGGATGGAGACTAGACCGTGGCCCATCAGGTATATGGCAAGAGCAAGACCCCACACATACGCGAGCGCCATGACCAAGGCTCTGATTGCGGTAAAGTCGAAGCCATAGGAAAATATCATGTATATCAGACCGGCGATAGCGCAGACCAGAACAATCAGTTGGTATCTGCCATTGGAACGCAGCGAATAGACCAGCCGGGACTTGGGATCACGATATCCAGCATCCATGTATTCGCCCAATAGAGGCAAGACAACCCATGTCAGGACAAAAGTCAACCAGTAGACGATTCTCCACGCAACCAAGACAGCTCTTTTGGGCAACCATATTCCTTTCCCGCCATGATCACTCTCTCGCGCGCTGGATGCGAGATCAACGGGGACTAGAATGAGGGCGCTGGCGGGTAGGACTAGGGCCAGGAAAATCGGGACGAGGAGGAAAGCAGGAGTGGTTCGTAACGGTAGGTAGTGTCGTAGAATGAACAAGACGGCGACTGAGATGGTCAAAAGAGCCAGGCATGCAAAGATGTCGGACCCCACCGAGGATGCCATTTTCCTTCCAATTCCAAATGCAGGAAACTACTTTTGCTATTGACAAAGTGTGCTGATGGCGGCCATTGATCGGTCTCTCATATCGTGATGGTACGAACAAGCCCGGAGGAGTTGCAGCGGCCACAAGAAGCGCAGTTGTGTCCTGGACGTCACTGGAGTGGTATAACGAGGCAAATCAGGTCTTGAGCTGTAAATGCCTCAAACCAAGCGAAATGCGATAAGTGGGAAGAATTCGGGATGGGGGGAAGGGGGAAATGATTATGCACAGATGAGAAAAACGGAAGTGGTAGAGAATTGCAATCAGATGAGTGACGTTGTACGCTGTAGTTTGAGACAGAAGCACCAGAAGAGACAACCAAGTTGGAGGAGGGCGAGGAACAGCACGGGAACGCTACGGCGGATGTAGTTTAGGGCGACATTAGGTAAAGACCCCAGAACTTCGAGCGTCGATTGGCACCCACAAGGTTCTTGGCCGCAGTGGCGAAGGGCAGGGGGGTCCCCAAACAAACTGAGGTGCGCCCCTTAGAAAGGCGCTGGACCGCAACTTTTGAATCCAACGTGTCAGCTCAGGTCAGAAAGTCTACCAGTATCGAATACTTGCAGGTGTCCCTGCCTCACCAAAGAACGGAAATGGCATGCTTACTGGTGTAATTTAATCGATGCTGAAGATTGAATCTCACCCAGTCAAGAAGACTAAGGGACAGGGCCATGGCCCTACGAACCCTTTTGTTATGTAGGGAGTATGTAGGTCTCCCTCTTGGGGCTACCAGGGGCCCCTCGTCGTGAGCTCTGATTGAATAATGGACTCGGGGGCGCACCCATGGGTTCCATGGGTCAGATGAACTAGCTCAACTAGCTGACTCCGGGCCACTAATAACATTGGAGGCATCACACCTCCGCCTAACAAACACCCAAGTTTATAGCTGCTCGTGCTTCTTTCTGTACCCTTGGTGCGCTGTAGCGAATTCACTCGTCTCGTCGTGCACTAGTTCAAGTTTGGCGAAGAGTCATCCATCCTGGGGCTCCATCCTCGTCACCTGCGACAGCGACTTTTTCGTCTCGTCTCCCTCTATCCGCCTGGTTCATTCTTCCCATGGTCCCCGTCATAACTCCGTATGGCTCTCTAAATCGCTCTATTGTGGGCTAACTCCCTTGCAGGCAAATATTCTTCACTCTTTTATATCTATTGCCCGACTTTCCCAAAGGTTGCCTCGCACCCACCCCCGCGCTTTGGCTCCCTGGTAGACAAGGCTAAAAAGCCCATCGACAAGCCTCATCGCAAAGTGGGTTGGCCTGGGCTCCTCCACGACGCGCCCGGTTGGCGCCCAATTACAGCTCACTGCTCGACTCCCATCCAAGTCCTCACATAAGGCACCGCTGCATGGTCTTCCTCAAGCTAGTGTCAGCCTTGATTGTTCCATATTCCTGGCCGACCAACGCACACATCCCACATCCCCAGACTCATCCTCTTCTCTCTACGCTTCCTCCATGGCACAAGAGTGACAACTGCGCTACATTCTCTCCCTGACACCATTGACAGCCTCCTCGACCTCCGTGACCTCCTCCCGTGTGGCCTTCTTCTTGTCGGCCCCGTGTCACCCCCCGGTAGACGTCCAACCTCACCGCGAACCAGACTCGGCTCTCATTTCCTTTTGGCCTGTGTCACCAGCTCCCGTGACGGAGGCCTGACCAGATCCTGCCTTACCGATCTCCTCTCTCCCCTTCGTTACCAGCTTCCGCCATTGTTTCCTATACAGTTCTATTACAGGACTCAAGTCAACCCTCGATCCCACACGGGCCGTTCTTCCTCGCCGTTCTCCCTCTCTACCCCGTCCCGAATGCGTTGATCGAGATCACCCAACCTGAGCGTCCCGTCGCTCGCCTGCCGCAGCCATGAATCCACAGCAGTTTCAGAACATGGTGGGCTTGGGTCGAGGCATACCCAACAACATGCAACAACAAATGGCCATGGCAAATCAAATGGGCGGGCAGATGACGGCACAAATGGGACAAATGGGGCAAATGGGACAGATGGGACAGATGGGCCAAATGAACCCCAGACCTGGCCAAATGGGTGCGGGAATGGGAAGGCCTATGCCACCGCAGATGGCTGGACAGATGAGCCTGAACCACCCTTCGGTCCAACAACATATCTTCGACATGTTGAACTCCCAGGGACCTTTCACTGGCTGGCAAGCCAACGTCCATATCCGTGAACGAGCCGGCCAGATCAAGTTGCTCGTCGACTCTCTTCGTCTAGTGAGGCCACCGGTCGAGCTGCCTCGTGCGATCGAAGTCGCTCTCCAGTTCGAGCGCAAGTGTTTCACCCAATCTGCGAGCAGAGAAGACTATGTTCGAGAGTGCAGCGAGAAGTTAGGGAGGATCCGCGACCAGCGAGCCCAGCAGATGAACCAGTCTGCTGCCGGCGTCATGCAAGGCATGCAGGGCATGCAGGGTATGCAGATGCCTAACCAAAACTTCATACCACAGATACCACCCAACCAGCAAATGCAAAATAACATGTCTCTGCCGCCACACCTGCAGCAGCAACTCCAGCAACAGCAGCAGCAGGCGTTGCACAGCTCGCCTGTTTTCAATCAGCCCCAACCTATGATGAACCAAGCAAGTCAGTCCGCTCCCAACCAATCCATGATGGCCATGATGCCCGGTAATGTTCAGCAAAAGCAGACTCAGCTGCCCGAGTTGACCCCCGAAGACAACAAGGCCATAAACCTGAGAGCGGCCGAGCTGGCAAAAAGCACCCCCAAAGAGGAGATGCGCAACATTGTCGAGAAGATGAACCCGCAACTAAGGCAGAACTTGGCTCAGAAGGCTGTCGACCCCATTATTTACTATTTTCGCATGCTCGCGACCAAAGAGTTCCGACGGCGAAAACAAATGGAGGCAGGGTTGGGGGGCACCGGGAATGCTGGCCAGATGAATAATACTGCAAACATGATGGGACAGATGCAAAACCAGTCCACTCCGAACTCGATGGGACAGACAATGATCGCCACGAATGGGAATCCGCTCATGGGTGACATGGGCCGTTTCCAAGGCCAGCAAGCTGAAGGATTGAGATCCCAGGAAGGTGGTGAATTGGTAGTTCCTGCGAGCAGTGCGCCAGGCATGATGCCGGACCAGCTACGTCTTCAGCAGCAGATGATGGCTAACCAGCGTATGGGGCAACAAAACCAGGCCGGCAACTTGAACCCAGCCTTCATTGCACAGCAACAGCGCATCCAACAAGCTCAGGCTACCAAATTGCAACAGGCCCAACTTCAAGCACAGAATCAAGCTCAAGCCCAAGCTCGTGCTCAAGCCGCAGTTGTCCAGGCTCAAATGGCCGGTCAACGGCGGGACATGCAAGCAATGCCCCAGTCCAACACACCCCTATCTGCCATTAACCGGCCTGTTGGACCCAATGTCTCGGGAGCTAGCCCGCAAACGATCCCTCGGCCTGGCTCAGGAACTCCTATGATGAATCAGCAGATGCAGCAAATGAATAACGTGGTACAACAAGGCCAGCAACAACCGCAACAGCAGCAACAGCTGAGTATGCAAGAGATGCAAAAGCGCGAGCAAGCCCTGGCTAGCTTTCCTGTACCTCTGCAAACGATATTGCGTCAAAAGCCACAGTCTGAATGGCGCAATATACTCCAACAATTTCAGCAGAGTGGTCAAATGAAAAGGAGTATATCACAACAGCCACAGGGGATTCAACCACAGCAACAGCAACAAGCTCCAATGGCTCCAATGCAGAATAATGCGTTCGTTGGCGGCGCGAACATGGGTGCAATGCCCATGCAACAGTCGCTGTCGGCTGGAGCCGTTTCTCAACAGGGTCAAGAGATGACCGGAATGCAACCTGGCAACCAGGGACAAATGCAACAGAATCAGCAGGAGATGATGAGGCAACGCCAGATGCAGATGCAGCAGCAAAAACAGCAGCAGCAGCAGCAACAACAACAACAACAGCAGCAGCAACAACAGCAACAACAGCAACCGACGCAGGGACCCCAAAATGCCCAGGGACAAACACAAGGTCCTCGTCAACAGTTGACGGCTCCACAAATGAAGCTGATGGATCAGCAACCGGTGCCGCCCACGGTCTTGAGCAGTATAAGACAGCATGCTGCGTTGCCCGAAATACGGACCTGGTACCAACTCAAACAATGGCTGCTTTCTAACCCAGTTGCGAACTGGCACATTCCTCATGTATTGGACATCCAAGCAATACATTTCGCACACATCATGAAAAACCGTGGCCAAAATCTGCAGCAACAGCAGCAGCAGCAACAACAACAACAACAACAGCAGCAGCAACATCAGCAGCAAAATGCCATGGCAGGTCAGGCTCCAGGACAAGCACCTCAGCCAATGCCCCAACCTCCAATGCAACCTGCTCCGAGCCAAACTCCTGTTGTCCCTCCTGGTGTCCCTCCTGGACCGATGCCATTCCGAACCCCCACAGCCTTCGATATTCAGAAGGTCCGGGCTGCCAATCCTCGCGTGGCGAACTTACCGGACGAACAGATTAGAGCCATCCTCATCAACCGACATCGTCAGGTACAGGCAAAGAATATGCAGCAGCAAGCTAACCAACAAGGGATGCAGCAGCAAGTTCCCCCAATGCCACCGCAAACAGGTCAGGTAAACCCTGCGGGACAGCAATTTGGTGTCCAAGCACCTGTCCCAAATCAATCTCCTGCCCAGGCTCAACAGCAAATTCGGCCTCCGTCCGTCTCAGCGCCAGGACAACCTCGCCCACCACAGACCCCAGCGCAGCCTGAAAACAGAAATCTCAAACGGCCTAATGATGACGATGTGGTGGAGATTCCAAACCAGAACAAACAAGCTCAACAACAAGTGAACGGCAACAAGCCCCAAGGGTTTCAAGCTCTGACAAAGGAACAGATCAACGCGCTGGATCCGGTAAAGAGACAGCAGTACAAGAATTATCAGCTGCAGCACGCTGCAATGCGGAAAATCGTGGAACTCACCAAGGAAGTTCAAGCCAGTATGCCGAAGCTGCGGCCTATCACAAACATGGACGCGAATAGCAGGAAGCGCATCACTGACGTTTTGACATCTGTCAACGTAAAGAACATGCTTGGCAGATTCGACTCATTTCTTGTCGCGTTCTATCGCATCGAGCCAAACGATGCCGCCATCAAGCAGCTGGTGCTCCAAAAGATTCAGTTGTTCTCGCAGTACAAACCGCAGTCGCTGCAGAACAAGAATTATGAACCGGCCGACCACTTCAGTATTACCGCCGACAACGCTGAAGGGATTGTTAGCAACATCACCGCCAAGTTTCAACAAACTGCCGCACAGATACCTAACAACAAAGCCCGCCCACAACCGGCGCAGCTCACGCCGGAAAATCTCAGTTTGCTGGAGGCGCAGGAGAAAGAACGCAAACAATCTCTCAAGATTAATCAAGCCCCTCCTGCCCCAACGTCCACTCAGCCACCCTTTCAGATTGGAGACCCAAGAGGGCAAGGTACTCCCAGATACGCGACTCCTGGACTTAAACAAGAAGACCTTAAGCTCCCCAGTGACCCTAAGCGGCGGAAGAAGAACCAACAGCAGCCTGCAAGTACAACTACGACGACCCCTACCGTGGTTACCTCTCCACAGACGACCAAAACGCCCAAACCTGCCGAGATGTTTAGGTGCCCAGTCAACGGATGCGATCATCAGCTCAAAGGGTTTGCAACTCAAGCCGAACTCGATCACCACCACAATGTCGCCCACAAGCTGGACATGGAGCCTGTCACTGATCCCCTTGCATTTCTCCATGATTCGCTGCGCTCTGCCTTCAACCTGGACGAAAACTTCAATCAGATCAAAAAGACCTTCCCCAAGTCTGAGGGCAAGGCTACAGGAGCGAGCAACGTTAAGAATGAGAGTTCTGCGGATACGCCTGTACCCATGGCCAAGATTCCCAGCCAAGGGGCTGCAGGCACGGCTATCAGAGACAGTGATGTCTCGATGGAAGATGACAACCCTTGGAAACACAGCAATATCACGTTGGATCAATTGCGCGTCGCCTTTGGAGGTGACGACTGGGACGAGCTCTTTCCGTCTGAGGAAAAACTGTTTGAACAACAGTCCAAGTTCTATGAGGCGTACCGCAACAACAGCGAACGATGGCAGAAGATAGTGGAAGGGCCCAATGGCGCCTTGACCGACACCTCTACCGAAAAGTCCAAGAGCCCAGAGATGGCCAGCGACAAGGAGGGTTCGGCCGCGACGGCATCGCGTGAAGACAAAAAGGACACAGTGGAGAAAAAAGCCGAAGACGATCAATGGAAAGTCAACCTTGATGGAATTGAGGGTCTCGATCTCAGTGGGTTTGAAGACATGTCTCCTTTCGAAAACATCAATGATTTGGATGTCATGATGGGCGAGGACGGCTCTCCATTCGAACCCGTCGAGAAACCACAACTGTCGAATGCACAGATTCATCTTCAAGCTCTAGGCGTGGACCTCGATCATCCAGAAACCTGGACTGAGCAGCATAAAGCACTGGTACACGATCTGTTGGATATGTGAGCCTGCCAAGGTATCTTGTTCAAGGCCCGTACCTATTCTACGATTTGCGTTTTGTGTTTTCTGGGTGGCGATGGTGGGGACGAAATGTGTCCCATGGGAAGTGTTTTGCGAACTGTTTATCAGCATGGCGTCCTGTGGTTCAGCGGGATCCTAATAGGAAGCATGGATGGCTCGATGTCTTACGACTTTGATGAAGCTCCCCTACGTGGGGAAGGGATATTTCACTTGTTGAATCGCGAAACCGAGAAGAGTGAATGGGAGGAAGTTTGTTCAGGGTCTTTGAAGGGAGGGAACTGGAGCGATTCTGTACATTAGGAGGAGATTTGTGTTGGGGGATCCAACTTTGCTGTCTTTTTTCTTCTTCTTCAGATACCTCAAAATCAGCAATCAGGCATGGGTTTCTTGTTTTTCGGATCATGTGCGACGGGATGGACGAACAACCGGGGACAAGTCAGTTTATGTTATGTTATTGGATGGATATCCAGGATGGGTTTTGGGATGACCAAAAAGAACAATACCCGGCAGCGCGCGAGAAGTGCTGCCCACACGCTCTTGAATACATTTTTGGACTTGTCTTCTTCTCGTCTTGCGACTTGTCTTTTTGAGACTCTGCTGTTCTTATGCGTGATTCGTATGCTGATTCTTCTGGGGGTGCTTGGCTTAGTAAGCCATAGTAGGCCGTGGTAGGTTCTTGGTAGGCATAAAGAGGACTTTTCGAGGACTTTTAGAGGTATGTCCGGTACGATGGTACAGTCTAGTATCAAAGCTAAGACGAAGAGGAAAAGAGGAAGAAAGACGTCATCAGATCGAGCGAGGGAAGGAGAGAGACAGAAAGGGGAACGATTTGAAGCGTTCTGGTTTTGGTTTCTGTCTATACATATATGCGATCAGTCTGGTCAGCCCTGCATACAATATTTATATGTCGATCAACCGACGCGGCTTTGCCGGACTTTTGCTCCCTTCAAATCTGAAATCGGCAAGCTGAACGGCCCCCCAGAAATGCAGAGCAGGTCAAAGTGCCCATGCTCAGGTACAGTGTACATGCAGGTACTACTACTTAGTGACTGCTACAACGAGGATCCGACCCTTGTATTCTTTCTGGTCCCAGTGATGCCAAGACGGCGAGTTCATCAGACAGTTCGGAATTGCGGAGCAGATCTCTACGTCCAGAATACTACTTAGTACACGTGGGGCCCATCGTAACGGGAGGACACATTGGGTCTACGGCACCAAGTACGGCACATGTTCCTTATTATTACCCGACCCACATATGCCCAATCGAGTATGAAGGGGGATGGGAGAGACAAGCTCATTGCAATTTCACTCCAAAGCACCATGAAGCGTCATCGAAGTACTCCTATTTTGTTGCAGCGAAAGGACTTTCAAAGCACTCTTCCTTAGAACATTCCCATTTCTTCCAGCGTCATTCTTCCTTTCCATTGTGACGGATCGTCCTCCCAACGTACGCGGCCATAGGCTCTTTCAGAAATGCATCAGATGTTATGGGCCCGTGACCTCCTCGACGACGCACAAGGAAGGACTGCGCTGCTCACAGGGGCAGCCCGTGGAATAGGCAGCGAAACAGCCTCTCTTCTCAATAAAAATGGCAGCAACATTGTCATTACCGACCTCCCATCAGCCGGGCCAGATGCAGAGGCGCTGATCCAGTCGATGCAATTCCCAGAACGTGCAATCTTTGTACCAGCCAGTGTGACGGAATGGAGCCAGCTTGTGCATGCTTTCAAGGAGGGAATACGAGTGTTTGGAAGGATTGATATCGTCGTTGCGAATGCTGGCATCATGGAGAGCCGAGCCGTTCTCGAGGTCGAGGCCGATGCCAATGGAGATCCAGCCGTATCTGAAGAAGCGAGCAATGTCATCGATGTGAACCTCAAAGGAACCCTGGACAGTGCGTCTATCTAGCTTTGCTTTGCTTGCGGTGCACATGAAACACCCAACTGATGAAACTTCCTACCACAGCATTACGACTGGGGATGCATTATATTCGCAAAAATCCTTTGACAGAACACCACCATCGCGGATCGATTATTCTTGTAACATCAACTTCGGGATATTTTGGCTTCTCTGGCAACGCCGCTTATGTTGCTTCAAAGCATGGGATTTTGGGCTTACTGCGGGCAGCTCAACCACTCGCCGAAAAGAGTCGCATCAGAGTGAATGCCATTGCTCCGAGCTTCACCCCGACGCGCATCACAGCTGGCTTTGGTGACCGGTTCGAAAAGGCGGGCGTTGCGAGTAACACTACGGCGCAAGTCGCTGAAGCCATCTCATACATGACTCTGGATCCCAATTGCAGTGGCGCATGTTGTTTGGTAAGTCGAGACTCGGGGGAGGCTGGAACTCCCTAAAAGAATGTCAGGTACAGGGTCAGCTAAACATACTGGCGTTGGGGCTTTAGGTTGCGGGCAAATTCGTTCGAGAACTCGAGCACACGCGGAAGGAGGTATTGCCAACCTGGTTTGGCGAGGATCTGCTAGAAGCACTGGCTGGATTTCGAGCCATCATCCAAGAGATGAATGGCTATCCTCTACCTCCTGCTGCCCCTCAGAATTGAAATGGAATGGAATACAGAGTTTCGAGTCACAGTTGGGCGACCTGCTGCTTTCAGCCATTCAAGATGTGATCACGACTCAGGTCAAACAAGTCAAAAACCCTGTGGGGACTAGTCTCCATGAAGCCATGCGAAAATTCATCCCGACCTGAACTACATGAATGTATGCTTTCGAAAATCTCGGCAAACCGGGGATCCCCACAAGCCAAAATTTCCAGAGGTCTGACTGGACCTCATCCAATGATATTCTTTGGCAGAATCCCCGAATCCGGAGGAATTGCCTCACTTGGGAACGGAGTATCTATCCTTGCATCCTGACAAAAAGGACGCTCCATCCTTGGAATCAGTCCTTAAAATAATACGCAGATTGTGCCTCGTATCACATCTCGAGATCAGATCAACCTTGGAAAATTCAGCGTGTTATTCATTTCTAGACACCAAGTATCTCCGGCATCTTTGCAGGAGCCGGACGAAGCATATATGTACACCGGTTTACCCACGATGAAATCCCATGTGACAAGATCGACGTTCATCACCACTTGCTCACGCCGACGTATATACTTTTGAGTGTATAGACTTTTACATGCTATATAGCTTTCGCTGAAACATGCAAGGTGTAATTCGCTGCTGGAAAGAGGAGGTTTTTCCGGCACCTGGGGTTTATTTTTGTTCAGCCTCGTTCCCACAAGGCTGAGTAGGTGGGTCAAATATTGCGCTAGGCCGAAATAGGAAACCCTCCATGAAGCGGATCCAATCCCCCCGCATTTTTGGACTGCAGCAGGGGGACTGTCATTGATCCTGAGGACTTCATGAAACATTCAAAGCGGTTCGCAAACAGCATCATCATGAGTCTAGGTATTACCTCCCATGTCGAGATCATAGAAAAGGAAACAGAAACATTATTGGGCTAACCACAGTTCCTAGTTTTCGGGGTCTCGTACACGGACATCTCAATACCGCAGATGCACCGAATGTTCGAGCTCATGAGCGAGAATGTGACCAGGCGAAATGCAATGTGTTCTCGAAGTATCCGTAGTTAAGATACCTAGAGAAGCAGAATGATGAGCCTCCACAGAAACCGATGCACTTTTGGACACCGGGGGGCGGATCTGTTCCGAGTGTCACGGACTCGAGAGCATGGTTCGGTTGGGTTTCCGTCCTCGTATCGCTCGGGGGTCACTGCTTAGTTGATCTGATATGCCGAGACGGCGTCTATGTTCCAACCTGGTCGGAACACTTGATGCTTGAGGTAATCTTGGCTCAACTTACCTTGGGTACGAATCTATGTGAATAGCGATTGTGGGTGGATTGCAAAGGTACCAGATCTGTGGGCCAAACTTGACACTACTACACCAGGATCTCTTCTGTGTTTCTACCGTAGCCCTGATGCTGGTGCTGGTTGTGGTGTCTTTGACCCCGAGCAAAAGGACAGAGAGATGATTCTCTTGCTTTAATGTCCCTTTTCACGACACCACTTTCTAGGGTTTTCTACATGCACCGAAGGACCATCAAGAAGATCTGAGCCTCAGACACTTCCCACAATAAACAACGCTGAATTTACGTCCGCGTCCGAAAGTGACAAGTCGATACACTCGCAGTTGTTGCCGTGACAGCATGGCAGAATATCCAGACCAGGAGGAGTATCTGCTCGGATTGAGCCAGATTGACGCCGAACTCAAGGAGGTCAGTTGCTGCTCCCTGCCCCCCCTTACTCCCAGGTTCGAAGCTCCAACAATATTCCTGCTCTCCTGACCATAATGTTTGACTGCTGAGCTGCTTCGCGCATATTTAGCTACTCGAGCAAAATCCCCCTCCAGCCATCGACTACTCGAATCTAGAAGGATTCACACGTATGTACCTCAAGAATGCCGAGCGGGCAAAGGGCCTTCTGGGCGGAACACCCCCCGGGGTTAAGTGCACCGAACTCCAGTACCCAACGCGTGATGGGGCCTTTCTACGGGCAAAACTATTCCAACCCACCCCCAGCAGCATTATACCAGGTCGGGAGAGGACGGGTAGCCCTCTCGTCATGCTCATCCACGGTGGAGGATTCTGTCTAGGCTCCCCAGAGGGCGAAGAGCAGACGTGTCGCAATCTCGTCCTGGCTCTGAACGCGACCTGCGTCGCCGTCGCATATCGACTGGGACCACGGTATCCATTCCCCTACGCCCCGAATGACTGCTGGGACGCGCTGAGATGGTGTGCGAGCAATGCAGCGTCCTGGAACGCCCATCCAGACGAGGGGTTTGTCGTCGGCGGGTCCAGCGCAGGCGCCAATATCGCTGCTGTTCTGGCCCACCGCGCTCGCGACGAGGGTCTCTCACCTCCCTTGACAGGCCTGTACCTTGCCATCCCGCTCCTCTGTCCGAAAGCAAAGATCCCCGAACGGTACCGACGATCCTGGATTTCGCACGAGCAGAATGCAAACGCGCCGGTTCTTCCAGAGGCAGCGCTCGAGATGTTCATGGGCGGCTATCAGCCCGACGAGAATGACTCGGTCAATTTTGCGGTCTTCAATCACCCGCGCGGTCATGGCGATTTGCCCCCGACGTATTTCCAGGTCGACGGGATGGATCCTCTGCGTGACGATTCGCTCATCTACGAAGCTGTGTTGCGTGAGGAATACCAGGTGAAAACGAAGATGGATGTGTACCCCGGCCTACCGCATGGGCACTGGAGCTTCTTTCCCATGTTGAAAGCGAGCATCAAGGCTCGAAAGGACCAGGTGGAGGGGCTTGGATGGCTGCTTGGATGCAAACCCGATTGCTCCAGGCTGACCTTTGGCCCTTCTGCAGGGACTGTTTAGAGACATACGAAAGAAAGAGAATGCTACCCGGCTTCTAGAAGCGTCACCTACGTTCTAATTTCCAATGCAATTTCGAGTCACACAAGCATTGGAAAAGAAGGGACAAGTGCACCGAGAAAGTCTGGCAGGAAGTGCACCCTTTGATGGCGGCCACTGCTCACCCAATTCACCCCAATCGAAGGGAGTCTGATCTGTTTGCCAAGTCGCCGTTTTAATTAGTATCTACCTCTCTCTAGAGCAAACCCGGAGCCGCGCCCCTACCTAACAAAACATCATCCATTGACCATGCCCAGGAACCTCGGATCCATCAAATGTCAAATGTTCTCATAGTTGAAGAATTTTACACACGAGATCGCGCAATCCTGTCTACCAGTACCAGCGGTATTCGTGCACACTAGATCAGAACCTCCTCATCCTAGACCCTGGCTAATGTCCATCAATATACACATCATTTCAATAACCTTTTACTCCGAACTGCCCAAGAATTTCCCAAGGGCAAGGCTGCCTCTACTTCAGCACTACAAAGACATATCACAGACACACACACACACACACACACACACACACACACACACACACACACACACTCAC